TAGAACTCTCTACGATGTCTGGTTAATGAGATCTCAGAACCAGCCGAGCAGCCGTGCAAAGTGAATTATTAAGCTACCTTTTAGATATCAATTAAGCAATAAGCGCATGATTTTAAAATTTTCATTTAATGCAAGCTTTTTAATTTTTGTTAAAATAATCCGAATAACACTCAAAACTATCAGTTATTACATAATTTGTCTATTATCTTCATTAAATGTCTCTTTGCATCATTTACTTGCGGATTCTTTAACTTTTTATAACAAATTATAATTTTGCTTGGTCATGTGTTCCAGTTGACCAAAGTTTTTACAATTTTTGCAAATATATTTTGTTCAAACTTTTTAATATCTTCTTTAAAACATAGATATGATAAAAGCAAGTAGAAATCATCCTCAGTTTGTAGCCAAAACTTTCGTTTGAGAGAAAATTTTAAAAATTTCTCACTTTGTATTGGCCATGTGATCAAAAATTTTCTTTATTTTTACTTTTTCTGACTATATTTTCACCAAATTTTTCTTCAGCAATCTTATTCCTTGCTAATTTCAAGACCAAATTTTATGTATTTAAATCATTAATTATTGTGCGTATTATGTCAAATTAGATTGATACAATTTTTAAATAACTTAATCAATTGAAAACTCAAGTGAATTTCAAGTTTAAAGTAAAATTGTACAATTTTTTTTTTAAATTCGCCCATAATGATTTCCTTTACTAAGATATTCTTCATATTAAACTGCACAAATGTCACATACAAGATATATGGGCAATTCCACGGATGTGATTTTGTAAAAATTTCGACTTTAAACTAATTTTTCTCAAAAATGAGCCATCTAGACAATCCAACTACTAGATATGAGTACATACATATGAGTAATCGATGAATTCTACTTAAATATCTATTTTCCTTCCTTCTACATGATTTAATTAACGAAATATTCGGATTTTTGTCACGGTCACCCTATTTCAAAATGTGGATGTTAAATTAGTTTTTGTCAAGCTAATATTAAGTTAAAATACATTTAAAAAATTTTGAACCATCAAGTTCAAGAAGAATTACAACTCATTTTTGATAAATTCCACCTATCCATGGAATTGCCCATATAGATGTGCTCATACAGAGTATACTTGACCATACTCGACTATACTATTTTTTGTGTACTAATACAAACAATTTTTTTTTAAATTTTCCATTTTCAAATTTTTGTTAAAATATTGATAAATGTATCACTATTAGACTTTAGTCAGTTACTTTAAATTATAGGAAAGCATTTGCAATACTCCTGTACTAACAAAACTTAACAGATAGTCGAAACTTTTGCAAAACAAAAATTTAAAATTTTCTTTTATGGTGTTAGTGTTTACAGAAAATTCAAATTTTTGACCGCTAAAAACTGCAATATTTTTATATGAGCTCATCTATAATATGGGCAATTCTAGGGTAAATCAGAAAATTTTGATTTGAAATGATTTTTTTTTTTACATTTTCCACTAAAGCTGGTCAGGTTTACAATTTAACTGATGTTTTTTTCCATTTTCTATCAGACACTGTATTTAAAAAAGCTGGAATCAACTTATTTGTTGAGATATTTTGATTTTTCGGTAAAATGCTCCGTGACCGAAAATGGAATTTTACAAAAAATTCAATAGGGGAATCAATTTTTATCCATTAAATTCGCTTGTTTGCATCATGAAATGCATATAAAATGGTAGAGTATTATCACTTCTATAATAGATGCTTAGAATCTAAGGAAAACAGCTCAATTAAAGTGAAAAGTCGATTCTCCGAACGTCAACTTTATGTCACGGAGCATTTTTAAGCTTTTAATTTCCAGATTCGTGAAAAAATTACCGAAATATCAAATTAAAAAATTCAAATACTACTAAAGGAGTAATTATCTTTGATGATTTATGACTATTTTGAGCTTTAAAATCAAATGAATTTAAAAGATATTACCAAAAATATTTTTATCATCTAAACTCGAATAACCTTGGATTAAAAAAGCTTATTTATCAAAATTCCACCATTTTGGAGAACTGCCCATATCTTTGTCACATAGAACATATTTTCAGAAAATGTTTATATATTCGAGAATTTTGAAAATATCAATTCGCCTATAATTATTTTCCCCACTGTATTAGACTTTCAAAATGCCCGATACCAGAATAAAACGATGAAACTGAGCTGATAAAACAAACCCGATCTATCTACAATGTCTGCACAATGATTCAGATTAAAAAAAAATGTTCAAAAATTCAAAATTATCATGTTAATTAAACTTTATCTTTTGAATGCCAGAATAAAGATCTTAACTTATGGCATATCCTATCAAAATATCTCGTCCCAATTTGATGTCCAACTCCAAAGATCTTAAATTTATTCTCACCAAAAATTTGTTTATGAAAAAAAAATCATTGATGGGCGATTCCACGGATGAATTTTTACAAAAAAACCGACTTTGAATCAAATTTTCTCTCAAACAAATGACTTTATAGCTCCAGTCTTAACACTTACTTATGTAAATCACCGAGATCTATCTTTATGTATAATTAACTTTTGTCGTCAAGCTTTAATTAATGAAATATTTGGATTTTTGTCAGCGTTGGTATATTACACAATGTTGAATTCTGAGTTTGAAAGCAAAAATATACGACTTTAAAGACATCTAGACAACTATTAATGGTTGTTATACCGTTCATTCTATCCTTTTTTATGATTCTGCATACTTAAATTGGCTTGAAAGGCACTCAATTGTCAGAAAAATGAATAATTTTAATGCATTTCATGTAATATACCAACGTTTAAGCCAAATCCGTGAGAAAATGATTTTTAAGAAGCAAATTTTTACTTTAATGACTTTAATTGCCAATTATCTCTTTGATTAGAATGTTGTTTCTAAAAGTTTAATAGTCAATGAAGATCTTTAACTTGTTTTAAAAAATGTGAGCTTAGTTAAAGTATATTTTTGAAGCAACACTATTATAGAACAAGCTTTTTTGAAAGCTTTTGACCCCCCGAAAGAGCTTTTAAGTTGTGGTCCCAACCCGAGAACCCCCGGTTCCCACGAAGCCCCTTAGTTTGACTGATTAATTAAAAAATAACTTTAAAAATTTATTTTTTTAAAAAATGCATTTAGCGCCCCGGGGTAAAGGGTCCGCTGGGTAAAAATTGTTAAATATTGTTTCTAAAGCATAAATAAACATTACAGTTGATTAAATTGAGAAAAAAAGTGTAGCCAGTAAAGTAAACTTTAGCTTTGAAACTTGTTTCTAAAGAGTCCCTATTAAAATAACGAATTTCAAAAATTCGAAACTTCATTTTTACGAAGCTTCATTTTTCCGAACATATCATTTTTCCGAAAAATTCTTCATGCAATTTCATATGATTTTCAAATTTTAAAAAACCGTTGAGTCTACTATGCATCAAGTTTCCAATATTTCCTACAATAGAAGCTTGTTTTTTGAAATTCAAATTTTATAACGACCTTTTATTGACTTTTATATTTGGGCAAGACAGTTTTTAGCGCATTTTTGAAACTTGTTTCGAAAAGGTATCTTCTATCTTAATAATGCTCGGCGTTTCGAGTTTTGAGATCTCATCAACCAGACAATGTAGAGAGCTCGGGTTTGTTTTATTAGCTCCGTTCCTATTGATTTATCGGCCCATCGAAGTTAAGTCTTGAAACAGTGTATTTATATTGTAATTTTTCTATTTCATATGGGCAAATCCACAGAGGGGACTGTAACTTATTCGTGAAATTTTTCATTAAAAAATTTAATTTTATGTGTTTTGTTACGTTAATTAAAAACATTGAATGCTAAAAAACATGCAATAATGTAAAAGAAGTCCTCAGAAAATTTTCAGATATTCATAATAGGTAATTAAAGAGATTTTTGATGTTTTATAAATCTTCCTGTGTCACATTTTAGTGGAAAACTCCTAAAAATTGAATTTTCTTAAAAGATATAAAGCTTTAAGTGACGTAGATCAGTTAAAACTATTCCTCTTACTCTGTTGCATCATAATATTGAACAAAATATGGATGCTTAATGGAATTAATTAATTTCTTAAAAAAATTCTTCCTGAGTCACATTAACGGTTTTTATCCCAAAAGTAAACAAATTGAAATTCAATTTTCATCAGGTTTAACGCATTTAAACTTACTAAAACTGGTTATCATAGAATATAAGGGCAATACTTTGGATGTCTTTTGGAAAAATTTTAGCAAAAAATCGAAATTTTACTGATTTTTCCATCAGAGACACTGATTTTATAAAAAAAAATCTAAAATGTACACTACTTTTGATATCATATACTTCTAATCGCTGTATTAATAAAGTTATTTGGATTCTTTAGTCAATAACTGGATGACAGAAATCGGAATTTTCAATTTTCATCATCCGAAAAATCGGAAATTAGAGAAACTATTGATATCCACATTGAATAACTTTTACTGAGTTATAGAACAGTCAAAAATCTTTAATTAGGTTGCTTTTCTGTGTGCTTTAAATCATTAATTAATAAAATATTTCAATTCTTTGAAAATTTTCCTAGTGTTCGAGTTATAAAAAAGCTTTTTTTGTCTTAATTCGTGAAAAAATACAAAATTTTCAAGCTTATTTTTTCAATTTTTCACTTAATTTGGTTGAGTTGTAATATATCAATAGATCACTTGTAACGAATTAAATATGCTTTATGATCTACGAAAGTTCTGGCTTATTATTCCTTCACAGTAATATGAAATTAAAGAAAACATTTAATTTTTTTTTCAAATTCCACTCATCTACAATAAAAATCCACATAGCTAACGTAATGCAAAATTTAACATTACGTAATATTACTTAAGAATTTTAAACTGGAGGATTTACTGCCTATCCAAGAGAGCTTCGAAAGTACGGTGTGAATATATGCGTATTGGGTTTTTAAGCAATAATTCAATTTTTTGTAAGAAAAAAAGATGTTCAGTATTATGATAATATAGCATTACTTTTCAATTCACAGTATTGCCGTCAAATCTAACAACAGATCAAAATAGTAAGTTTTACATAAATCAAATTTGATGATATTTAGTGCTTAAATCAGTGTTTTTTTAAAAAAAAATTACAGAAGTCCTCGTGTTATTGATCGAGGGACTTAAGCGCATTTTTGTGTTAGCGATCAGTATTTGATTATCTATTTATTTTGCGTTCATTTACAGATCATTAGAAGATCATTTATTTTTAGTGCAATTAGCAAATAATTACAATGAATGCTTATATGGAAAAGCTTTCGGCCTGTTTCACTAAGGTGGATTATCCACTTTTTCAATCCAAAGATAATCCATATTCTTTTTTTACTTCGTTAAACTGCATAGTGAATCAGAAAAATTGGATATAAAGAAAATAATTTTTTGATGATGGATTTCTCAAAAAAAGATTATCCTAGTAGGTGGATTATCCGAAGATTATCCTGAGATCGTCCTAGAATTATCTACATAATTAATATAAAATGTTAAAACTGGGTCCCCCCAAGATTGAAAATTCGGATAATCTTCAGGATTATCCTAGGATAATCTTAGGATAAATAAATACTAAAATTATTTTTTCGCGACATTCACTATACAAGAAGAAAAATTATTTTTCACAAACTAGCTTGATTAATATTAACCAATTAATTTTAGGTGAGAAAAAAATTATTTGGATTTTCCTTGCATCGAAGAAATAGATAATCCTAAAATGAATAATTTGAAATTCTCCCGCTAAAGATTGCACTTCAAAAACAATAACTATAGTATAGTTAATAATTTGTAGAAATGAATTTTCATATAGAAAAAGTTTATCATTTAACGGTTTTTTGAGATTCAAATTTTCTAACGGTCAGTAAGTTTTTGCAAGCTTTCCGCCAAAAGATACACAAAAAATCATTAATTATAGTATATTTAACAATTTAATATCTTTAATTCTCATAAATAAATTGTTTATCATTTAACGGTTTTCTGAAGTTCAAATTTTGTAAAGGTCGTATGCATTTGAAAGTATCTTGTCAAAAGTTACAGTAAAATCATTAATTATGGGCAATTCCATGAAACGATTTGTTCAAATTTTTCTCTAAATTGATTTTTTACATCTTTAGACTATTCTACTGCAAATAAGCTTTTCGTAGGCCATTAAAAACATCATTTTCTACTTAATGGACTAAAATTTTCTTGCTTAAAGTGGTTAATTAAAGAATTATTTCACTTCTTATGGCGTTACTTAGTAACACAATCGAATAAAAAATAATTTGGAGACTCACTTTAAGTGATTTTTCTTTCCTTTTCGCATTTTGTTAATAATAAAGACTGTCAAAACTCAATGATTGAGCTTAATTAAAAAAAAAAAGTGCTTAATTAAGCTACAATTTTAATTTCAATGTGACTTTAAAAAATGTTACTAAGTAACGCAGAAATTTATTCCGTGAAAAAATACAGAATTCAAAATTCTATTTTTTCAATGTATCTTTCATTAAAGTAATGTTTAACTAATTAGAATTACTCATTTTAGGATGAAAAATAGTTTAAGATGAGTAAAACATTAAGAAAATAAGAGTATAAAGAAATATTTGAAAATTAATATTTCATACTTAATATACTTGGATCAAACTTAAATGTAAACAATGAAACTATTTCATGGAATTGCCCTAATAGTATAAATAACAGTCTGTTATTTAAAAATTTCATATAAAAAGACTTGGTAATTTAACGGTTTTTTGAGATTCAAAATTTTTCAACGGTAGAAATAAATTCGAATTTCTAAACGCTCTCATCACGTGTTTTTTCATATGAAATAAAAAAAATCATTAATTATAGTACAAAAACACTGTTTCAAGACTTTTAAATGCGTTTCCCGAAAATAAAACAATGGACCTGAGCTAATAAAACAAACTAGAACTCTCTACGATGTCTAGTTAAAAAGTTTTTCTCCGCCCGAACGAACAGACATAGTGAGATATTAAGCTACCTTTTCGAAACAAGTTTCAAAAATGCGCTAAAAAAGGTCCTCGGCACACAGTTTGAGAACCACTGACTTAAATAATCACATTTTTTTAATTGAAATTTTATCGTTGTAATATATCTCTAGAATCCCTCCCTCCCTAAATTTTGGACGCCATAAGTGAACGACCCCTAACTGATTTGTGATTTTAGCAGAGGGGGGACAGAGCAAAAAAAAACGTGGTAATTTATGAAAAAAAACTCTGAAAAAAACTTTTTTTTAATAAAGCACGCTTTTATTTCCGATTAAAGTGCACTAAAAAGGAGAAAATAATTTTTTTGGCTAAGCTCTAAAATTTGATACAAAATTTTATAACTCAAAATAAAAGCGTGGGGCGTTAAATTTAAAATAGCTCTAGATTTTCGAAAATTTATTTAAATTCAGTTTAATTATCCATTTCTTAATTCAACTTTTGTATTTAAATGAAAGACCTTTTAAAATTTTGATCACAAAATAGGATTTTTGCAGATTTTTGTGATGTATTAAAGTTAGCAAAAGGAAACAGATATTTCACACCAATTTACATATTTTAGATCTAAGATGGCTAATGATCTAATTTAAGACTTGAAAAATTAAATTTATTTTGTTTGGAGACAAATTTTAACAAAATTTTCTGTTTCAAACCGTTTTGAATACATTTGTGTTTTGCAATAATGAGTCGAAAAATTAACAAACTGACGCTAATTTTGTAAATATCTCTTTAATTAAGCATTTTATTGAGATAGAAAGAACACAATTAAAGCTAAGACGAGCGAAAATCTAATGTATATCTTTTCTCGACGGTAAAATGCATATTTAACTAGAAAATGGAAAAAGTATAATATTCAATTTTCGTAGAGTTAACAATCAGACGCTCTCCAAATTGAAATAACTCATTAATTAAAGCACATAGAAAGCTGAATTGTTGAAAAAATATTAAAATTAAGTTTTTCTATCATATTGAGTTTCAAAGCACAAAGTAAATCAAGCCGTTTTTGAGAAATTTGCAAAAGATGTGGTTTTTTGTAGAAAAATTCTATCGTGGATTTGCCCTTAAGTAAAATTTAAAAACCCGTTAGACTTATAATTTTTTAATTGTTTATGTGGCTCAAAATAGCTCAAATTGTTTATAATTTAGCTTAAAACTGTTAAAAATCATTTTATTCAGGGAATTTTTAACGGTTATTTCAAATATGAATTGTCAAGTAGAAGAAGAATTATAATTCACTTTTGTAAAATTCCATTTTTCTGGAGAATCGCCCAAAGCTCACTTTCTTAAGTTGCTTTTAAAAATTTTATTTTTTCATTTTTATGTGTAGTATTTGAAAATCGATCAGAGTAAACATTTTTCAGAGTTTTTTTTCATAAAATTTTGCTACGTCCCACTATGGACCAGAAATGGAAAATTTTTCCAAAAATTATTTCTACAGCTTATATGATAGTCCTTATTTTGTCCTACATTTACGTCCTTAAAACTTTGCCCAAGTCGACAGCATATCCGAGATATAGCACTTCAAAGTTGGTCAGACGACCATTTTCACGTTACATTCAAATTTTTTTTGTTAATAGCTTTAAATAGTTCCTTTATTTTAAGGTGTAAACAATTGCAAATAACTTTGGAAAATTTTGTGAAAAACTTGATTTTTCTCAAAAACCACGTGTTCGTCATACTTTCGTTTGTGTAGGTCTTCACAAGCACAACCAAAGTTACTAATTTCTTTTTTATATTAAAGATTACACCAAAAGCTATAACTGTTGCAAACACGTCGTATAATTTTAACAAAGTTTTGATAGTGAAAAAAAAATTTTTTTATAAAAAAAACACCAATTTTTTGACAAAAGTCGCTGTAGTGCTTCAGGGATACCCATGGTAGTGGAATTTTATTTCACATTTAGAAAGCTCTCTAAATATGCTATCAATTAATGTAATAAAATTAACAAGTGTTCTCTTGGTAAAGAGCACTTTTTTGAGATTATGGTTCATAGAGCCGACATAATTTGTGCATAATTTTTTTGCAAAAAACTTGCATAAATTCTGCATAATTATGCATAAATTTTGCATAAAATCCTACATAAAAAATGCATAATATTCTGTTCAAATTTATGCATAATTTCGGCATAAATTATGTATAAATTCTGCAAAAGTTCTGCATAAAATTATTCATAAATTTTTGCAGAATATTCGGTGAAATTTTTTACAAAATTTTTGTTTCATAATTTTTTGCATAAATTTATGCAAAACTTTATGCAGAAATTATGCACAAAATAAATTATGCATAAATTTCGGCAAATTTTATGCATAAAATTAAGCAAATTTTATGCATAAATTCTGCTTACATTTATCAAATAAAAAAAACAAATAATTATAGACGAATTTCGAAAAATTGAAAAGATAAACTTTAAACCTAAAATTCACATGAGTTTTCAATCGATTAAGGTATTTTAAAGATTGTATAGATCTAATTTCACAAAATACGCAATAATTAATAGTTTAAATACAAAAAGGTTAATGGTCATTAACTTGGCAATTACTGAAGTAAAACGATTGATATGTAAGAGAAATCAATAAAAAATGTGTCAAAAATTTATGAAAATTCTACGCTATTTTAATTTTTTAGCCTTTTCTGGTTAATTTTATTAAGTTTTGTAAGAGTGTTATACCTTTTTGCAAATTTATAGCTTAAGACTTTCATCTGCTTTCATCCACTAAAATTCGTATGAGTCTACGATAAGCACAACTGAAGTTAAATAAGCTTCACGTTGGCGCAACCAAAAATTTTGAATTTTTTAAAATCAAATTATTTAAAAGCTTTAAATTATATCTTCAGGCTGCTATTAAATACATGAAATATTTATAACAAAACTAAAAGCTATGAAAAAGCTATGCTTCAAATAGCATTAAAATTAATATCTGGTTTTCTTCATATGGAACTGTCTTTTGTCGCCAACGTGAAGCTTATTTGACTTCAGTTGTGGTTATCGTAGACTCATACGAATTTTAGTGGATGAAAGTATTAAGTTATATATTTCCAAAAAGGTATAACACTCTTACAAAACTTAATAAAATTAACCAGAAAAGGCTAAAAAATTAAAATAGCGTAGAATTTTCATACATTTTTGACAATTTTTTATTGATTTCTCTCTAGTCTTAATTTTTTCGCAGATTGTTATATATCAATGAAAAGATATTGAAAAATGAAACAAAATAAGATAATTATTTATAAATAAAAATACGCATTTATTGAGAAAATTGAATTTTTAAAAGTGAAAATTTCAGATTAGGAGAACTAATGAAAAACTCAATTGAAAATTCCAAAACTTATACGAGTCATTAACATTTATATAACAAATTGTGCAAACTTTGAGAGTTTTTCATAAAGTCTTTGCTGAGAAAAAGGAAAAACATTAAAAACTAGCATATATAAAATGCGTTTTTTACCCAAATTGACTATATTACTTGAAAATTTTCCTAAACTTTTCATGTTAACATATTGGAAATTTCAATACCTTTTCAAAACTATGCAACACTTTATATCTTAGATACTTGTGTAAAGAACTATTTGAGAAATACAAAAATTTTAAACGATTTTTAACTCAATTTAACCTCCAAATGGCTTCAATTATGTTAAGTTCTTATTGATTTATGTTTAGGAAAAAAACTAGGAGCAAAACTAGACAAAGTAGTGAAAAAAATGATAAAAAGAGTGCATTTTATGAAATTCTAAAGTCAAATACTTTATTTTTCAATTTTTTTTTTGAAAAAAACTATTTTTTTAAAAAAATGATCATGAAACTTGACAAAACTATGACATATTTATACTCAAAAGACGCGTTTTGAAAAGATCTATCAATCTAACTTAAAAAAATTAAATTTTATTTAAAACTGAAATTTTTATGATTATTTTTCTTTTTTGACCTTGCTCGACATACGACTTTCAGAGTCAAAAAAGTGCTCATTACCAAGAGAACACTTGTTAATTTTATTAAATTAATTGATAGCATATTTAGAGAGCTTTCTAAATGTGAAATAAAATTCCACTACCATGGGTATCCCTGAAGCACTACAGCGATTTTTGTCAAAAAATTGGTGTTTTTTTATTCACTATCAAAACTTTGTTAAAATTATACGACGTGTTTGCAAAAGTTATAGCTTTTGATGTAATCTTTAATATAAAAAAGAAATTAGTAACTTTGGTTGTGCTTGTGAAGACCTACACAAACGAAAGTATGACGAACACGTGGTTTTTGAGAAAAATCAAGTTTTTCACAAAATTTTCCAAAGTTATTTGCAATTGTTTACACCTTAAAATAAAGGAACTATTTAAAGCTATTAACAAAAAAAATTGAAGGAGATTCATCCATCCAGTAACTGGTGAGAGCATTTTCAATGTAACGTGAAAATGGTCGTCTGACCAACTTTGAAGTGCTATATCTCGGATATGCTGTCGACTTGGGCAAAGTTTTAAGGACGTAAATGTAGGACAAAATAAGGACTATCATATAAGCTGTAGAAATAATTTTTGGAAAAATTTTCCATTTCTGGCCCATAGTGATGTCCCCCTTCTGTATTTTAGTTAATAAAAAAAAATCAATTGTAATATTTAATATTTCGTTCATTGATTGCAGCTCAAATCAACATCGATACTCGCAGACAAGAAATTAGTAAGTTTTGGGAAAGTTATTTTTTAAAAAAAATTTAATTATTAAAATTTTTGCAGAAATAAAACACCTGCAAACTGTTTTGAAGCAAGAGATAGTTTTGAGTAAAGGTAACCTTACTTAAATGTTTAACCGTTCAGCTAATTTCATCTAATTTAATCTAATGCAGAAATTTCCGTTGGTAGTCAAACCATTCAAGGCTTTGCTGCTAAAAAAAAAGTCGTTGAAGACGAGCGTGATAAAAAAATAAAAGAGATAAATGAAAACGCCGACGCTACTTTGAAAAATCTGGATGCTGAGAAACAAAAAACGCTGAACATTATCAAGAATAACAAGGAAAAATTAATTAAAATCCAAAAAGCGCTGGCCACGCTTGATGAAGCTTTAAATTGATACCATGTCACACATTTATAATTTTATTTTTTATGTTTAGTAAAGTCATGTGTAACAAAACTGCATCTTTAGATTTTCAAATGTTTTCATAGTTTTTCGGAAAAACAAGAAAATGTGAATATCAGTAATTTTTTTCAGTTTTGGTTCAACTCAATTTTCCGGAAAAATTAGTAGACGAAAAAATATGAAAATTGTGACAAATTTCAGCTTATTGTGATCTCTATAGATGTCAATCATTAGAAAATTTTCCGTAGTAGGAAAATTCTTGAGAAAATTGCAATGAATAAAAGGGAGAATAAAATTAATTTTTCTGTACATTCAAAGTGATTTTCCGAGTTTTCATATGAAAATTATCTTACAAAAACTATTTGAAAAACTCTATTATGTTAACAATTTTAATACTTTTTACTTTATTTTGATAACCATTTTAGTTTCTGAGTTTTTAAATTACAAAGTAGCACAAAAAAAACGGAAATATTTTAGGAAAATCCCGATGAGCAGCCGAACAAAGTGAATTATTAAGCTACCTTTTTGAAACAAGTTTCAAAAATGGCTTGATTAATTTTATGCAAATCTGAAATTTCAACAGGTTGAATGCAAAACAAATAAGTCAATTTTTTTCATAAGATGTGTAGCAATTTTTTATTTTCAGCAAGATCAGGAATCTTCAAAGACATGCAGAAATACTAATATAAATGAATTAGTTAAAAGCTTGGTTAACGACGGGGACCGCCTCTATAGTTGTCACGTTGTTGATTTCCATAACTATAGGACTGTCCTCTTTGGTTCCAATTTCCTTGAACTCTTCCTCTAAAATTCTTATTTCCATAGCCACTTCCTTGACTGTTATCTTGACCCTGTTGCTGATTAAAATTGTTTCCAGAATATTGTTGATTTGATGGATTATAAGGAGCCTTTTGCTGATATTGTTGTTGTGGAAAGCCTTGATTTTGTTGAAAACCACCAACACGATTACCACGATTATTTTGATTAAATCCACTGCGATCAGGCTGTCTCTTTTGCCACGATGGCATTTCAGCAGGTGGTTTTTGATTCTCCAATGTTCGACCTCCACGATCTGGAACCTTCCCAATAATATGTCGTTGTAATTTACTTTTTGTATTTTTTCGAACATTAGCACTTGATGTCTTCTCAATAATTGCTAGTTTATCTCGAGCAGCAAGCAGAGCAATAATGTCCGTTCGATGATCATCATTTATAAGTTTCTCCAATATCTGTTGTTTATTACTGTACTTTTCATTTATTTCATGCTCCTTTCCTTTTATTCTCTCAGACCATTTAAAGCTTTGAACTGTAACATCAAGACGGGTCATTAGCATCTTTCTTCTAATGCTGTATTCTTCATCAAGCATAGCATGAATCTTGTCAATTTTCATCCATTGATCAGTTTGTAATGATTTTTTTGGATTAAATAGAGAAGATCCGATGCGTTTATGTCCATCAGGAGTATTGTGAATAGTTTCATCAAATCGTGCGTTAATTTTATTAAATAAAGCTTCCGTTGAAATATTGTCTGGAGGTTTTCCAAGATTAAGCGTGATTGCAATTTCTTTTAATGCACCAGCCGTTGGAGATTCATGTATTGTCAACACACTTCCTTTATCTTTTGGCTTCTGAATTACCAGCAACATTTTTTGACTCATTAATTCAGTTATTAGGAACTCAAGAAGAATATACCTAGATTCAACGGTTTGCATTCGACTATTTATACTTCCTCCAATTAAAACATCATACGAGCACTGTAATTCCTTTAAAAAGCTAGACAATTCAATCTGGAAACTTGTTATATCCGAGCATGTAATCTGTAAATTATTACAATTTTTTTATTTTTAATGTTTTTATTTAAATTTATGAAAATTTTACTTTTTCTTCAAGTTTTCCTAGCTCGCTGATTTCATTAGACAGCCAAATAATCAGTAATCGAAATTCTTCGTTCTTAAATCCATCATTAATCGCTTCCGAAAACTCATTTTCATCCATTAATTTTCCATCGTATCTGTTTGAAGCAAAAAAAGTGAAGCTTTATAGCAATTTTCGTATATTTAATTAAATTAACACTATTTACCCAACATTGATGAGTGATTCAACAATTTCATAACTCATTTCTTTAATTAATTTAACTGTTTTAGCCGGTAAGTAAATGATTTTCCAAAAATATGAAATTGACAACAATGAAAGCTTTTCCCACTTCGAAACTTGTAACTTTACGGAAAGTTATATTTTTGAAATTTTTCTAGCCGATATCGCCAAAATTATTTTTGCTTATTTCAATGAAAATCAAGCATTAAATTGTTAAATTTCTTAAAATAAAACATCAACTTTAAGTGTTGCAAGTTTTTAAAAAAAATAATTTAGTATCATTTGATAAATTGTTTATTCTAGCTTGTCTAATTTGTGACAGCTGTTGCATTGATAGAAAAAATATGTAGAATTAATCTTTACTATAATTAACAAAAAACGTTTGTTTTTAATTTTCAAAACTTTGTTTGTTTTCGTTGTTTTTAACGACAATTTAATATTTGAATTTTCGGCTCAAATTTCGAAGTTTTTTCGAAATAAAAGCTTTTTAAGAAAAAAAATAAAAAAAAAACAAAAATTGTAAAATAATTAATTTAAATCGTGATATCTTTTTTATTAGCGTTGGAAATGACTCAAATAGCAAAGGAAGGTGTTTCTGAGCACTTAGGGTATGATGAGTCATTGAATGAAGTCTTGCAATCTGGAAAAGATTTGAGAGAACATTCTAAAGAAATTGAAAAAGAATTGAAAATCGTTTCAAATAAATCAATTCATGGATATATTCAGCAAGCAGAGAACATAGCGAAGCTGCATAATCAAATTGGAACTTGCGATAATATTTTACAAAACATGGAGAACATGCTGACGAATTTTCAACAAGTTTTAAATAATATATCATCAGAAATTACAATTTTACAGAAGAAAAGTGTAAACATGTCACAGCAATTAACTAATAGGTAATTTGTTGTTCATATCCAGTTAAATCCAATTACTTCAACTCTATTTTTTTATTACAGATGTGTTGTGAAAAATCAATTGTATCAATTTATTGAGGATATGGCAATTCCGGAAGAAATGATTAAATGCATTATGGAAAGTTCAGTCACCGATAAGGACTTTCTAAAGCATCTGAATGAACTGAATCATAAATTGAGTATGGTAAAAGAGCTGAATTTTAAGGAATCAAAGTCAGCTGAGGATGTTGAATTGGTTTTGGAGAAATTGAAGCTTAAAGCGATGTCTAAACTAAGAGGATATTTATTGGAACAGATATACAAGCTCAGAATTCCCATGACAAATTATCAAGTACATCAAAATGCTATGCTTAAATATAAATTTTTCTTTGAATTCATCTTGTTAAATGAACGACATGTAGCGGAGGAAATTTGCAGTGAATATGTAGACACGATGTCAAAAATTTATTACAGTTACTTTAAAAGTTATTCTACAAGACTGAATGCACTAAAATTCGAAGAAGCTGTTACAAAAGACGATTTAATGGGAATTGAAGACACAGCAAGTAAAGGCAGTCTATTTGTCAAGACTACATCATTAAAGCAGAAAAGTACAGTATTTACAATCGGAAATAGAGGCGATATTTTGACATCGGAACTTGAAGCACCAATAATAATTCCACATGCACAACAAAAGACTCGATATCCATTTGAAGCACTTTTCCGATCTGAGCAATATGCACTTGTTGATAATGCTTGTCGAGAATATTTATTTATTACTGAATTTTATCTTGTTAGAGGAAATCAAGCTCAAGAGTTATTTAACCAAATAATGGGTAAAACAATGTCCTTAATGATGAAGAATCTCGAAACTTATATTGTGGATTGCTTCGATACAATTTCACTATTCTTATGCATTCAATTAATACTGAGATATCAAATTATGTGTCATAAACGTTGCACAGCTGTTTTGGATAAATATTGGGAAACATTACAGACTGCATTATGGCCACGTTTTGAGTATCTATTTCGCTTAAACATTCAAAGTATTAGAGATTGTGATCCGACAAAGTTTAGAATTAAAGAAACTGGACCACATTACATTACACGAAGATATGGAGAATTTTCTGCAGCTATCGTTGGAATTACTGAGAATTTTCCAAATGAAACAGTCAGTAGATTATTATTAGAGCTTCAGAATGAAGTCGAGTGCTTCATGTTACGAATGGCTGGTGCTATATTTCCACAGAGAAAAGAACAATTGATTTATCTTATTAATAACTATGACTTGATATTGGGAATTTTGCAGGAACGAACCAGAGACAATACCAAAGAAGCTGAATCTTTTCGTGAGCAATTATCGTCAAAAAGTAATGAGTATGTTGAGGAGATATTGAGTCCTCATATAGGTGGAATTATACATTTTGTGAAGGAATGTGAAAAAGACAATGCAGATGATTTAAAACGACACGATCGGCGGGCATTAGCACTGGTTCAAAATTTCAGTTTAAACTGGAAAAAAGCTATTGAAGATTTAAATCGTGAAGTACTTTTATCATTTCCATCTCTGGTTACTGGCCAATCGTTGTTACAACTTGCTTTAGCTCAAATTGTTCATTATTACAATCGATTCCACAAATTACTCTCACCATCAGTCCGCTCTGAGCTAGTAAATATTCACTTGATTATGGTCGAAATTAAAAAATACAAGAGTAACTACTAATTAATTAATTTTTTATTATTTGCTTGTTACAAAAAAAATTATTGAATAATAAAATTAAGAGATTTCGAAGTTAATAAAATAGAATGAGATTAATCTTCATCTTCAAAGAGCATCGCTACAAGATCAGCATTTTCAACTTGTGATCCGTCGAGTCGTTGAGCAGCTTTCCAACGCATTAATGTTGGTAGAAAAACCAAATGTGTACGAGGGTCTTTCCTAAAAGGATTTTCCAGGTTTTTCCAGCTATAACAAGAAAGTTTAATGACAATATATTTGACTGATGTAATTAAAAACGTTTTACATACAATGGTCTATCAATCTCGCACATTATAAAATGAGAATCTTCAGGCGCTGTAGTTTCAACTACTTTTTCCACGACAGGTTTAGCACGAACACAATAAGGACACCATGATTCACCTATTAAATTTAAAAATTAATTAAAGATATACAGCTAGCAAGCATGTCTATGCATTAAAGTGATGATTAATTTATTTGGAATGTGATGTCACTCGTCATTTCAAGCTGTGATTATGATATTCAGTGGATGCTTTAACTTACCTAATTCATTTTTGTCGCCAGTAAAAAATACATTAATTGGAACTTTATCCTTTTCCAGCTCAACGACTAACTTCTCGAACTCGTCAAAATTTTTTACAAAGTGTCTCTTAACCATTCTTTGGCCTGCTTTTAGCATAAATCACTCAAACACTTGTGAACTGCTTGATATCTTTTTAATTAATGATTTTATAGATATGAAAAGAATGTAAATATAAGAGAGAGAAACTACCACGCTGGAACTATAGGATAGTAAGGATTGAATTATAGGACTTTTAAATACCGGTCATTAGTGATTTGAAGAAAAGTCAAAACAAACTTTACGAAAAAAATTTGTTCATTTCAAAAAAATTAATTTGAATGATTATTAAGTTTAATTAAAGTGAATATGCGTTTGTAAATGAAAAGAAGCAATAGTGAGAATTGAGGAAAATTGCAGATTTTGCAGTAATTTAGAGAATTTAAGGTACAAATTTAAAAAAATATTTTTTATATCTTGAAAACACATGCAAAAAAGCGTGTTTTGATTTTTGCACAATTTAATGGAGAAAGTTTAATTAAAATCTCAATCATTTTAGAATTTCATTGCTTTTGAGCCGTTTGTCTTACTTAAACTCTGTAAAAAATGGGCGAACCATCACTTCCAGTGCTTGCAAACGAACTTGCAACTGCGATTGAAATCACCTTAAATCCTAATGTGAGCCAACAGTCAAGAATGGAAGCATATGTGGCATGTGAAAAGTGTGTAATTACATTGTTTTAATCCTTATCATTTAACTGCATAATCAATTTTAGATTCAAGGAAATTTCACCGTTATGTGCTCAAGCTGGATTATATTTGGTCACAAATCAGTTCTCGGCAGTTGTGAAACACTTTGGGCTGCAGTTGATGGAACATCAAGTGAAATTTAATTGGAATAAGATTTCACAAGAAGAAAAGATTTTTATTAAAGATAACACGATGAAGCTATTAGGCACTGGAATTGGACCGGCTGACGATAAATCGTTGTTACACATCAAAGATGCTCTGTCTCGGATTATTGTTGAGATGATCAAACGTGAATGGCCTCAACAATGGCCAACATTATTAAGTGAATTATCAGCAGCTAGTGAAAAAGGATTATCACAGACTGAATTAGTCGCACTAGTTTTCTTACGTCTTGTCGAGGATGTTGCATTGTTGCAAACAATCGAATCAAATCAGCGACGAAAGGACATTTATCAAGCATTAACTGTCAATATGGGAGAAATTTTTGATTTTTTTCTTGCTCATATTGAGAAGAATGTCCGTGAATATGCGACGACAAAAAATACTGGAAATTTACGTGTCGTACTTGTTGTACTAAATACGTTAGCAAGCTTCTTGGAATGGGTCAACATATCGCATATAATGGCATCAGACGGACGATTACTTAAAGTGATTTGTTATCTTTTAGAATTTCCGGACATTCAATTAAGCGCTGCTGAATGTCTTAGTCAAATAACTAATAGAAAAGGTGTTGCAAAGGATAAAAAACCACTGCTGTATTTATTTAATGATGAGCCTATGAGACATATTTTTCATTCACTCGAGCCCATGGCTTCAACTCAAACGGAAAATTATTATCAGTATCTGAAGAAATTGACACAATCAATGTATGGACTTTCAAATCAATTAACAACATTATGTGGCAAAGAAAGTGATATTCAGACACCGCCAAGAAATTTTTACATGTTCCTTCAAATCATTCTAGCCTTTGCTCGTCATCCAAGCTTGTCAGTTACACACGGCGGGATATTAATTTGGCTACAACTTGTAAAACACGATACAATTGCTCGAGATCCACTTTTTGTTGATAGCATTCGAGTTATGATAGAAATTGTAGGACCAAAAATTATTAAATGTCCATATCCAAAAATTCGGGACTGTTTTACGCCAAATTCAATTCCATATACAACAGAAGCATATACATGCATAGATTTTGACAGTGAAGAAGATTATCTACAATTTGTTCCTCGTTTTCGTGTGGATCTTCTTGACATCTTTCGACAATCGACTCTTGTTGCTCCTTTATTTACATTTTCATATTGTGAGCATTGGTTAAATCGTCGATTTGAATTAGCCAACACGGAAACATTAGTAACATGTAGCATTATGGATCCAATTTATTTGGAATGGGAAGCAGTTGTTGCCGTTCTGGATGGTGTTCTTAGTCGAATTCTTCTTGTAACCGAAAGACCATCAATCATTAATGGATTACGATTATTAGAGAAATGTCTTTTAGTGAAAACTGATGATCCACTTATTTATTCTGTTTTATTATCATGCATTTCATCGCTCTTTGTTTTTTTGAGTATGTCGGCTGCTGGAAATGTAGCTGTAAATGGAGTTCAACTATTGCCACCCGTTTTAGATAAGATTTTTAGTGCCATTGTCTTTAATCTGCCATCTGAAGATCACCAGCATTCATTAAGATCGGCTGCAATAAAAAATTTGAGAAGACATGCTGCTAGTTCGATTGTAAAAATCGCACTTAAATATCCACTTCTTTTGCTACCAATATTTGATCAAATTCATGCTACGATTAATAGAATTGGAAATGAATCAAATCTTTCCAATATGGAAAAGCTGCTACTACAAGAAGCTCTTTTAATTATCAGTAATCATTTCTGTGAATTTGAACGCCAGCAATTTTTCATTGGTAAGTTGGAAATACAATATAATAATAATTTTAACTATTAATAACGATAATTTTAAAGACAGTTTTGTTCGTTAAACGAATCTCTACTGTATATCTCTTAAATGGGCAATTCTCCAAAATAGTGGAATTTTGATAGGGTAAAACATGTTGAAATTTGTGTGTTTTTTGCACATGGAGATTTGATTTGCAAATAACTTGCTAATGATTGATGATGAAAATTTGCTTATGGGCTCAAAAGATCAATAATTGTGGGAATTTTCAGTTAATAATGTTTTTTGAAGGATATGCTGCTTATGGGAAGAGATTTTTGACATTTTTGATCAAATGTTGAAATTTGTGCGGAAAATTTTAAAATTTGTGCAAAAAAATGTTGAAATTTGCGCGTTTTTTTGCGCGAACATAAAGCTGATTTGTTTCAAACCTTTTCCTCAAGAAATAATGCAAGATTCAAGATTTAACTCAGTTTGAGCTGGGTGAGTTTACAACCGTCAAAGGAACATCCATTAAATCAGCAATTCCTCCATTTTTTTGTAAATTTTATGCAGCATAGAGTTTTAACAATAACAAGATAAGAATTAGGAAATCAAAATGTTTTTATTTAAAGATCTGAAATTAAACACTAAACAGGATATACTTTTTGAATGTATGGATATTCTTGAAGTCTTTTGCATTTTTCTTTTTTATTTTTATCTAAAATTTGAAATGATCCACGTTTTTCATTTTTATCAGCTGTTATCAGTTTTTTGACATTCAGTAGTTCCATTTATGCTATTCTTCGTAAAATCCTATAAAATCATGAATTTCATACGTAAATAATACTTGTTGATAAAAATTCCCATCGCTTTCAACGACAAAAGCGCACAAATTTCAAAATTTGTAAAAAAAATTCGCACAAATTTTAACATTTACAATCAAGAAATTATAAAATCAATTTTTAAAACACTTCCAATGATTTTTATAACTTGAATTTCTTGTGAAACCGTATAGCAATTATCAAATTTTATATTAAAACTGTGATTTGATTACAAAATTTTTCAAATTTAAAGCTGGTCCAAGCTTCGAGACTGTTCAAAATGATGTAGAAATGTTTGTACAACCGTTTTACACAGAGCTGCAAACAAAATTTTGGTTTAAATGGCTTATTTGGGCTAATTTCTTTTTTATGTAAGCGCACAAATTTCAACATTGCAAAAATTTTAACATGGTTTACCCTAAATAAGCTTTTTTATTCCAAGGTTATTCGAGTTTAGATGGGTTAAAAATATTTTTGGTAATATCTTTTAAATTCATTTGATTTTAAAGCTCAAAATAGTCTTAAATCATCAAAGATAATTACTGATATTTCGGTAATTTCTTCACGAATCTGGAAATTAAAAGCTTAAAAATGCTCCGTGACATAAAGTTGACGTTCGGAGAATCGATTTTTCTCTTTAATTGAGCTGTTTCCTTACATTCGAAGCATAAGTATTATAGAAGTGATAATACTCTACCATTTGATATGCATTTCATGATGCAAACATGAGAATTTAATGGATAAAAATTGATTCCCCTATTGAATTTTTTGTAAAATTCCATTTTCGGTCACGGAGCATTTTACCGAAAAATCAAAATATCTCAACAAATAAGTTGATTCCAGCTTTTTTAAATACAGTGTCTGATAGAAAATGAAAAATTACATCAGTTAAATTGTAAACCTGACCAGCTTTAGTGGAAAATGTAAAAAAAATTCATTTCAAATCAAAATTTTCTGATTTACCCTATAGAGAATCGCCCATTACAGAGTTTTGATTGTAGCCATCAGTAGCCATATGCATCATGAAATAGATGAAAATTGTATGGTTCTGAAAGTTGAAATTATACTTTTTTAGAACTGAAAAACCTTTGTCTCAAAAAAACATTTTTGGATTATTTTTATGGAGAGTTTTGAGAAAAAACCATTTGGGTTTTACACTGAACGTGGCTCGTTACGGGCCCATAACCACTAGTATTTTGATAATTTTAAAAGTAGTTTTTCATTATTAATTCGTTTAAAACGAATTTTCTATTTAGGTGAAGTTATTCGACCAGCTACTCGAATTTGGCAAGAAATATCACCACATTTAAAAACACCATCATCCTTTATCAATTTTATCGGTTTGTCATCGAAAGCAGTACTCATTCAGCCAAATTCTGGAATAGATGATGTATTCTATAAAAATCGACAGACTTTATTGTTGGCACTAAATACAGTTTTAGGAATTATAAAGCGATGTCAATGTCCTGACGATCCAGATAAATCATGTCGTGGAGGTTTCATTGTCGCAACAACAGATTCAGGCAATCCAATTACAAGAAATCCAGCAGCTTCACATGTCATACCTCTATTACAAGAAATTTTATCATTATTGAGAAATTTAAATGAACTTTGGATTCCAACATCATTGGCATTAATTAATAACGATTATAAAGGAGCTAATCAGATGCTGGAAAATGAAAAGAAAAATATTCTGGGAGTAGTTTATTCCGTTCCTGATCCTTTAGATCCGACTCAATTAACAAAGACCAAAACACCTTTTGACTATATGCAGCAATTTTTGACGTCATTATTTGAGAACTGTTATCATCTACTCGGTGTTGCTGGATTATCATTAAGTCGAGATTTATATAGACTTGAAGGACTATCAACCGTTTTGATTAATAGCTGTTTTAGCAATCTCGATCATGTTCCAGATTTCCGACTAAGAACCATCATTCGAGTTTTCCTTCGTCCATTCATCTATTCATGTCCGACATCCTATTATTCAACTGTTATTGTTCCAATCTTTGAGCACATTGCTCCTTTCAGTAAGTTTTTTCTACTTTATAAATGATTTTTTTTTTAAAATGCCTTACTTTCATATTCATATAATTAAAACTTTATTTGTAGTGCTGAATCGTTTGACAACTCGTTGGAACTACATTACATCATTATATGAAAATGGTGCTTTAGGAGATGATACAAACAACGATGCTCAAGAAGTTCTGGACGACATATTGAATCGAACATTAACTCGTGAATATTTGGATGTTTTGAAAGTTGGATTGGTTGGTGGAACTAGTATTGGATCGACGAATAATGAAGTTAGCGGTGAAATGGGAAATGTCGCAATGATGGATCAAGACGATCATTCGATGGATGGTTTACCTCACATGAGTCGCGCTGCTCAATCTGCAATGCAATCCGATATCATTAGTGAATTAGGCAAGAAACTATTAACTACTCAAACGACATGCGAATCAATTGTTTTTACAATTTTCAAGTAAGTATTTTTAGCGCATTTTTAAAACTTGGTACGAAAAGGTAGCTTAATAATTCACTTTGTTCGTTCGTTCGTTCGTCTCCAGAAAAACTTTTTAACCAGAAGTCGTAGAGAGCTCGGGTTTGTTTTATTACCTCCGTTACTATCGATTTATCGGTCCATCGAATGGTTAAAATACTTGAAACCATCTATTTATGCTATAATTAATGATTTTTATATTTCATAAACAAAACCACGTGATGAGTACGTTTAAAAATTTGAATTTTTTTTATCGCTTTAAAAATGTATAAAACTTGAATTTTAAAAACCGTTGAAGGACAAAAAACTTTTTGCTGTACCTAATGTGTAATATTTATTGAAATACAATGAATATGCTTTCATATACCTAAGCAAAATTTAAGAGCTGTTTGCTTATTCATTCGCATTTTGATGCTCATCAAATACTGATCGCTTCGTCAAAAATGCTTAAGTCCCTCGATAAATAACACGAGGACTTTTGTAATTTTTTAAAGTCTAAATAATAATTCTATCATGTTTACAGTTGTATAGCCTGGAATGATAGCAATGCAAGTTTAAAGGCCTGTCTTCTTGCTGGACCAGTAATTCGTCAGCTATCGAGCGATCATTTGATTAGCCCTAATCTCTCCGCTGTTATTTTGACTAGGGTCCTTCAAGGGCTTCAAATGCATGGTCAACATGATGCAAATCAGGTGAGACTGAATAAAAAAGTTGATTTAAAAAATTTCTAATGAAAACTTTCTTTAAGCCGTCATTGATTACACTTGGCGTTCAGGTTTACGACATTATTCGTCCAGCGTATCCAGCAATAACATTAAATATAATGCAACAAATACCAAATTTAAATATCAATGATCTGCAAAAATTAGATGAGAAAATTCTTAGTGCTGGACCTCTCACGAATACCACAAATCAAGGAAATGCAGGAAGTACAGCAGCAAAATCTAACAAGATTGATAAGACAAAAAAGGATCTGTTTAAGAAAATAACATCACATTTAATAGGCCGCAATGTTTTAGCTCATTTATTCCGTAATAATCCAGTTGAAATATCAGATTTGCATCCAATGAACAATAAAAGCAAGCAAAAAATCACAAATGTACTGGAAACATCACACGATACTGGCCTTCATATGCAACAATTGTTTCGTGACGTTCCACGATAAAGAAAAACATTTTTTATTTAAATCATCTGTTATTAATTATTTTTTTCTTCCTTACTGTTGAATTATCTTAGTATGGCTTATGTTTTTAACTCCATCCTGAATTGTAATAAATGCACTTGAAATCAAATGTCTAGCATTTAAGTAATTATTAAAGAAAACCTATTGAAGAATACAAAATCAATTTCATTCCATTGGATAAAATCGTTGATTTTTTTACTACGTTTTTCTTATCTTAACTTGCTTTTTAATAAGCATCCTGATTAATGCTAAAGATAATTTTACCATAAAAATGTTTAAAAACTATTGATAACGAACAATTAAAAATTGAAAACTTTAAAAGTGGAAAAAATGTGTAGCAATACTTCACGCGGAAGTTGAAAATTCAGAAAGTAAACAATAACACGCGGAAAAATCACGATTTGTTAAAATTATTAATTTCATTGATTTAAAATGAATGAATATAGTACAGAAAAGTTTATTGAGCAGTATGAGCATATTAAGAAACTGGAATTGTTGAGCGACAGTGAATTAAATCAATTAAAGAGGAAAAGAGCACATTTTGAAGTAGGAATTAAAAGTGCAAAAGATGTTAAATCATTTATTGAATATATCAAATATGAAATAGTATTAATGAAGAAATTTATGCAAATTGATTACTCGAATGAGAATGATGGCAGAGCATTAGATCGAGCAATGTGTGTTCACATTCGTGACATTTATAAGCAGGCAGTCCGAAGATTCCAAGACAATAGGAAAATGTGGAGTTACTACATTGAATTTGCTAAAATGAAATTTCCAAACTCAGTTACAAGCATCTTTCAACAGATGCTTGGTTTTCATCATGCGGACAGTGACTATATTGAAGCTGCAAATCATGAAATGGACAAACAAAACTACTATGTGGCAATTAATTTTCTTATTCAAGGAATGAGTAATGAAAAAAAGAACTCAAAACTTGTTGCTCTTCATATTGAATGCTCATTGAAGCAGGCTGAAGCTAGTGGCGATGAAAAGTTTAAGGAAAGAAGTCTTGCGCAAGTAACAAAATATTTCGATAAATATATCAAAAGTACAAAAGATGTTCAAATTTACATAGACTTGCTGAAAAAGATACAGAACTTAACTTGCTCCATAACCTTCCAAAATCAAATATTACAATATTTACTAATAGTGTTTTGCTCTCGTCCAGAAGTTTGGAATCTTTTAGCTGATCGTCATCTTAATGGATTATTTTTTCAAGAAAACAGCGAAACTGAAAATTCGACAGACATGTCATTTAATAATCGTTTAAGACATGCATTAACAATTTATGATAGATCATTGGAGATGGTTGATGATAAATTTAGGACACAAATGTTTGATTTCTATTTAAATAAGCTTATGGAACTTGATATGCTAAAAACAAATTTAGATGACTACGGCTATCAATGCATTAGATCCGCATTTATAAAAACTTTAGATGCTGGTTATAAAAAAGACTGCCTTTCTGAAGACTTTTATACTCAATATTTGAAGTTGTGCATCATGGACAGCAAGAAATCTCGCGAAGATATTGAGGAAGTGATTGTTAAAGGTTCACATCTTTATCCACATTCAATGGAATTTTATGAAGTTGCTATCAAGTTCTATTTCAAAATTCAGAAATATGAAAATATTTCGTTGCTTTTTAAACAGTCTATCAAAAATAATGAGAAAGATGCAATTCATTTGTACGAGTTTTTGTGTCAAATTTACCTGCAAAATCCTGAAGATAAGGAACGATTGATAAAGGCAATGATGGAAGCTATTGCTAGTAACGATAAGAATCTATCAGCAAACTTTCAGCCATGTATTCTTCAATATTACGCATTTTCTGAGAATATTGAGAAAGCACGAGAAGTTTACACACAAATGCTCAACTCTAAAAGTGTAATTTCACTGTCCTTAAAATTTTTCACTGCCATGATAGAAATAGAAAACATGCAATTGAAACCTGATCGAGCCATCATTTTTAACTGCTTTGAGCGTGCTACGAAAATCTTTGGGAAAAATCATCCTGACGTGAGTTGATAGAAGACTTTTAATTTCTTTATCATTCATATTTTATTTTAACTTTTTAGATTTGGATCGAATTCATCAAATATAACTGGGAATTGGGAAAATTCTCCGAAGCTTATAGTCTCAAAAAACGTGCTATAGAATCCATGAAAGGCGATTTAAGAGCTGTCGAAAAATTTGAACTTAAATATGTAATGTTAAGAAACAAACTTGGAATGAATGAGGACATTAAGGAAGAAAAAATGTAGAAATAAAATTATTGAGCTTAAATAAACTATTTTTTCTTATTATTTTCACCTTTATTAATAATTTCGTTTAATTTTACAACATACTACAAAAAATATTTACTAGGGATAAAGTTTTAAATCACAGCTTTAAGTCTTTACTAATTCAAAAAGACTTTTTTTTCTCATTTTTTTTTATATTGTTAAAACTATTATTTTTTGAGCCATAAGATCGCAATGTGTTTCATATTGTGATTAGATATTTTAGTGTAATTTTTACAATGAAAATTACAAAGGCATTAAACTTAAAAGTTACAATAGACTCAGCGTTTGGCGCCTTGACTGTGTTTAAAGACAAAAACAAAAAAGAATAAAAAAGGTTCCGTAATATTCATGATGAATCATTGTGCATTCGTTCATATCTTAATTTAATTATGTAGTACCAGACACTAGAATCACGTGTAAATTTTAATTCTACATTTTACGTAAATAATGATTTATATTGTTTTATTCGAAACTTGTAATTATTGTTGTATTTTGTTGCTCTTGCCAAATAAGTTCTCATGATTTTAACTTGTAAAAGCACAATTAAATTGTAAGCTTTCAGACAATTTCTATTATTAGGATAAAAATAACAAAATTTGAGTTAACTTGAAATGAATGATGAAATAAGATTTCTTTCAAGAAAATTTATTGTGCTATATTCTCTGATGCTAAGGCGCTTCATTTAATTCACTTTTTCTGAATGCAATTCTAAATTGTGCTAAAACCGAATTTAACTGATATCAATTTTTAAAGCATCTTTAAAAACTTGATTTCTAAAAGTAATAATGCACATTTATCGTTCGTTCCAGACATCGTAAGGAGCTCGTGTTTGATTTATCATCTTCATTACTAACAATTTATCAGCCCATTGAATGGTTAAAAGTATTGAAACAGTGTTTTTATACCAGTGGTTTTCAAACTGGGTGCCGCAAAATAATTTGAAACCTATAATTGACCCTATATTTTCATGTTTTATGACTTTATTAAAAAATAGGATGACCGTTCAAAACACCTAAAGTTTTTTACCTCTAAACATTTCAAATTTATAAAACCTAAATTTTCTGCATCTAGAGTTTTTAATCTAATGTATATAGAGATTAAAAACTCGAATTGCAGAAAATTAATCCTCGGATTTAAATTTAAGCTTTTTGCTGGATCAGTGTTGCATTCTGGCGATTTGTCTGGATCAGATAAATTCTGAGACAGAAATTTCTTCATAAAGATCGATTCTATGTGAAGATAGAAAATCTAATCTACACAAAGATTATTTCTACATAAAGATTCTGTCTACATAAAGATTCGATGTAGATGTCTACAATTCTACATTTTTTCTAGGTCTACATCAGAGAAGATGTAGACTATGTAGACAGAATCTTTATGTAGAAATAATCTTTGTGTAGATTAGATTTTCTATCTTCATGTAGAATCGATCTTTATGAAGAAAGTTTCTTAGCTAGACGAAAACTATTGAAGAATCTACATTCTTCATCTAGTGTAGACATCTACATTTGCAACACTGTGCTTTGGGATTAGAAAAGCTTCAATCTTAAGTTAAAAATAGATATTATGATTTTGTATGACATTTTTAAACACAGAGATTATGGATCTGTTATTGACTGTGTTCCTCTTTTTGAATGTATATCAGTTTATAGCTTCAATGCCTCTGGATGCTTTTTTGATCTCTTTAAGCATTGCTGAATTTGCTTGAATTTTAAAACAAATGCTATGCCATCGTAAAGGCACCATATCCAGTGCGCAAAAATTCAAAAATCTTTATTTTCTCAATTTTAGGTTCTGATTCCATTTTCAAACAAATTTTTTGAAAACTTTTCCCTTGTGACTTCACAAATTGAGATTTTTAATCTCAATTGAGATTGAGAAGTGAGAAAAAAATCTCACGAGATTTGAAGACTCGCGAGATTTTAAATCAAGTTTTCTCTGAGAAAATTTTTCTCACGAGTTTTTCGGTGAGATTTCGAACACTACACATTTTATAACGATAGAAATAAATTCGAATTTCTGAACTCACTCACTCATCACGTGTTTTTCATTCGAAATTAAAAAATCCTGTGGTCGGCAAAGAGCTTATAAAATCAGTTGAAACTTAAAAGATTTGAATTTGAATTTTTTTTTATTTCAGGCGGGAAAATTTAAATTCAGGAAAAACGTTATTTGTTTTAAAGTCATATTGCTTTTAAATAATGTGATACTTTAATAATTTCACCCTCTTTTTTGGTCAGAAAACATTCTGATATTCATAAAAATAGCATTTAGTGTACTTGATTCTGGGATTTCTAAAAAGAATTTTTTCCTTCCTCATGTTTGTTTACATTTTGAAGAAAAATATTTGAAAATGAAAAGACGAAATTTTTTCAAAATTAGATAAAATAGTGAATCCGTAAACAGTTTAAAACAAAGAATGTACATTTATTTTGTGTTAAATATTGTTTTCTGTAAGAAAACCGAAAGATTTTGGCTAAAAATCCACAAAATTTTCTGATTGGCTAAAATTTATAACGGATTTAGTTCTAAAAATAAGATCTGTTTGCCAACCATAGATTTGAAAGTTTCATTATAGAGTCATGCGCATTCATAAAATATGTCGCAATATTTGAGAGCTTCAATTTCATTTAAAATATGAATATTGTATTGGAGCAGTAGAAGTGGTCGAAAACTCAATCGCAAGATATGACCTCGACATATAGACAGATAAACAGACAGAAAAGAAACCAAGTTAAGAAAAACGTGGTAAAAATGAGTTATAATTATTCTCGAACTTGAAATTATAAAATTTTTGAATACTTTAATTTTACTAAACTTACGCTTTACGAAAACCAGCTTAACATATTCATTTACTATTTTATTTTCATAAACAACATTCTAATCAAAAAATATGTTGTTAATTTAAGTAAAATTTTATTTTTTTAAAATCATTTTTGTACTCGATAAGTGCTTTATAAGGTAAATTAAGTATGCACAATAATAAAACAACATATATGTAACGAAATGTAAATCAATAGTTTGAAGTTGTCTAGACGTTTAGAAAGTAGAAAAGCATGTAGAAGGAACCAACTGCACCAAAAGGATATAATATCGCCATACATAAGTATATTTGGTGCTAAGAACGACTAGATAGCTTAATAAAGATAAATAATGTTTCATTGACGAATTTTTTGAAAACGTCAATCGATAGAATTGTCCTTTTATGTTATTAGTCTTGTCAATAACATACTCAAAACCGTTTAAATAATCAAAATTGGTTAATCCAGCAAAAAGCTTAAATTTAAATCCGAGGATTAATTTTCTGCAATTCGAGTTTTTAATCTCTATATACATTAGTATATAGGTTTTAAAAACTGCACGTGCAATTTTTTAAACCTATATACAAATGTATCTGAAGATTAAAAACTCGAGATGCAGAAAATTTAGGTTTTATAAATTTGAAATGTTTAGAGGTAAAAAACTTTAGGTGTTTTGAACGGTCATCAACTCAATAAATAAAGCAACATTGGTGAAATCATGAAATTTTTAAAATTTATTTTAATTATAGTATTAAGGATCTATTAAAGAAGATTAAACTGCGCTTCTAAATTATTTTTAAAACAAATAATATTAAAAAATGACTTGAGCATGCTATTACATAGTAATTTGGTGGCACAAAAGAAAGCTTATAGCTTTTGAGATTATCTAGTGACTTTTACCATTTGAATTTCCATTTCTATGACCTTCTAAATAAAATGTAGCGTTAAATTTCATTGATAAAAGATAAACTACGGACTCATATGTAGCCATCATAATTGCCGTATTTGGAATTTGTCGCACGAGTTGTGTTGCAAGGCCTCGATATAATCCAGCTTTACCTTCTTCTTTCCATACAAGAAACAGTGTCTGCCAAAATCTATTATATTTATTGCCTTCTTCACGAAGTCTTGTTCTAGCTACTTCATGCGGATATGCGATACACGAAGCAATTGTTTTGGAAGTAGCTCCTGCTATCATAAATTCGACAAAGTCTCTCGTTGATTTTCCTTCTTCTGGTCGCTTCTGACGAAGATCCACCTTTTAATTATTTTTATGTTTATTTATATGCAAGATGCCAAAATCTTTCTCGCTAAAGTATAAATTTGTACTTACAAGTCTTCTTTTTAGCGTCTCATAGATGACGAAATGAACAACTGTCTCTGATATACCAAAATAGCTAGCTGTAATACCTTTATAAAATCCTCTTAATCCGTTGGTTCGATAAATTCCTTTAATACAATCTATAACCGTCATCTTATTTGTTGAATTGTGATCGAGCTGGAGTCGAGTCTTGACAAACCATATTGGATTTGTGACCGTAGATGACACAAATCCAGCACATGATGCCGAAGCGATATGAGATAAAGGTGAGTCAGTCGATAAGATTCTAAATTAGTTAAATAATAAAATTAAGTTTACGAATGGTGAAAACTAGGAAATAGCGAATAAAAGCTCACCCATAGTTATAAAGAGCCTCCTTTGTCTGACTATAAGTACAAAAGTAAATGGCTCTGCTTGGTGCAACACCAACAATATTAGGTCCCAAGCCTTTGAAAAGCGCTCTAGACCCTTCTGTTTGTACAATGTGTTTTAAGCATTGAATAATGCTCATTGACTTTGGCGCTGAGGATATACCACAATGTGAAATAGCGTATACCTTAAAATAGAAGCAACAGATGTATAATTAGTATTGCTTTTGTTCAGATCGTTTTCACTGCATTTTTATTCCTCTTTTTATCTAATGACATAAGATGTCTGATTAGTAAAAAAAGTAAGGAAATGGTTTGAATTAATTTAAAGGCGCCACAAAAAATTCTATTGCGCATTCATATATTCCTAATAGATTTTTGTTACTTTTGCCAATAATTAGTTCCGCAGTTTCCGAGATAAATTTTTAAAACCAAATTTATAGAATAGGGTAAAATGTTTAGCAATGAATACATGCAAGTTTAAAAATGTGCAGCTCATCGAAATTATTAGTTTATTTTTTGTTTTCTTTGATTATTTCCTTTTGAGATGCAAGGGTGTGGTACTGATGAAATGATCAAAAAAATTATCAAAATTGATCAAAAAAGATCAAAATGTAATTCTTCAGTTCCACACCCTTGTTGAGATGATGCCAATTTGCTATTATCTGATATCAATTTGGAGTCTTAGAAAGCCCTAATCTCACTTATTTTGAAAATAATCTGTGCCTTATGATTAATGTCATTTAAATAAGTAATTAAGTTATAGAATGAACGATGACCATGAGGCACTTAAATGTGATTGCATATTTCTTAAAATTTTCATTCATCTGCGCCCCCACTTACAATAATCTAACATATCAAAAGACTCTGTAGCTTTGATAACACACATTCATTGAAGGAATTCGAGTGTTAATTGATTAAATGTTTATAAAAATATCGTTTTAGTTCGATTGAACAAAAATTTCTTTCATAAATGAAATTGTGCGCATACTTTTTGTTTTCAGTGTTTACATAAATCACGTCTTTTGCAATAAAAAGACAAACATTCTAAATATTGGCCGTCATTATTGAATAATTCCTTTGATATCTCTTATCATAAAAGGTTCCCAACGAATATGTAACCAAACATTTAGTCTTGTTATCATGCACATCAGCTGGTACATTTTTTACACTTTGTACTTTATGCCGGTATTTTACGCACTCGAGTGATATCTTGACATCGACGTGCTGCACATTTTTTTATAAATATGTCTCTGAACAACTGTGATATAAAGTTAAATGCTGATTTACATTTATGTTAAATCGGTTGCAGAATGTTTTCAGTGGTGATTTCTGCAATAGAAATAGAAAAAAAGAGGCAGTTGTACATGCAAGTTTATCGCGAATGATTGAAGCTCATTTTTCTTAATAAACCAATATAAAAGTATAATAAAAGTTATATCTGATTTTTTTCGGTGTGAATTTGTAATTTAGGAAAAGTGAAAAACTAATGATTGTTCTTTGAAAAATGAGCTAAATGGAATTGGCATGCGATGATATTTTATTTTGATGTAAAAATAGCAACTCCTAAATACCTGAGGTCTAATTCGTTTTAGTATCGTCGAACTGAATTTCCTTCGCTGTTCTGGACGTCTTAAAGCTGAATATGAATTTTGTAAACTAGACGTATCAGAAATTCGTGCAGAACGTGTTGGAGTTGATAAAAAGGCATTTGAACTTTGTAGACGAGTTTTTACTACTTCTAATGGACATGTTACTACAGCGCCGGCTGTTCCTGCGACACTGCAAACAATATAAAAAGTTTGTTAAATTACGAATGATCACATTTTTTCATATTTTTATTTTATGATTTGGATTCATAGTACAATCAGTACAAGTTAAAAAAAATTGTTAGTGATAATGAATAATCAAACAATTTTAGACCATATAGTCACATAGACACGTAAATAAGAATTTTATTAAAGAAATCCAGTTCAATCCAACTGTTATTAAAAATCATTTCACATTTTATGTTTTCCAGTTTCATGAAAAAAAGTTTATAGAGCTATAATATTGATAACCTATCTTGACTTTAGGATTGGAACAATCTATGATTTTTTAATTCACAAGTGCCATATTTTTCATTCAGTTTTCTGTAGCCAGCTGAAACCAGATAATTGATTTTATTGGCTTAACTAATTTCATAATATTTCATGAAAACAACAGTAAAGTTTAAGGATCTCGGAAAAAAAAATCTAATCTTAGTTTTTAAATAGCATTCAATCGATTTTCATATTTATTTTTTTTCAACTGAATGCCAATTTTATTGCGAGAAATGAATGCATCAGGTTATTAAAAATGAATCAGTTCAGTGATTCTTTCAAGTTGAAACTGGATTCAATTATTAGTGATTGATAATCAACAAAAATTTTACATACATTACAATCTGGATCTTTTTATTTACTTTATAAGCAGTATTTAATAACAAATTAATTTTCGTTCGTCTTAAGTAAAACTTTATTGTGACTTTTGGCAACATATCCCCAGTCTAATAATAGAAAAGGCAAAATTCTCTTCTCATCGTTTCTGCCACACTACTTTCACGTGAACGCATGATTGTGATTCTTTATTTACAATGCTCAACACGTTATAGTTTAATATTGCAAAAAAGACACTCAGAGAAACAATTTGTTAATGAAGCACTAAATATTGGGTTGAAGTCTTCAATGAATGAGGTAAATTGCTTGTGAAAATTAAATTAGCATATAGTTCTATTATATTGCATATTCAATTTGCATGAATTTTCTAATAAACGAAAAGATGATAATTTGCAGATTAAACAGTTAAAAGATTTTTTTTTGATCTCTTAAATGAGACTGATTCCTTCAAGGTCATTGAAATGTAAGGAAATAATGCTAATTTTTTTCTTCTTTCACTACAATAAACATTTTATATGAAAGCGAAGCTACGGCGTAATTATTTTGGGCAATGCACTAGTATTTTCCTCTCAAATAATATTAATAAGTTATTTGTGTTTGTATTTTTGCCGGTCTGTTCGACATATGATTTTTTTAGTATGTTGTATATCGTAGCGACATTTTAAAAATAAATCTGTAATAATATTATGCAGTTTATAATTACAGATTTTCATTCATTTTAATATTGTAGTACCAAGCTACATTGTCTTTAACAAAAAATAAACTGTTTGATCAATATGAAGTTCTTTTTATTACACAAATCACTATGAGCTCTTTTGCTTGACGTTGTGCTTCTTTGCACGTTACAATGAATCAAAAAGGGATACTGATAAAAAAAAGTTTTTATCTATGATGCGTAATTAAAGCGCTCTTGCATACGAAATCTTTAAATCACCTAGAACAGCGTTAATGGTAGTAATTGTTCACTATATGCGTAAATATTAAGAGAAAGGTTTGATGATCTGGCTGTTGGTTGAATAAAGTGGTAATGCAAATCCAGTCAGTCAAAATATAGATGACACAACATTCACATTAGCAAGGCTAAAGAAATAAATACTTTGGATCTTTGCCCAAATTGATTGCGATCTAAAAATATACCTATGCATATATTCCCAACTGCTACTTCTATTATTATTATTTACAGAGAAAGAGAGTCATCGCGGAAATTAAGGCTACAACTACCTACAAACAATATTCATGATTGCATTGTAAACATAGAATTTGTATCTAATGCTACCAACGATCCATAGAAATAGAAAGGTTGTACGTGATAAGCTTAATGAATGAATGGCGATTTACTTTTCACTATGGGAAGTTTGCAAGTAAGTTTCTTGTCTTCAAATCATAGTCTTGATTATTCATGAGATGTTCATTAATATGGAAATGTTTGCATTCATGACATTCTTTTACGTCACAAATATATTACAAGCTATACAAGAGACTTACCCGCCTGCAATCAGGTGAATTATACTGTCTCTTTCAGACATTTTAAAGAAAACTTTTCTATGCTTATGTCTTTATTTCTTTTATCACTCTTCTTTCCGAATATTTTTTACATTAGTCCTTATAATTACTTGAAATATAATTTTTCACAATTGACACAAGTATCCGTTAATTCTTTTAATAAATCACATAATTTTAATTTAAGATTTCACTTGGTATGCTGCTTAACGCAAATTGGCTCAAAATAACCTTAATTTTTAATTAAAAATCTTTTAAGTAAGTTCCTCATCAATTTAAGAAAACTTCAGCTAATTTATTGAAGCACTTTTCCTATTTTAAACGTTATGACAACTTTCTTGTTCGATTAAATAACACTTTAGAATTTTTTCAAGTCTAGCAAGCTCTGTAGTCTCGATCGCTGTAACTCTTAGTGTTTAATAATTTTTTCATGATTTTCAAAACATTGCACAAGTCATTATTGACTCTGAATCATTAACAACTGTATTTTTTTCCTAGATCTTTCACTTCCACGCGATTAATGAATGTGTCTTAAAACTACATCAACATTTGTTATATATCTGGTGAAACCTTGAATTAATTATTGTCAGGAATATATTAGTTTTTACACGCTTTTTAACAGATTTATTTTAATATTAATAAAATAAGTTTGGCACAGAAGTTTAGTAGGTGCTGACAAAATATTTTCAAGTTTGTTGACAATTTTCAAGTTTAGTATAATTAAAGTTGTAATTTTTGGATGATAAAAAAAGTTATTTGTAAGTCATGTCAAGTAAAACTGCAACAGTGTTAACTGCCCAACAAAAGGCACGAATTGAAGAGAATAGAAAGCAGGCATTAGAAAGATTGAAATTGCGAAATACTGCAAAAGGAATCAATTTGCCAAATAATCCAGTGACAGTGTCAAAAATACTGCCAACAAGAGCTGATGCTTCATCACACCGCGTGATTCCTTATTCAAAGCCTCTCCAAAATTGTTTTTCAAACACTTGTCAATCGACTGATGAAAACCCTGTGACGTTTAATTTAAAGTATACACATTGCTTAATTGAACTGATAAATGAAGAAAGATTTCAAGTCAAAACAAACGGCTATAATCAAAAAGTGATTCAAGAATTCAAAAAGTTAAAATCTGCAACATATTGTAAATTTATCTTCCCATTAATAATCTACAGAAATTATAATTAAATTTTGATATTATTTCAGGCAAAGCAACAAAACATTGGTCATTTAGATTATCAGACTATGCTTTACTCATCGACGGATTAAATACGTTAAGAAGTTATAATAATATCACTTTGTCGAAAATCCCGGAATTCGTTATAACAGCACTGTCTGAAGAAACTCAAATCGTAGACGAGAAAGCGTGCTTAGAACAAATAGATAACACTTTAGTCAGCACTTTACTTGATTTCCAAAAAAGCGGCATATGTTTTGGAATAAGCAAAAGTGGACGTTGTATGATAGCTGATGATATGGGTTTAGGAAAGAGTAGACAGGCATTGGGCATAGCAGACTTTTATAGAGATGACTGGCCATTATTAATTGTCACGAATGCTTCAACTCGCCAGTTTTGGGCAAATGAAGTTGAGAACTTACTGTCAAGATTGTCGTCTAATGATATACGCATATTTCAAGGAACTGGAGATTGTTATGATGGTGCTAAAGTTGTTATATGCTCCTATAATAATTTACAAACACACGGAGAAAATTTAACGCAATTTGGAGTAATTATATTCGATGAAAGTCACAATCTTAAAAATGAAGTAAGTTGTTATTTCTTCATGAAGTTATTTCTTAATATTTGGTTGATATGAAATCTTTTTTAGAAAGCTAAGCAAACTGTAAATGCCGAGCTTGTTAGTAAAAGTGCACTGCGTATTATCATGCTAAGTGGAACTCCAGCTTTGTCTCGACCTGTTGAATTGTTTTCACAGCTAAAGATTCTTGATATTAAAAATGTGCTTAACTTTTATCATTTTACTGCAAGATATTGTAATGGACGACAAAGCAATTTCGGATGGGATGTCTCTGGCTGTTCAAATTTAGAAGAATTAAATATACTACTGAAAAAAAAGTATTTAATACGGCGAATTAAAAGTGATGTGTTTTTGGAGCTAAGCAATAAAAATAGGGAGCTGGTGTTTTTGGACAACTACAAATACACAACTTCATATGATGATGAAATGCAAGAACTTGGCAGTCAATTTTTGGAGGCAAATAATAATCATAAATTTTCTGAGAATATATTATTGAAATGGTATCAAGCTACATCAAAGGTTAAGGCATATGGAGCAAGTTTATTTGTTAGAAGATTTTTGGAGCAAAATGCATGTAAAATTTTGGTATTTTGTCATCATAACTTTATGATGAATGCTGTATGTGCAGAATTAGACAAAACAAATATAGCTTACATTAATGTTGATGGGAAAGTGTCAGGAAGTTACAGAGCTAAACGAGTTCAAGAATTTCAAACTGATCCAAACATTAGAGCTGCTGTATTGTCCATTAAAGCATGTAATGCAGGAATCACTTTAACAGCAGCATCGACAGTTATATTCTGTGAGTTTGACTGGAATCCAAGGTATTAATAATAAATTTATTTTTATAACATGGATCCAAATATGATTTAATTGAATTTCAGCTCAATTATACAGGCAGAAGCTCGTGCACATAGAATTGGTCAAGAGAGTGAAGTTAAAGTTTATTTTTTAATGGCAAAAGACACATCAGATAACACAATATGGGATTTACTTAAAAAAAAGCAAGACAAGTTGGGCAAAGCAGGGCTTGTGGCTGATGTAGAAAATCTTGGTGATAATATTAAAGTTTCTAATTTTGATGTTCAGGAAGCAAAGAATTTCATAGAGAAGAGACAAACTCTTAATAAAAATGTTCGTGTAGCAAATGAGGAAAAAACCTTTATAAATCAAAACCAAGTTGCACCAAAAATTTGTTACTTTGAGGATGATGATATCGATGATGAAGAAATGTTTCGACTTGTAGAACACTTGCCATAAAATCAGCTTAAAAATGTAAAAATAAGTATGTAAGACTGAAATAAATAAATATATAGATATTTGAGAACATATTATGTAGATAGCAATTTCTTTAAAGCACAATCAATAATTTTAAATTTAATCGAACTCTAAATTTGAACTTTTCAAAAACAGTTACTTTATTTAACAATATTTAAACGAAATCATTTTTATTATTATTATTACCACGTTTTTTAACTTGCTTTCTTGTCTTTCTGTCTTTCTGTTTGTCTTGGTCAAATCTTGCAATCAATTTTTCGACCACTTTTACTTCTCCAATCGAGTTGAAATTTTGCATGCACTTATTTTTCCGATGACAATACTATATTCAAGCATTTTCGAAACACAAAAATGCCTAATTATAGTACAATTAAATTAAATTTTCTCCTCTTTAAGGTGTCGACGTTGATCGAAAAAGTGAAAAGTTTGTCAAAATTTCAGCTTATATGCTTATGTTGTAGACATTGGTCCCTTGTTTAAGGGAAAAATAATTTTTTTCTCCGAAAGTGCCTGGTCCACGAGAAAAGAGGGTTTGAATTTTTGTACTTCATGTAATTTTTAAAATGCTATTGTGCTTCATCTGCTTATCCGTTTGTCTTCAAACTTTTTTTATTTGACAGATACAAGTAAGATATTCGAAAAAACTAGGTTTTTTGTCATTTTTTGGAGCTCATGACTATATAAGGCTTTCAAAATTTTTTTAAATTGCATTTTTTTGTAGATCTCATTTATAACTACAAACATTTTATGCATAATCTACAGATTTTATGTAGTTTGAGTAGTGAAAATTAACTTTGAAGTCAAAAATTTGCATATATTTTGCTATATTCTCAATTGTGATCCTCTGTCCATGTCCGGCTCCCAAATTTTATTTCATTAATTTATAGATTTTAGTATGTTCTATTGATTAATGTTAAAAGAAAAAGAATCACTTGCCGGAAAGCTTTGAAATATGAGTCTGAAGTTGGTCTAGTGAGGTATCTCAAAATTCAAAATGAATTTCCACGTACCAGTCTTAATGAAATTTTCAGGTTATGTTCAAAAAACAATGTACTTAACATCCACAACAAAAGTTTTTAATTAAAAACACAATTTTGTTGAAAATTTAGGCAAAAAGTGATATATGATGTTATGAAACCATTAAATGCTCAATAAAGCTACTTTAACTAGTTAAAATCAAAACATTTCTGCAATTTTCATAAAGTTCATTTAAAAAGCTTTCCAATGGTGTATAATAAATCACATAAATATGTAATTTCTAGTAAATATCATCAAAATTTTAAAAAATGTATCAAATTTTACCGAATCTGGAAACCTATGGTTGACATTTTTGCTTGGAACTATTGTAAATTTTAAGTATATGCAATAATTTTGGTATTGATAGAAAGCTTAAAATAGTTTTAATGTATCTAAAGAGGAATTGAAGCTCACTGGCAGCTAGGAGACCAGTTATGCTAGGTCCAATATGTCATACTTTAACTTCCACTACTAGGCACAAGGGTCATTCCACTTTTATTTTTTGGACTTTTTTCTATAGATCTATGCTAGAACTGTAAGATAAGTTCCATAAAAGTGGTTTTTCGATGTTAATTTCAGTAAAATAGTAAATGCATTTAATCAAAAAATCACCTCAATCTAGAAATCCCTAAAATGCAGCTACCCTAATATGCAGATAGTACTGCCAAGATGCAGATGGTACTGCCAAAGTGCATATGAAATTTATTTTCCCTAAAATGCAGATTAAATGCTGTTGCTTTAAAAAAGGTATAATGCAGATGATTTTTATCGTATAAAGTGCAGATAAGATGCTGCCCAAAGATAGATGTAGATCGTATAATTTTATTAAAATAAAGATGAAATGCTGTTATAATGTAGATAATTTAACGTTGGATATTAATTTTTTGGGCCCGACGAAAAAAAAATTATTCGTGAGTGACGCTTTGGTTTCTTAAATATCTCCGAAAACACAATAGTAACAAATTTCAAAGTTATAATATCTTGTAAAAAACAAAAATTGCTTTCTTTTGAGATAGAACTTACTTCCTAAAGTTAAAGCGTTATGTCAGAAAATCAATTTAATTAAGCGTCACTCACGAATTTTGTTAAAACTTTGTCAGCTTTCATTGATATATCTACAAATGTATTTTTTAAATTCACACCGTTTTCACGTAATAATCGATTGGTTTCGTTCAGATTGAAAAATCAGTTTTTCGCATGTTGTGAGAAAACGAAGCAAAATTGGCTGTAAAAGGTTCAAGAAGAAAAGTTTGTGCCTGAAATTTTACATCATTTGCAAAAAACAGATTTTAAATTAGTTGCGGCATTGCTGAGAAAATAGCAAAATACGATTTCTGTAAGCAAACAAGCAAGCAAGCAAGTTAATCAGCAAGAAATCTCAATAACGAGACATCGTAGAGACTTCTAGTTTTTTACATTTGATCCGTGCTGCTCTATAGAAGAGCTGTATTGTTTTTGGGCAAGGTAGGAACAGTTGTTGCTTCAGAAAAAGCGAAAAACTTTTCTTTCTTACGAATTTTTTAAAACAAAAGTTGACTGTGATTTTTATGAAATTCAACTTTGGATGAAAAATGTTTTTAAAAAACTTTAAAGAATGCTCGTTAAGCTTTAAACCTCTAAACATATTCTGAGCATAGCTCAGCTGGTTCGTCAGGATTTATACTTTCAAATTAATACTGAGCTAAGCTTGGTCTTTCCACAAGACTTTTGATGGTACGGTGCGAATATATCCGCATTCGGTTTCTACCCGATACACTAGTTGATGTTATTAAAAAAGTTCAGGAAAACAAAAATGCACTTTTGAATACATTGCAAACTTTATGACTTTAAATTACTTTGCTACACGAAATTTTGATGTAATTAGCATGGAGGGGATTTAAATCATCTTTCCCAAGTGATTTATTTTTGATTTATGATTTAAATCATTTTATATGGGGATTTTTTTTGGGATTTTAAATCACTTGAAGGTGAAAATTTGTATGGAATTTTTTCTTTTATTAACACGTATCAAGAAAAAAAGTCATCGAATATAATGTATTTTAATAAAATGGAATAAAATTATACGATCTAAATTTGGGCAGCATCTTATCTGCACTTTATACGATAAAAATCATCTGCATTATACCTTTTTTAAAGCAACAGCATTTAATCTGCATTTTAGGGAAAATAAATTTCATCTGCACTTTATCAGTACCATCTGCATCTTGGCAGTACTATCTGCATATTAGGGTAGCTGCATTTTAGGGATTTCTAGATTGAGGTAAAAAATCGCAAATTTTAAGGTTATTATTTAGACAATTTTGTTTCAGTCAACCATGAAAAACCACTTTTATGGAACTTATCTTACAGTTCTAGCATAGATCTATAGAAAAAAGTCCAAAAAATAAAAGTGGAATGACCCTTGTGCCTAGTAGTGGAAGTTAAAGTATGACATATTGGACCTAGCATAACTGGTCTCCTAGCTGCCAGTGAGCTTCAATTCCTCTTTAGATACATTAAAACTATTTTAAGCTTTCTATCAATACCAAAATTATTGCATATACTTAAAATTTACAATAGTTCCAAGCAAAAATGTCAACCATAGGTTTCCAGATTCGGTAAAATTTGATACATTTTTTAAAATTTTGATGATATTTACTAGAAATTACATATTTATGTGATTTATTATACACCATTGGAAAGCTTTTTAAATGAACTTTATGAAAATTGCAGAAATGTTTTGATTTTAACTAGTTAAAGTAGCTTTATTGAGCATTTAATGGTTTCATAACATCATATATCACTTTTTGCCTAAATTTTCAACAAAATTGTGTTTTTAATTAAAAACTTTTGTTGTGGATGTTAAGTACATTGTTTTTTGAACATAACCTGAAAATTTCATTAAGACTGGTACGTGGAAATTCATTTTGAATTTTGAGATACCTCACTAGACCAACTTCAGACTCATATTTCAAAGCTTTCCGGCAAGTGATTCTTTTTCTTTTAACATTAATCAATAGAACATACTAAAATCTATAAATTAATGAAATAAAATTTGGGAGCCGGACATGGACAGAGGATCACAATTGAGAATATAGCAAAATATATGCAAATTTTTGACTTCAAAGTTAATTTTCACTACTCAAACTACATAAAATCTGTAGATTATGCATAAAATGTTTGTAGTTATAAATGAGATCTACAAAAAAATGCAATTTAAAAAAATTTTGAAAGCCTTATATAGTCATGAGCTCCAAAAAATGACAAAAAACCTAGTTTTTTCGAATATCTTACTTGTATCTGTCAAATAAAAAAAGTTTGAAGACAAACGGATAAGCAGATGAAGCACAATAGCATTTTAAAAATTACATGAAGTACAAAAATTCAAACCCTCTTTTCTCGTGGACCAGGCACTTTCGGAGAAAAAAATTATTTTTCCCTTAAACAAGGGACCAATGTCTAAAACATAAGCATATGAGCTGAATTTTTGACAAACTTTTCACTTTTTCGATCAACGTGCGGTGGCCTAACGAGTTGAGTGATGTGTTATATATGGGTATTTTGTGCTATTTTGTGAAAGTAGAAAAACAACCTTTTTAAATTTTGTGAAGTTTTCAGTTCCAAGATATGAGCATCTGAAAACGGAGCTAGGACTGATTTTTAAATTTTTACCTTTTCAACTATATCTCTAGCAAGACTAAGCGAAAAATGTTCAAATTTTGCCTGTAATTTGTCAAGCCTTCCTTAACAAAATAAAACCAAAAAAATATTTGAGTAAGTTTTCAGTTTTTTCAATATTATTCAGAGATATTGTACTCATATATGACATATTATATATCGTTGGAAAGGAAATTTAAGCAGCTTAACATAAAAGATAATACAAATACTTTTTGTTAAGCATATAGTGTATTTAAAGTCATTTACTTCTCATTGAAAATGGAAAATGATGACATTTCAAATAAAAATGGTCCAAGTCCATGCCAAAAACTCAAATTAATTTAAAATATCAAAAACACTATTTTCTAACATTTCTGAAAGATTTATCAAGTTTGGACATGATTTTGACAAAAAAAGTGGAAAAAGATTTTTGAGGTGCATGCAGATGACATGTTTCAAATGGTTCAAAGTTGAAAATTTGGTGGAACTTTTTTCCAGGTTTTCACAGTTTTAGAAAGATAAAACTGAGAGCTATTTAAAACAGTTGAAACTTGTTTCTCCACTCACTTGGAATATGCAGTTATAGTCAATTGAAGTCAAAACATAGTAAAAAACCGTAAATTTTTTAAAAAAATCTCAATTTTTTGATGCATAAAAATAATTTTAAACCTTAAAAGGGATATTTTTCTTGTAGATCTAATAAAGAGCTACAATTTTATGAAAAAAGAAAAACATTCAAGTGCATCAGAAATCCACATACTCAAAAAAGTGTGACGTACTACTAACATTTGAAGTTTCGTCAATTTTTAAGCACTTTCCATGAAGTAAAACTTATGTGACTGATATTTATATTAAAGTTTCGGCTTATATCTGACATTTGAATTAAATTTCATGAAAATTGGTTTAGACAAGAAAAAGTTCTGATAAATTGAAAATATTAACTATCGAAGGTCATAAAATACATTTCGGGCTATATCTCCAGCACTGCTGCACTTTGGGCCAAAATTAAAATAGATTCTGATTCCTTGGATAAACACCTTTCAAATAAGCCAATAAAATAATTTTTGGAAAAAAAATTCGATTTTATCTCATAATGACTAGGTTGCATCGTAGATTCGCCATATCTTTATAATAGTGTCATATGAAAATATTTTTTTGGTTTTATTTTGTTAAGGTAGTTGAAAAGGTAAAAATGTAAAAATCAGTCCTAGCTCCGTTTTCAGATGCTCATATCTCGGAACTAGAAACTTCACAAAATTTAAAAAGGTTGTTTTTCTACTTTCACATAATACCCATATATAACACATCACTCAACTCGTTAGGTCACCGTTCTACTTGAAGGACACCCATACATGAATTGCAAATTTGTTCACTTCGACCATAACGTGGGCGCAATTATACGAAATTTAAGCTCTCCAAATATACAATATCAATGAATGCGCCCACGTTTTAAGGTTTTAAGATGTAGAACTATACGATATGGTCGAAGTGAACAAATTTGCAATTCATGTATGGTCATGACTTTAGTATGAAACTTTCAAATCAATCTCAATTTTTAAAACCAATATCCTTTGAACCCAATAAAAAAGTTATTTTCTACTATTTAGTCCACGGGTAAAACGTGGTTTTTAAAAAGTTTTTTTATAAAGTATTTTTATTAGCAACCTTCCCCCTATTTTTGCATGAAAAGTTACTAAAGTTATAAAAAATAATTTTTAATATAAATTAATCAATGTTATTTCTTACTCTTTTTAGTAAATTAATAAATTAAAAGGTCTATTCAATGTTTTGCTAACAAAAGTAAGTTGATAATACCAACAAGATCTGGAATGTAATCAGTGTATATGACTCATTAAATTTTAAGGACAAATTTTTATGTGTGTTCAAATTTTTTTTTATATATTAAACAACAGTGAAATGGTAATGTGGGGACCGTAAAGAACGAAGGCTTCCAATTTTAAGTCGGGATTTTTTTTTAAAAAAAAGATTTATTTATAGAAAAAAATGAAGATGTGAATAAGAAAATCTTATTAGATGCAGAATCTTTTTTTGACTGTCATATTCACACCGCTATTCACGTGACAAATTTAATCTTTTTTGTGTTCCTTATTCACTTAATTAGGACTATCTTTAATCAAATTAATAGCACAAATTAAAATAAATGTGTCTATTAAAACATCACATCCAATGCGATTTTTGTACAAATATTTCTTATTAATGAATGAAGTGAGATACGGTGTGGATGGACTTAGAAATTATTATTTCTTTTTTAAAATTATAAACATATAAGTTTATATACAAAAAAAAAATGCTTTTGGAAGTATTTTTAATGACACTTTAAATTTCAAATAAATAAGTTTAATTATTGAACTTTATTTAAACTTTATCTTTCACCAGTTTCAACCAAATTAATAATTGAAATACATAAAAATAAAAATGGAAAACACAATTGTGCAGGCGGATTTTTCATTTAAAGGCTCAAATAATGACGAGTTGTGCTTTAAAAAAGGTGATTTGATTGTGCTGACAAATCGTGATGAAGATGGAGCTTGGTGGGAAGGAACTGCTGTGGAATCAGGAATGACTGGCTGGTTTCCAAGCAATTATGTATCTGAATATAAGACCCAACCTCCCGTTGATGTAGTAAGGCCACCAGAAGAAATTCAAGCATTCAGAAGTGTTGTTTATAATGATTTACTAGATAGTGAACGTGCACATTGTGCCGAATTAAGAGGTCTTTTGGAAAATTTCCTTGAACCGCTAGAAACAAGCCAAATGTGAGTAATCTGCAATTATTTGCTCTGCATAAGAACGTTGTGCATCGTGTTAAATAAAAATGTTTTCTGGTCAATAGATTAAACAAAGATGAATTCGCACAACTCATATCAAATTTCGTAGAAGTTGTTGATTTACATGAAGAATTATTGAAAGATTTTGAGGAGTGTAATGATCGAGTAGGAAAATTATTTCTCAGTAAAGCACCAAAAATGAAGCTAATTCATCAAACTTATTGTGCCATGCATCCAAAAGCCATAGTAATAGTTGATAAATATAAAGAAAACCTTAACGTTTTCATGGAAAATCAAGGTGCTGCAAAACCGGTAAATATTCCTCTTCCTCCAATTTTCAATAATTATTCAAACGGGATTTTTAGGGGATTCTTGTTCTTACAACTGGTTTAAGCAAATGCTTTCGCCGACTAGAAAAATATGCTGCCATATTACAAGAACTTCAACGGCACATGGAAGTTTCTCATCCAGATCGCGGTGATACACAACGAAGCATTGAAGTTTATAAGGAGCTAGCTGCTTCCGTTGCCGCAATAAGAAGACAAAAGGAATTAGAGTTGCAAATATTAACTGGCCCGATTCGTGGTTGGGAAGGTGAAGAGTTGTCAAAAATGGGTGAAATTATTCACATGGGTTCATGTGCTGTTGGAAAAGATGTATGTATATTTACTTAAAAGCTAAATACTTAATTTCAAGCAATCCCTAAAATTTTTATGCTTTTTAGCATGTTGATCGATATTTCATCTTGTTAGAACAAAACTTATTAATCTTAAGTGTAAGCCAACGAATGTCAGCTTTTAAATTTGAAGGAAAGATTCCAATCTCAGGTATTAATGCTGCACGACTACCGGATACAGAAAAAATTAAAAATGCGTTTGAAATCACCGGACCATTAATTGAAAGAATTGTGGCGATATGTCAATCTACAAATGAAGCTAGCAAATGGGTTGAACTGCTAGGCAAAAATAATCTTGGATCAATTGATATTAAGAGAAACACAAGTTTTTCATCTGTAGCACACCTTCAACCTATGAGTGTGAGTATTGCTTTTATACACAATTTACAACACATAAATATAAACTATTGTCGCCAATGATAAGGGAATGTCAATTATCAATCAGAGTTCTCATATAAACAATAAACTATTTAGCGTTCAGGTACATTTTCCTTTTAATGATTTTAATACAATGAGATGAGAAAATGTCCTAGAAAAGCTAAATTAAAATTATTGCAAAATTTTTCACAGTGAAATTTTTCTAACTATGTTTTAATAGAAAAGGAATTTATTAGATTCGCGGGGATATTGTATCAATTCGAAATGTTCTTTTGAAATAGTGTACGATTATAAATCTACTTTACCATCAAAATACTACCCGCCTGCTTCTCCATATGCTGCTTTAACCGACTATTTACGAGAGCTAGTTCAGCAAAAAGTTTTGACAAAATTTATCTTAAAAGCTCTTTTGTATCCTCAATTTATGAAAGATATTGACACGACAGAAGTTAAATTAAGAAAAAGGCATAAAACTGTAGTAAGAATGTATAGGCATGGATCAAATAGCTCAAATAGTAGTGATGAAAATAGCAGCGAGGAATGCGACGACGATTCAAGTGGACATTTAGAGCGTCAAAATGCAATTGATAATTATACATCTTCTGGAGACGGTTCAAAAGTTTACAGTGAAATAAAATATAGGACAGGAAAAGGTGATTCTTGGAATGGAACAGTTTATGAAAGTTTTATAGATCATGGCGAAGATGCTGGAGAAATTCGTTATGAGCGATTACACGATTCAATCAGTAGTTTTTGCTTTGTTACGGAATGTGAATCTCCAACAAGAGAAAGCTTTATGATTGGATCGATTCCCCATAGATTTATAGGAGGTGAAAAAAGTGACTATGATCATGATAATAAAATCCATTTAACAACAGCAAAAATTAATTTATTGGATATAAAGCAAAAATCTGAACAGTCTCAAAACTCAAGTTTTGAGCAGATCAAATTAAGCAGTGAAAAATGGAAAAATATGGCTTATGAAGATCTTTTAAATATTGATGAGCCTGTAAAGCCTAAAGAGGATAGTAAAACGAAAACATTTCAAGAAAAACATTATAGTATGCCAATGCAGTTTGTTGGAAACCGATTTAATGTTTCATCATTAACAGAAATATATATTCCTTCCTGGAAAAATCACATAAAGCATGAAAACAATTTAAATCAAATGACAACTCCATGCAATAGCTTTGATGATTCTGAACATGTGTCACAAGTCACACATTCCAAACGTTCTTTGACATCACAAGAACGAGTAGATTTGACAATTCCTGCTAAAAATAAAATAACTGCTGAAATCATTTTTAATAATAACGAAGATAATGCAAGCTACAGACATGTTCATAATATATCAGATATTTTTTTAAATGAACAAGGTAATTCTTCACCTATCCAGTCCTATCCACAAGGATATGATGCTAATAAAAGATGTGATTCAAAATTTTTACCACCAGCAACAATTTATTCAAGCGATTCTGATTCAGGAATTGCAGCCGGAAGTTATACTTTATCGCCATCTGAAAAGCCATTTAATTATCATCGTTCTTTTATTAGTCATAAATCTAATCTGCATGCATTAAATTCATCTTCAAATGATAATATCGCTTCAAATAATGCGATTTCAGATGAAAATTTCTTGAGATGTAATCAATCTTTACATTCAAATTCACTCGAGGGGGATAACAGAACTAATCTAGTAATAAATATTGACAGTGGGAAAAAGAAAGGAAGTGATAAAATTTTCTATTCTGGACTGTATGCTCATTGGTTGAAAAAAGAAGAGTTACCATCTCAAATGATTGAAGCAATAACTAGCAATAAATATGAGAACAATGATGATCAGCATTTTAAGAGACATGAAAGAGGTTCAGGCAAGAAAAAATGCTTAAAATCCAGTTTATGATGTTGCACTTTCTTGTTTTTCCTTTTTAATATGTTTTATTTATCTTTACAATAATCATGACTGATATGCAGAGTTGATGATTGCCTTGCCAATGATTAGTGTTTAGATCAAGCAAAACTTATGCAAACTTGGATCTAATGTTGTTAAGTTTTGTCTTTGCCAAAGATGAAAAATTTATTAACTTTAAGGCATTTGCAAAGAATAATTTTACTCGGTTGCAGGCGGTCCCTTAAAACCAGTGGTGTTCAAAGTTTGAACTTCAAACTATTCTGTTTTTCATTGATCATTTCTATGTCGTGAATCACAGTTTGAATACCACCACCTTAAACCAACTTTGTGGATATGTGATAGAATAACAAAATTAACTACATTTTGATATCATTGTTCTATCATGTATTGATTAATAAGCTTTAAAGTTCGTACGCACACATTTGCAAATCAGTTAACTCTCTAGTGTATAAATATTTTAAATCACCATTAAGAATAAAATAGATCATTTACTAAACTCATTATAGTGACATCATTGTTGGTTTTGATTAGCTGTTTTGTTTGCCTGAGCCTCACATTTATCCCTTCTTTTGGAATGATGAACAAATAAATTGAAGATAAAAATCAAGCAAATTTTTTTTTTAACTTTCTCGCTTCAATTGGCTGTAAATGCTTTAAATTATCATTCATTTTTCTTTGATGCATAATATTAGAGTGAAAACTACTAACATTTTTAAATTTAGTTTGTTCATAATCCACACAAACTATTCAAAAAATAATAATTGTTACTTTATAGATGTCGCCAATAATCGGCAGTCAAACACGCAGCAGTTCTTCTTCCATGCAACAAATAAATCAGCACAAGCGAAGCCTTTCATTCAATCATCATCTAAGCTACAATCAGGTAGTTGCTCAACAGCAGACGCAGCAACCTCAACAACATCAAGCCTTTTTGAAACCACTCCTAACTCAACGAAAAGAAATTGTCCCCACAAGTCCAAACATAAAAAATGCTCAAACGAAAAGTAAGTTTTTAATATGATATTTATAAGCCATTAAAGCCTGGACCAGTATAAATCATTAAGTATATTGGTTAAAGAGTATTTTATGAAATTATATCTGATGCAAGCAAATAAGTATGTAGTTATCAACAATGTTAATATTGTGAAAAATAATATTATAATTTTAATTATTTTCGACTTAAATTATCAGATAATTGGAGTATTACACATTTAAGGCCGTCTAATCCTTTGCGTCCATGCATTGCATCAAGTCAATCCAATTCGCAGTTGAAATTTGAGCTATCAACAAAGAGGCCACAACCAACTTACGAAGAGGATGCACTAGTGTTGCGTGTTATTGAGGCATATTCTATTGCATTTCAAAATACATCAAGAAATACAATTCATTCAGGTGAATATAACAATGCTCTTTTTTACTGCTTAATTTTTTGCTTACTTGTTTATATCAGTGGTGTTCAAACTATGCTTCGCGATACACAATTACTTATTTTTTAAAAAAAAAATACCCCATTTGTTCCGTGAAACATTTGATTAAAAAAATATGTTCTGTAGAAAATACTTTTAAAAATTGAAACGCGAGAAAAATTTTGGCTGTCACTGATTTAGACAATTATTTCAAAAATCCCCGTAAAACTATTACTTATTAAGTGACCAAGTGTTTTAAATTGTTTTTTTTTTTTTAATTATAAGAAATTGAATTCGGCAAATTCCATATCTGTTATTTCATTATACTCATATAGCATTATATCTTACAATCATAATATGATATTTATCTTTATTTTTTTAAACATATTAAAATTGCATTTTCATGCCTTTAAATTTCATTAAAACTGTTCAAAATTTAATCTTAATATATTTGAAATTCTATCAATTGTTTTGGAGATATTAAAAAATTAAAATAATTTTAATTGGCTAAACAAATTGACATGATATGTATGAAAATTAAGTATTTTATTTTAAGTGTAATTGGTTCTTTTTCTGATGAGTGCTTCCTGTTTGCATTCTCTTTGAAAAATAGTCTATGATAAATCTCCATCAATATAAATGCATTATTACATTACATATTTATGAAATTTACTATTGGAAATTTCATCTTTGTAACTTTTATTTCTTTTTCTTCTTCTCGCACTCTTTTTCGGGTGACGGAAAATAATAAAAAAAATTTAAATACCTAAAAATATTTAAAACTAACGTATGATGAATTATGATAATATGCAGCCTTGTTACAACCATTTGCGCCTTGTTTACCAATACGTGGAGGAAAGTTACAATCTTCAAAGCATTTTTCTTCGTCAAATCCACAATTACCGTACATTTGCTCATCTTTAGCATCGTTTATAAACAATCATCACCACCATCAGCATCTCTCTAATTCAAGCTCACCAAGCATTAATTCATCAGTTGTATGGAGAGAAGTGTGTCCAAATAATTTTAATTTATATACTTCGTCCATTTCATCTTTAAACTCATCTCCATATAAGTTGAGATATTCAACAGGAAAAAATGAATTCAGGGCTGCCTCGGAAGAAAGGCCACCAAAGGGTTTTATTGACCAAAAATTTCATGGGAACCTGAAAAAAATACCATCTAGTTATGATAATAATAACACTAATTCATCTGCAAATTCACCGCTAATATCACGAAAATCTTCTTTGCAACAAAATAAAATTTGGGGAAAATCACAATCTCCAACACCACAACAGATGAAGCAAAAACAATTTAATACAATTGCCGTAAATAGTCGAGAAAAGTCCCCATTTTTGTATGATCGTCGATTAAATAAGTCTTTTGAAACTGCAAATGGCCTTTTAACTGAAAACATGAACTGTCACAATGATAAAGGGATGAAAAATTCACTTTTTCGTCGTTCATCGACTCCTCAACTCCATAGTGTATATTATGATGGTAACAACCCGAGAGATTCTGTTGCGTCTTCGTGGTGCTGTGGAAATTTTGTAGTCAAACAATGGAAAAAGATGCATCAGCAGTACTAGAATTCAAAAAGAAACACAAATGCCAAGAAAAGATTTACGAATTCAAAACTTTATTTTAAACGCATTTCCAAAGGTGAAGGTGCACTTTGTTCGCTTATCTGTTTATATATACAAGTAAAAAAAAAACAAAAGATACTAAGAATCATTAGGAGAAAGGCTCAATATGTTTTACTAGTTTTTTTTTTTGCCATTTTTAAAATATGATTTTACTGTATGTAATATAAATTCGCTTCTCTTACTAACGGTTACAAAGTTCTCTTTCGCCTTTTAAAATGTATACAAGGAAATTAAAGTTGCAAGAGAAGTCTTCGATGTTGCTTTTCTGTGTCCTATTAACAACTATTGTGCCATTTTGTTTTTTTTATGATACGACTTATTCAATTCGAAGAATGAAAAAAAAAAAACGTTTTAAAAAGTAATCAATATTTTAAAACAAATCAAAGTTTCATAAGGAATTTATATTTTAATTAGCAATGCATGGACACGATTTTTTTTTTTCATCCAAAATAATGAAAAAAAATTTATCCGAAACAATATAAATTTCATCCGGAACAAAAGATTCTTTCATCAGGTTTTATCCAGAACAAAATGTTCATCCGGTGGAAAATCATTTAGAGTAAATTTTCAATTACGCTTCTTAAAATTATTGTTTTTTGAAATTTTCGTATTTGATTAAAGCGAAAACAAATTGTTATGATTTTAACAATTCGATTATACATTTCTTATGATAAGGATCAAGTATTTCTATACAGGACAATACATTTTGTCAAAATCTAGATCAACTCTTTTTAGCATTAAGTAATATCAGGATGGTCATAAGAAAATTAATAAATTGTTTTAGAAAAATTGAATTGGAGATAATAATTGAATGAACTGTGATATGGAATCGGTGAAAACTAATTATTTACTTTTTTATCACAATGAATGAGGAAAAAATAGAAAATAAAATAACTAGCATTGCTGATACATATTTGTGAAAAATATTGATAGAATATTAATTAAGAAATGATTTTGTTAAAATAAATAATAATTATAGTAATTTTAGTTTTTAAAAAGAAATTATTTTAAAAAGTATAACTTAAAGTTTATAAATTAAATATTTCCTCGTCATACCTTAATCACAATAATTTATTTATTTATAATGAAAATGCAATTTTCAATGAAAACAGTTTTTTTTTAAGTTATCTAATCGAAATTCTTAATTTTAATTGGAAATTATTCCAAATGTGAGGCAGTAGAACAATAAACAATATCGTCATTTCTTGAAAAGAAAATTCGTTAAAAATTGAGGTATTTATTCCATCTTTGTCTAGTCAAAAATTATGAAAAAAACCTCTCAAATCTTGATTTACCAATGTGCTATCTAGTTCATAAATAACGTGCCATAAAATTTTTCGTAACTAATTTTGCAAAGACACTAAAATGAATTAGTGTCTAATCATCCTTTGAGAACTACTGGTTTGAAGTGTCACAACCCAAATTTTTAATGACTTGCTATAGTAATTGACTTAATGCAAATGATTAAAAATCGATTGTTTTACAATTTTAATAATAAATTATATGTGATTTTGCAATGATTAATGCTAAACACATTTTTTTCTTTATTTAAATAAAAACACTGAAATGTTCCCCCTTTAAAAATAATAATGGAAGAAAAGAAAATGTTACATGAATCGCGAAAACAACAATTTGATACTTTTTATTTATATGTGAATCCATCCTTGTAATTTAATTATTTGGAAGGATTATTAATAAAAACAGAAAATTTTAAATTCCATCTCCATTTTATTTGCTTTGCTTGATTCTTACAGTTGCAGATGACGGTCAAACTCCTACTCTCCGTCAACTTTACTTGACTATCCGACAGATACAAATTGATTTGCAAGAAATTAAATCACAGTTAGTCCAAGAAAGAGCTCATCGAGGAAATTTGCAGCAGGTTATTATGAATCATATCGATAAATGTGGAAATGGAAGCTTATAATATAAAGTGAGATCATAAAACATTAGATTGATTTGAAATAAAATAATGTTTTGTAATTCTTTTAATGATTTGATTGATATTAGTTTTTCTTCGTAACAGCTCAATTTAGTAAATCAACAACAATGAGGGGGTCATTTCATTTATACGCAATGTCGAAAATGTCAAGAAATTTCGTGATTTTACGTTAATACAATAATACTTATAATAATAATAATAAAAAAAATATATAATCGAGAAAGTAAAAGTTTATAATTCCTTCATTCAGTTTCATTTAAAAATTTTGATAAAAAACGATAAAATTTCCGAATTTAATATTTTTTAAATTAATTTTGATGTTATTGCTTTGAACATTTTCTTTAAAAAACATTCGAATGGCCCCTATAAATAAAAAAAATATTTAATTTAAAATGATGACAAATTTACAAGAGTTTCTTTTACAAACAGATTCTTGAAATCCAAATATTTAATATAATTATATAATGTAGTGCAAAGTTTTTGCAATTAAAACGATTTCCAATATTTACAACGATATTTTTAAACATACCTAAAACAATATTAACTATTTTATTATGAATGATTTTGGAAATAACATTTTTATATAAAGTTTACAATCTAATTTATCTGAATGAGTTCAATAAAAAAGCTTATGACTATCAAAACCAATTTATGTTATGAATTTAAAAAAAATTTGATGTTTATTGATAAACTATGAATATTAAAATTTAATTGGATGATGATTGTCTTTTTTAACTTCATTATTAAAAACCTTGTTTTTCTTTATTAGCTTCCACTCGTAACTAAGCTACTAGCTTAGTAGAGTATTTTTGAATTTGAAAATATAGTTAAAATATTCATTTTTTTGAATTTAAAGTATCATTTACCATAGAACATTGGAAGTGAAATGAATTTAGGAGCAAAGCAAAATTTCTTTAATTAACTTCAAAAAAAAGTATGCTAAATATCTAGTAGTTAATATCACATAATCTTTAAGGGGCCGTTCATTTATGAGGTCCGAAATTCATGGGGAAATGTCTAAAAATCATATTTTTTGATGAAAGTCATAAAAGAATAGTCAAATGTTTCCTTTTTTCTACCAATTCGTTAGTTCTATGGCTGCAGGCTTATCTTTTTCCTTTTCCTTATCTCTATTTCTATCAATCGGTGGACGTCTATTTAAAAAAATCAATTAAATTTTAATTGATTATAAAAGTAATTTTAAATTGAGCTTACGGAGGCAACATTCGTGACAGAGCATCTCGTCTCAATGAATGCGAACTACTTCCTGGAATGGCAGCTGCTGCATTTTGAATGTGTGCTGCTGCTGATGCAATTGATGAGGTTGAATCTTGAGAAATAGTTCGAATCATTGGTGGTACTTGAGCTCTTCTAAAAGGATATCTCCAAGGAGATTTAGGAACTTGATCTTTCTGAAATGCTTGATTGTCTATCCCTAATTTGTTTATATCACTCAATGTTTGCTCTCGTGTTTTCGACGATAATCGTCTGAGGATTCTCGATCCAAGACTAATTGGTTCGTCTAAACCACCTTTGCTATTTCTTTTTCGATAGCGAACATCATGAGATTCTTCAAGAATTACATGTCGATCATATGGTGTGCCATAATAAACTTCTAAGATTGTTGAATATTCATGAGGCCATATTAGATCAATAGCTGATATAATTAAACCAATGAAGAAGCATAATGTTGCTGCTATTAATACTAAATAAAAGCACCAACCAAATGTAAAGTCAATTTTTACTCCTTCAATGTAAATCGTTAATGGTGGTTTCGGGAGCATAAAATAATATCCAATGATGGCACCAAAAAGAAGTGAGCCAGTCAAACACATTCCGTATGCTCCATATCGTGGAACAGCTGTTAAAAGAAGATTCATAAGAAGCCATGATGCTAATGCTCCCCTAAAATAATCACAAAAAATTTTAGAAAATTTGATTACTTACTAATTCTGTTTTATACTACCATAACCATATGCTTGCGTAATATCCAGCAGCTCTGTACTGGCCTCCCCATGCAAATCCTTCTTGCCCAAGACTAAAATATTCAGCAACAGTCAATATTGGATAAGGAAGTCCCCTCTTTAAAGCATTTTTATATGAGTTTTCCATATCATTTGCCAAATTCCAATTAAAGCGCTCGTTAAAATCAATATCTGGTGCTGAAGATGAATTTCCATCAGCTAAACCTGCTAATGTTATATTGACATGCATCAAACCGATATGAACACCTATACGAGCTGGAATTTTTTCTTTCGAAAACGCTTTGTATGGTGCAATAATGTTCTGATGTGCAACATGCCATGATGAGCCTAATTGACCAACTATTCAAAATTAAAATAAAAAAAAAAACCAAAAAAAAAACTATTTTAAATCTGTATTTTTTTTCTTGTTTGCAAATAGTAGTATTAGTAATACAGTCATTGTTGTCTAAAATAATCTAGTGATGAATTATAATTATGGAACTTTATGCTGGTTTAAAGAAGTTATACACAACTAGAGAGCTTTAATTTGATAGATATTTTAAAGTTTCTTGCTTTCTTAGTTGTACTAACATTTTCAATTTATCATCAGCCTCATTGGTTAATAATAATACATTAAACAATAAAATCAATTAAAAATTCTAGGAAAAAGACCTTAGAAATATATTTTACGTACAATTAAATACAACAAGTGGTTTTGATTGTCTTATATTTTTTTTTTTCACATAATACTTACCAAATATTACTAAGCCAACAAACAAGCTTAGTGTGACTGTTATAAAGGTTGAAAATTTTTGTTTTCGGACACCTGGGAAGATGACTAAAAATGCAGTATAAAATGTCGCAAAGAGAATTGAGACCACAATTATGTTGACATCTCCAATGACTGGTGTTCGATTTGAAAAAGAATAAAGTGTCGGAGCTCCATCATCTCGAAAAGCATCGAACCATCCCTTCATTTTTGCCTTATTTTAATATATTATCTAAAAAAGAAGAATCATTTTATGCAGCAAATGAAAAATTTAAATTTTTGCAAAAGGTAAAGCTTAAGAATAAGGAAGAACCTTCGACAACAAATATCACATTAAGTTCAAAAAAAAGGAAGCAGATAGAGAGAGAGAATGAAGGTTACAACTGGTAAAATGTGAACAAAAAATAGCAAAGAAGAAATGTTGTATTTCCAGTCATATATCATTAAATCATTGACCACATCGAAGGACAAATCGACTTCCTTAGCTTGAAACTATTTTTTGCTACTTTACAACTATTGAAATAATTAATTTAAACGACATTGTATTATAAGAATATACCTTGTGTGAGCATAAAGATTTTTTGTAGTGATCGTTCAACAAACTCGAAACAATAATAAAACGATAATCGACCTTTGAAAATTCCTAACACTTTGAGAACTTTTATTAATTTTTTAAAATCAATAAACACATTTCCTAAAGATTTTTTTTCTGGATAATTAATCTGAAAGTGATCATAAATAAAATATGACTTGTCACTAGCTTTGTTTCGCACTGTTACTGTAATTGCACTTAAAAAACAGCCAATCTATTTCCTTATTAAACCCATAAAAAAAAACTAATGAGATTATTTTAAGAAAAATTCAAGCAAATCAAATAAAACTATTCTTAAAAATTTAATTTAAGCTTTTTTTAAAAGTAAAAAAGTATTACATGACACAGCTTCAGTAACAAGTTTGTTAAAATATTTGAGCATCCAAACAATAATTTCAGAGACCACAATTGTTGTTTTCACTTTCAATATGAGATAATTTTTGTTTTATTGTCTACTTTTTTCCTTATTTCTTTTTCTCTTTTGTGTCTTATGACATCATCTTCTCAACTTCATTCATTGTTTTATTTCGTAAGTTTCACTACTTACGTTTTTTAATATGTATATATATTTTTTTTAAATATTTAACTCATATTAAAGTTTTAACATGAATTTTTATTTAAAATAATGCTTTTAATTTTAACTTTAAATTTATATTTTGAAAAACTGTAATTTATTTATGTAACTGAATAAGGCAAAAATTTCTGAGCGACTGTCTAAGAAAAGCAACAAATTTTAAATTTTCGTATTGAATGTTTAATGTTTAATGTTTCAATGGTTTTCTCTCCAATAGAGTGTCGCGGAATTTAAGCGAGAACATGAAAACATTGAATTTTAAGTCCAAGTACAAGAAAAACTGTGAGCAATCAATTTGTCAAGATCACGCGTTTTCTATCTTAAAAATTTGATCTCCTTCTAGCAAATGATATTAAGAATTTCTTAGAGTATTAAGAATTTTGAAACATTAAACAAGATGAACAACTTTGATGATGCAGCACTTTTCTGTTTATATTGTGTTTTCAAAATAAATGCTGTTATTTTTATACTTCATTCAATAATTTTAACAGTGACGAGGGAATGATGATGTCTATTCATAGATATAATTACATAAAGTCAAGAAAAAAATAGTTGAAAAATTGCATTGAACAGTAAACAGGTTTTATGCACTTTGCTGTCTCACTAAATTACCTATCAACATGCGGAATCAGTATTCTGTTGCAAATATATTTACCTTGAATGGCAATGCCCTGAAGTTATTACTAAAGATATAAGATATTTCAATGCGGAAGAGTTTATTTTTATACTCTATGGTGAAATAAATCATGACATCAATTATCTGGATGTAGAAATTGTTGTGATGTATACATCTTATTACTGTCTCCAAAGTTCAATAAGGAATGGTTTTTAATCGTAATCACGCATTTTGTGCCCAAATCCCTACAGACTCAGTTTCGCATAACTCAATTTTAAAACTTTTTAGAAAAAATTTAACTTTTTTATTGTGAGTATATACATGACTGTTAATTCGTTTATTCAGTGACATCTGATGAAAATAAGTAAAATAAGAAAAAAGCGATGAAATGAGAGAAAAACTCAAATAGAAAGTTCTTGGATAATTAAAATAATGTATTCTTAACTTTAATCCTTGCAGAATAGCAAAATGGAATTTTTAACTTGAAATAAACTTCTTTTCACGATAACAATATTTACAATCATAATCAGGTTCCTACGATCAATATATATATAATTAAGTTGGACATCATATCAGCTATATTTACGTCAGTGCTGCAATATTTCAGTTCAATCTCTCCTGAATCAACCAATTGCTTTACATAGTGATATTTAGTATCACTGTGCTTGCTTCTGTTGCTTTCTTGAATTTCTGATTTGATATCAGTTTCATACTACTCTGACTATCTGTATATAGAGTAGTTTTATCTGGAACGACAAACTCAGAAAAAGAATTGATCAACATTTTAACCCATTTGCAACTTTCTGAGAGTGCGATGTATTAAGCTTCCATTGATAATAACGATACTACGTCTTGTTTTCTGCTGCACCATGAAACGACACCTCCATTAATTCCACAAAGAATACCACTGATAGATTTTCGGTCCAACGAATCTTCAGAAACTTAGATTCTTGGTACCATTCAAATAGTGCATAATTCTCCTCGCTTCTATAAAATCAGTCTTTGTTGGTTTTGAAATCTTTTGACTCAATATTCCAACAGATGCAGTGATATCAGGTCTTGTATTTGTGCTTACATACAACAGTTTACCAATGAGTTTTCTATACTCATTATTTGATTCTGAATAATTCTCATCATGATGCCTAAAATAGCCAGTCATCAAAGGATATTTTGAAAATTTTCCATCATTAAGTCCAGCTTCTTCCACAATCTTCTCAATGTATTGTTTCTGACCTATATGAAAATTTCCATCTTTATCACGTTTCACGTCAATTCCTAAAAAGTGCTTTACACTTCCCATATCTTTTACTTCAAAAAGGCTTGCAATGTGATTTTTAAATTGTTCTATCAGTTATTCATTATTCGATGCGACTAGAATGTCATCGACGTGAACAATCATATAGCAAGTATCATTTCCTTTCTTCATACTATACAGACATTTATCAACTTCGCTTTGCTTAAATCCAAAAGTAATCACTGCTTCATGATAAATTTTATTCCATGCTCTTGCTGCTTGTTTCAAACCATAAAGGCTTTTTCTTAACTTCATAGCAAGCATCATTTCCCTTCTCAAATCCAGGTGGTTGCTTCATATATATCTCCTCCTCGATATCGCCATTCAAAAATGCAGTCTTAATAACTGCTTCACATGATAATTATTAACACCAGCTATCGACATAAGAATCCTAAATGTTGCTGATCTAACTTCTTTCTCTTCTGAGGAGGAATCATCACATAAGCACTAACTCCAAATTCTTTAAAATTGGAGAAATCTGGCTTCTTGTCAAAGAACTTCTCATACGGAGACTTTGAATCCTCTTTGCTCAAAACACGATTCAATGAGTAATTCGCATTCATTATGGCTTCATCCCAGTACTCTCGTGACATCCCAGACTCAGTAAGCATCCTTCAGTCCTACATGCCTCAACTAAAGTCCTATTCTTTCTCTCGGAAATACCGTTTTGCTCTGGTGAGTACACAGTACATTGAAATCGAATTCCCTCTAAACGTAAATACTTCTGAACTTCCTCACTTAAATATTCCGTCCCTCGATCCGTACGGATCAAAATAGTCTTTGACTGTACTTCGCTCTTTGCCTTCAAAAGAAATACTGCCGTGCATTTCGAATAAACATCCGTGAATGTTACAAAATATCGAAATCCTCCAACTGAGGTAGTTGGAAAAAAACACGTGTTCTAGGTTGAGTGAAAAAACAAAATTGAAGCTTTTCAAAAAACTCGATTTTCCTAGAAATTTTCAAAGTATCACGTTGGATGCATCTCAGCCTGTAGCAACTTTTGTCAATACATCACTTTTAAGTTCACATCTGTTTTGAGGTCTAAAGCACTTGTTCTAGGTTGAGTGAAAAAACAGAATTGAAGCTTTTCAAAAAACTCGATTTTCCTAGAAATTTTCATAGGGGGGTACAAGTGGTTCAGTATCACGTTGGATGCATCTCAGCCTGTAGCAACTTTTGTCAGTACATCACTTTTAAGTTCACATCTGTTTTGAGGTCTAAAGCACTTGTTCTAGGTTGAGTGAAAAAACAAAATTGAAGCTTTTCAAAAAACTCGATTTTCCTAGAAATTTTCATATGGGGGTACAAGAAGTTCAGTATCACGTTGGATGCATCTCAGCCTGTAGCAACTTTTGTCAATACATCACTTTTAAGTTCACATCTGTTTTGAGGTCTAAAGCACTTGTTCTAGGTTGAGTGAAAAAACAAAATTGAAGCTTTTCAAAAAACTCGATTTTCCTAGAACTTTTCATAGGAAGGTACAGGGGGTTCAGTATCACGTTGGATGCATCTCAGCCTGTAGCAACTTTTGTCAATACAAAACTTTTAAGTTCACATCTGTTTTGAGGTCTATACAGTCAATTTTTTTTAACAGGTGTTGCCTTCTATGGAAACGGATTTCTAGAAATTTTCTCTAGAATGTATGATTCACACACATTTGTGCAATCACAATCGGCAATTTTCAAACCTTTATCCTTCATCGCGAGTATATCATGCAAATTTCTGTGAGCTAATTTTCGATGCCATTCATTTACACAGCATCTATCCTCTCTATCATTAACCAAGTATGATCTTTCAACTTCAGCTCTTACAACATACATATCGCCTGATTTCTCAGCAATCTGCAATGGTTCCACACCTTCTACTTTAAGGTAACAGCCAGTTGAATCAAAAATAGTATTATAGCCCTTATTACAGAGCTTTGAGACAGAGATCAAATTACTGTCAATGCATGGCACCAGAAGTACGTCAGTCAGATCTACACTAAAGCTTTTGTTTCCCACAAATACATTCATACGAACATCCCCTCGTCCTATGTACTCAACCTTCTCGCCATTAGCAACGGTAACCGTACGTACCCCTAAAACTTTCATCAAAACTAAGGAAAAACGACTTACTTTAGGTCATGTGAGACGAAGCACCAGAGTCAATACACCACTGAGGGTCTTTAGAATCGTAACAATTTCTGCGCCCTCCACTGAAATTTGCCATTTTGACGGTTTCATTCTTCAACATTAGACAATTCCGCTTGATATGTCCATCTAGTTTGCACTGATGACACTTGATGTGTTTCTTTGGATCAATTTCAGTTCTATTGATACAAAACACATCAGATCCTTTTCTTACATTTTCATACCGCCTTTCCCATTCATCGATGAGTTTCAGCTTGACATTTTGAACAGTTAGATCCTTCTCCTTCCATGATACTAATCCAGTCACCAAATTATCATATTCAGCATGCAGATTGATAAAATAGCACTCACAATCATGGTTTCTTCAAGATGATCACCACATTCCTTGATGTTTTGCAAAATTACAAACAATTTTTGCAAATGTTTCTGCATGTCACCACCCAATAATAATTCAGTCTTGAACTTGCTTATAAAGTCTCATCTTATGTCTAGCTGAATCGTTGTGATGAAAATTCTTCAATGAATCCCATGCTTCCTTTCCTCCTTTCGCATCCGAAACATGTAATAGTTGATCATTATCAACCATAAAAACAATATGTTGAGAACGATGATATCAATCGCTCGCACATGGCAGATTCTTCTTCTCCAAACTTCATTGCGATAAGGCCCATAACCTCTAGGATAATTAAAATAATGTATTCTTAATTTTAATCCTTGCAGAATAGCAAAATGGAATTTTTAACTTGAAATAAACTTCTTTTCACGATAATCAGATTCCTACGATCAATGTATATATATATAACTTAATTATTCAACAAAAGTTGTCAAAGTGAATGATGAAACTTAAAAATTTATTTATTATTGTTGTTGATGCGAAACTTATATATTTTTGATAAGATTAATTAAAGACTCCTCTATTCTTTGGAGTTCAAAACCAATCAAATTTATATAAAGCAGGGTGAGATTAGGCGAGGAGGGATTTCAAGTGGGATTAAAATTTTGATGACAGGAAATGCTGTGATTTTTTGGGACTAATCTCGAGTGTATATGCTTTGATATAAAGTGACTAATAATTAGAAAATGGGAAAACAGCAAATTCTAGTTGCCAATAAAAATTAAATATTTAACTACAGTTAATATTTTCTCAACACAACTTGATTATCAACATTTAAGCCACTGATGCCACTTCAGATTTTATCTGTTGTGTTAAATTGTGTTTTTAATTTAAAAAAAAAAAATACTTCCAATGGCTTGAAACTAAGAAATTTGAATTTAAAAAATAAAACATTATGTGAAAATAACAAAATATAATTTCAGTCAAAGAATAGAGTAATATGCAACAATATGAGCAGTTTCGAAAATTTAGCATCAGACAGTCTTGAAACATTGAGGCTTAAGGTTTAAAACATTAAATTATTAGAAAAAAATTCAAGTATTGTGTACAAAACGATCGTTAGTAAAGTTGAGTCAGTCAATGTTAAACCGTTGGTGTGTTAGGTTGAAAAGAAATAAAAAAAATATGTGATCATGAAAATTTAAGAGTAAAAAAAAAATCAAATAAAAAATTTGAATATATATATATATATATATATATATAATTATATATAATAATATAAAATTTATAAAATTTCAGAAGACTTAAATTTTAAAAAAGAGTGAAATGTAAAAACATCAAAAAAACGACAGTAAAATAAAGCTTGTTTAATATTAAAATCGAGAAAAACATTTATTTGTCAAAAATTAAACTTTTAACATTCCTAATAACTAAAATTACACAAAGGACTGATAAAAACTGATTTAAACTTTCAGTAGGTGAGTAAAAGTTATAAAAACAAAATAATAAACAGTTAATTTGGTATGGATGTCTGAAAAAAATGTGGAATGTTGTCGATTGCGGAAGAGAAATAAATACTTACATCATTGTAAAAGAAGAGTAGTTTAGAAAAGAAATGAAGCAGACAAATTGCAAAAATAATCATACTTTAGTATAAACTTGAGATACTTTAATTTACAAAATTCAAGCCATTTTTGATTCTTCCAATCATTAATATTTCCTGCATGTGATTGATTAAGAATAATAAGTACAACTTTTTTATGATTTTATGTACTTCGTTAGAAAATATTTCCAACTCTTCTTATTATAAAAAACTAGCTTTTTCCTGTTTTTTCATAAAAGAATATGTATATGACAAGCAGTTGTTAATACGTATTTACGCGTTCTGATGATGGAACCGGTTCTTATTGATGGCATTCAAATGGTGTTTAAGTTTTTTTTTTGTATTTATTCTTTGCAAGTCTAAATAAATATTGTAAAAAGTTCTTAATTTTTAATTTTATTCGATATTATTTATAATATTTTCAAAAGCTTTTCTATTCAAAATAATGAATTATAAATTTTTCCAGCAATTCCGATGATTTATTTTTATTCTTGAAATATAAATAAATGTGTATAACTCATGAGAAATGGAAATTATAAATAAATAATAAAGTAATGTGAAAAATTCTCATAGCTATTCGGAATTTGCCAAGGACGGTTATCGTTGCTTTTTACATTTAAGTTGAACAATAATTGTTCAGGAGAATTTTTTTGTTAACCATTATTTTGATGCACACAATTACAACAGCACGTAGCCGACGTCAAACACTCCAATAAATTTGAACGTGAAGGTCAAAAAAAACTTTGATTTGTTATTCAACGTCCGAATGTTGAAGATAATTAAAAAATACACTTCTTGTATAACAAAATAAAATTAAGGAAGTCATTTGTCCTTCAATGAGGTTAATACTTCTTCTTTTTCAATGTGTATACACTGCAGGTTTACTTACACGCTTACTCTCCGTTAATAACAACCTTCAATTCTCGTGCGTCTTATTCTTGATCTTAAAAAATGCTTTTGAAGGTTTTTCCTAGAGTTATGGCTGAATGTTTTGAGTCATAAATTATTTTTTAACAATCTTCATTGACATAAACCTTAGAATGTGCAAAAGTTTGGCCAATTATGCCTGAAAATGAGAGTTGTTTACATAATGTTATATCACTATTCGTTACTACACAAATTGATAAAATTACACAAGATGTGTGAACACGTAACGTTGCGCCTCGTTTGTGAAATATTAAGAGAGTCTCACTCTTTTCATTTTAACTTTTATTACAGATAAAATGAAGGGATGGTTCGATGCTTTTCGAGATGATGGAGCTCCGACACTTTATTCTTTTTCAAATCGAACACCAGTCATTGGAGATGTCAACATAATTGTGGTCTCAATTCTCTTTGCGACATTTTATACTGCATTTTTAGTCATCTTCCCAGGTGTCCGAAAACAAAAATTTTCAACCTTTATAACAGTCACACTAAGCTTGTTTGTTGGCTTAGTAATATTTGGTAAGTATTATGTGAAAAAAAAAAATATAAGACAATCAAAACCACTTGTTGTATTTAATTGTACGTAAAATATATTTCTAAGGTCTTTTTCCTAGAATTTTTAATTGATTTTATTGTTTAATGTATTATTATTAACCAATGAGGCTGATGATAAATTGAAAATGTTAGTACAACTAAGAAAGCAAGAAACTTTAAAATATCTATCAAATTAAAGCTCTCTAGTTGTGTATAACTTCTTTAAACCAGCATAAAGTTCCATAATTATAATTCATCACTAGATTATTTTAGAAAACAATGACTGTATTACTAATACTACTATTTGCAAACAAGAAAAAAAATACAGATTTAAAATAGTTTTTTTTTTGGTTTTTTTTTTTTATTTTAATTTTGAATAGTTGGTCAATTAGGCTCATCATGGCATGTTGCACATCAGAACATTATTGCACCATACAAAGCGTTTTCGAAAGAAAAAATTCCAGCTCGTATAGGTGTTCATATCGGTCTGATGCATGTCAATATAACATTAGCAGGTTTAGCTGATGGAAATTCATCTTCAGCACCAGATATTGATTTTAACGAGCGCTTTAATTGGAATTTGGCAAATGATATGGAAAACTCATATAAAAATGCTTTAAAGAGGGGACTTCCTTATCCAATATTGACTGTTGCTGAATATTTTAGTCTTGGGCAAGAAGGATTTGCATGGGGAGGCCAGTACAGAGCTGCTGGATATTACGCAAGCATATGGTTATGGTAGTATAAAACAAAATTAGTAAGTAATCAAATTTTCTAAAATTTTTTGTGATTATTTTAGGGGAGCATTAGCATCATGGCTTCTTATGAATCTTCTTTTAACAGCTGTTCCACGATATGGAGCATACGGAATGTGTTTGACTGGCTCACTTCTTTTTGGTGCCGTCATTGGATATTATTTTATGCTCCCGAAACCACCATTAACGATTTACATTGAAGGAGTAAAAATTGACTTTACATTTGGTTGGTGCTTTTATTTAGTATTAATAGCAGCAACATTATGCTTCTTCATTGGTTTAATTATATCAGCTATTGATCTAATATGGCCTCATGAATATTCAACAATCTTAGAAGTTTATTATGGCACACCATATGATCGACATGTAATTCTTGAAGAATCTCATGATGTTCGCTATCGAAAAAGAAATAGCAAAGGTGGTTTAGACGAACCAATTAGTCTTGGATCGAGAATCCTCAGACGATTATCGTCGAAAACACGAGAGCAAACATTGAGTGATATAAACAAATTAGGGATAGACAATCAAGCATTTCAGAAAGATCAAGTTCCTAAATCTCCTTGGAGATATCCTTTTAGAAGAACTCAAGTACCACCAATGATTCGAACTATTTCTCAAGATTCAACCTCATCAATTGCATCAGCAGCAGCACACATTCAAAATGCAGCAGCTGCCATTCCAGGAAGTAGTTCGCATTCATTGAGACGAGATGCTCTGTCACGAATGTTGCCTCCGTAAGCTCAATTTAAAATTACTTTTATTATCAATTAAAATTTAATTGATTTTTTTAAATAGACGTCCACCGATTGATAGAAATAGAGATAAGGAAAAGGAAAAAGACAAGCCTCCAGCAATAGAACTGACAAATTGGTAGAAAATTCAATTCATTTTTCATAAGTTTGACACTTTTGTAAGTGCTTTTTTAGTAATTAAGTAAATCGAGTTAATAATCGTGTGATGATTATGTGATATTAACTACTAGAAAAAAATTATTGTATATGTTTTTATTTATAATTACCTGAAGTTTTATTTTTGAAGAATTTGTAGTAGTTTAAAGTAGACAAAACATCAAAACGATTAAATTCATTGCAAATAAATTATTTATTCACAACCATTATGTGCTGTTCTGAATTAAATGTATTCCTACGTGTATTTTGTCAATATCTTCTTTTGTTTTAATAATTTCATTTTTGATTTGTTCCGTTTGGGATTTTGCCTTAATCTTAGTTTTTTTTAATTTCCTTTTATCATTTGATTTTTTGTTACTAAGACTTTCAATTTCATTTAAAAGTTGTAGCTGAACCGATTTTAGTTCACTGATTTTATATTCCAATTTCTGAATTCCGTCCAGTATCGCTGTAATGTGCTTTTGCCTATTGTTTTCAAATTCTAATTGAATTTTGACCTTTTCCTTTTCTTGACATAAATTTAGGTCTTCAAGCATGCTAAATGGTAAATGGCATGATGCACACGATGGATTTGTGGCAAAAATGACTTGATTACATTTGCTGCATTGATCGAAGGATTGACACGGAGCTAAACTACGATGTGAATAATTTTTACTTAATTGAGAGCATTTTGATCTTGATTCGGGCACAGATTTTTTTGGTTTGAATTTTTCTCTTGAACTACTTTTGGATGCAACGCTTTGTATATATTTCTTATAGTTTTCGTATTTGTCTCCGCAGTTAATGCAAGTTTTTGATTTAGTTTCAAGTACATCCTCTTTTGATATATTTAACTTTAACTGATGAATGCAGGAAGCATTACTATGAATTATTTGAGATAAATCTTGGTTTAGCACTTCATTAGTCAGTATATATTCTTTTGAAGCAGTTGATTGTGGTCCTAAATCTACAGGGACTGATTAAGTTTGATAAGTTTTTCATTTTCTTTTAATTAAGGATTTTTTACCCGTTTCATTTTGCTTTTCTGTCACTGGTTCTTCATCGTTACTTGTAAAATTATTGTTGATTTCAGTGTTTTCATGTTCAATAATTTTACTTCCAATATTAATCGCATCTACTTCCATTGTTTATAACAAAGAATTTTGAATATCAATAACTCGATTGGGATTTTGCCTTAATCTTAGTTTTTTTTAATTTCCTTTTATCATTTGATTTTTTGTTACTAAGACTTTCAATTTCATTTAAAAGTTGTAGCTGAACCGATTTTAGTTCACTGATTTTATATTCCAATTTCTGAATTCCGTCCAGTATCGCTGTAATGTGCTTTTGCCTATTGTTTTCAAATTCTAATTGAATTTTGACCTTTTCCTTTTCTTGACATAAATTTAGGTCTTCAAGCATGCTAAAAGTGCTAACATTTGAAACACTTGAAGGAGTTTTTGGTAGCCCACAAGATGGTTGTGGCATTTTAATTGTGTTTGTTGTTAGCGATGAAATAGGTATTGAACCCCATCCCAAATCCTTATTTTGGCATTGTTCGAAAATTGTAAAATCAATCATTTCCTTAAGTTTCATAATTTCTTTTTGTATAATATTTTTCAGTTCTAGCAGTGTTGATTCTTGATATTTTTTAAAAGTTTTAATTTGTAGTTCGCGATTCAATTTATCAACTAAATAATTTTGAAGCTCAATTTCATATTTCATCTTTTTGTACTTTTTACAGTAAGCTTTACACTTATCATTTGACTCTTTTACTGGACATTGTCCATCTTTTTTACATTGATCCAAATCTTCGCAATCATTCTTTTGTAGGCGTTTTAATTTTTCTTCTCTTTTTTGTTGAATCTCTTTTTGCCTGATACCTTCTCTCTGAACAAGTTTATTAGTTACAGTCTCCAAACGTTTCTTTCTTTCATTTGATAAACAACATGGATTTGATGGGCATGCAAGATCATCGTTGTCTTTATTAGTATTTTTGATACGATAACGTCTTTTTTTTGACAATGAAATGTGCTTGATATCTTTTGATCTCTTTCTATATGTTTTTAACTCGACATTACTACAAGCATCAACTCGTTCCTGAAGCATCTTTTTCATCATTGATAATTGAGAAGGTTCTTTTGGAGGATAATTAGTCATATTTGAAGTACTTTTATTACTAATAGTATCAGCACAGTGTTGAAGTTCTTTCTTGCAGTGTTTATTGCATTTTAATGTTGAACTACATCCACAGAAGCTATGCATTTTTGACACATTACCATAACACGGGCTAAAGGTCACACTACGAGCTGTTGAAATTTTTATTGATAATTTACTCAATTACAATTTTTATGTATGTATCATTTACCTTTCAAGTTATGTGATTGAGAATTGCATGAATTATGAGAAATGTTTTCTCTTGATTTTTCGCATCTTTTACAGTGATCAAATGATGCACACGATGGATTTGTGGCAAAAATGACTTGATTACATTTGCTGCATTGATCGAAGGATTGACACGGAGCTAAACTACGATGTGAATAATTTTTACTTAATTGAGAGCATTTTGATCTTGATTCGGGCACAGATTTTTTTGGTTTGAATTTTTCTCTTGAACTACTTTTGGATGCAACGCTTTGTATATATTTCTTATAGTTTTCGTATTTGTCTCCGCAGTTAATGCAAGTTTTTGATTTAGTTTCAAGTACATCCTCTTTTGATATATTTAACTTTAACTGATGAATGCAGGAAGCATTACTATGAATTATTTGAGATAAATCTTGGTTTAGCACTTCATTAGTCAGTATATATTCTTTTGAAGCAGTTGATTGTGGTCCTAAATCTACAGGGACTGATTAAGTTTGATAAGTTTTTCATTTTCTTTTGATTAAGGATTTTTTACCCGTTTCATTTTGCTTTTCTGTCACTGGTTCTTCATCGTTACTTGTAAAATTATTGTTGATTTCAGTGTTTTCATGTTCAATAATTTTACTTCCAATATTAATCGCATCTACTTCCATTGTTTATAACAAAGAATTTTGAATATCAATAACTCGATTGTGGTTTTGATGAAAAAAAGAAAAAATAAAATTGAAAACCCAATGCTTGTTAATACAAAATTTATTCAACATATTTTAAAAAATTTTCAGTAATAAAAGGTTTGTTCCAAGAATTTAATTCTTTCAGCTTTTGCTCCTCGTTTCTAGCCAGATTCTTAATATCAGCAAGTTTCATATTTTCTATTTCTAGCATATTTCTTAGTAGAAGTAATTTCTCATCAGATTCATTCAATATCGAAAGTTTACTTTTTTGATCTTTTGTATCAAAAATAATTTGATTTTGATATTCTATTTCTTTCTGAATTTGTTCGAGTAGTATCTTACTGGAAAGTTTTACGGTGCCATCTTGTTCCTTCAAAGACATTCCAGACTTACTACTTTGAGGAGATTTTGTGCATAAATTTTCATAGGATACAGGTTTTGTTAATGATAAGCTTTTATCTCTGGATGATAAAAGGACTTTTGTACATTTGGTGCAATTTTCATGTGATATGCAAGCCATTTCAACTATTGATGGTGAAGGTGTTAGCATAGTTATATTAGTTAAATTGTTTTTGCAGCATTCACAAAAAGCATAAGATTCACAAGTTGCTAAAATCGATGCAGAAATTACATCGATAGACTTTTGGGAAGAAAACGAAGCTTGAGGTTCAAAAATTTCTGTTTCTTCGTCTTCATCAATGCATTTTGATTGTGATTTAACGATGACGTCAGATAATACGCTTGTCTGATTTATATCTGAATACATATGAAATTCTTTTTGTTGAGATGTTTCAACTTGGTTATTAACTTCGTTAATAACTGCTCTACATCTCATACAATACTGATTTTGATCTTCATTAGCAGTAGAAGCTTTCGTACTTTCTTTGGATTCTTTTGTGCTGCCATAAGTAATATCGTTGAAAACTTTAGAAACTGCAGATTTGCTACTAACGTTATACGGTGATTCTACGTTTCCAACTTAATTGCATGTTAAAATAAAACCAGATGTTACTTAATACATATTATTTCATGTTTATACTTACAGTCATAAGAATTTGTTTTGGGAGATCTTTTATCAACCTGATCAACAACTTTTTCATTCTGCATTTTTTCGAAAAAATCTCTTATTGCTGCGCATTCTTTACAAACTTTCATTGACATACACATTGGCAGATGTGTTGATGACCTTTCTTTTTGTTGATTTGAAAGTAAATTAAATGATTCAAATTCTTCATTTTCGGTATGAGATAAAGATGTAGGAAGTGATTGATATTTTCTATTAGCTTGATTGTAAGCTCTATTTGGTTGTTGAAAACTTTTTGGTCTTGAAAGGTTAGGTTTTACAAGATGTACATTCGAAAGTAATTGGGATGACAATATCTCTTTAATATTGTTACATGAAGTTAAGTTCCCTTGAACATAAAAGATTTAAATTTGTATTTATTTCACACTGTATTAATCAACATTAATTGATTCTAATACTTACTTTGACGTTTTTTTATGTTGATGATTTTGTCCTTTAATAGTTTTGCTTTTTCATTGACTTTATTCAATTTGTGTTCTTGTACTCTTTGCTTCTCTATTTCCAAAAATTCAATTAATGACATCATTTTCATCTTGTTTCCATTTTTCTCAAGATTTTGATTTACAACGTTAATTTTATCCTCAAGGTATGAGACATTTGACTCTAAACTTCTTCGCCGTCTTGAAATAGCATCTAATTCTTTTTGCATTACAGTAATTACCGAAAGCTGACTCATTTTCACAAAAAATTTAAATCTTCATAGAAATGACTGCCTTTTTTAAAGTAAAAATGAATTATTTTAAAACCTTTATATGAAGATTACTTTGATTAACACAAATTTAAATTAAATAGATGGTTAAATTAACAAGTTTCATACATTAGCTGCATACATTAAGGGTGAAAAAAATGGCTTTATTCAAAATTTTAAATTGATCAATAAATGAAATTTAGAGACTATGCTTATTTATCATTTTTTGTACTTTTCATCCTCATCGAAGTTATGATAAACTGCATGACTTCTTTGAAAATTTGCTGCATTACTATCGATATCAGATGCTTTGACGATGTCTTCTAGTGGAAATTTCTTTTGAAAAATTTTTGTTGAATTCTTTTTTAATCCAAAAGAATGAACATTGTAAATCAAGTAATTTAGCATATACATCTCATTAGGAGTAATATAGTGAAGATTAACAATAGTTTTAGAGCAGCTTTCAATGCCTCCATATTTGGATTCATAATATTGCATATCGTTATACCAATACATATTGTTTTCATCCTTTATTCCTAAGTGTTCCATTATTCCAACTGGAAAAAATATTTTTTCCTTATTTTCATCTCTTTCATCAACAAAAATAGTTTGATTTTCAAAGCATTTTCCTAATTCAAGGACCATTGTCTTCAATTCTACAATTACTTTTATCGTGCATGATTGTTGTAACTATAGTAACGTACCGACTATATATCTGTAAGGATAACGTCCTAATCCTGTAAGTCTATAATAATGAATAAGACTGTATACTTTTGTATATACTTTACGGTCTATACTTTATTGTGTCTTTATTCCTTAATCGTATCTTAAAGACTATTTGCTCAATGGCATTATGCATGCATGCATAATACCGTTGAGAGAATGAGAGAAGAGCGTTAGCTATCCGCTCTCTCCCACAGTAACAAATTTTTTGAGAGCTCTTCGAGATAATATATATCCACCGCCTGCCATATATCCACTATCAGAATATTTTGATACATAGCGATGTCCGAAGTATAATGAGGTTTTTGAATAATACTGTGATAACATAAACCGAACGTTTTCCATAACAAAATATCTACTGAGACAAGAAATAATAAAATTATATTGCTTTAAAATATCAACATTTATATGTACGAGTCATCATCAGCTTTAAGAAACCAATCAGCATCATCATAATGATAATTAAAGATATATTGTACAGCAACTTTAGCCTTATCCCAAAGAATTGAACGAGCTTCTATTTAATGGCAATGCGATAGAATCTATTTCTGAATCAGCACTTGTACTCATGAATAAAAGTTTTTTACATCTTTTACCCCACGTATTTTTGACATGAATTGCTTTAGTTTTATGGATATCTGGTATCGTCAAAATCCAACATAAAACTCGAACATTTTCATATAAATCATTATCAAGTGATCCATCATAAATATCATGTGAGAAACTTCTTACTGTTTCTAGTTTAAAGTCTTTTAAAATATTTGAAATTATTTGGCGATAAAAAATTATCGTGGACGAACTAATTCCAAGTAAAATACCAAAAATTAAAACAAAAACTTGTCTTAATGATATTTTTACAATTTTTTTTTCATGATTCACACTTAAAGGTTTTGATAAAATGCTACTGAAGACGTTGTTTAAATAAAATCGAGAAAAACGACAGAACTAGAAACGATAACTTTAAACAAACATAAATGTAAGCGTTGTATAATAAGAAAATCATAGTAAACATGATATATGAAACTCAGTTAATAAACATATCTCGAAGATATAACATGGCGCAGTTGAAAATTAGTGATTTGGTGACTCAAATCGACCTAAGCGCAAACTCTTTGAGTGAAGAATGGAAGAGATTTAAGAGTCAAATAAACTGTTTGTTTGAAATCAACGAAATTAACAGCAAAAACGACAAAATCAAAATTTCATATCTGACGTTACTCATTGGAAATGATGACTTGTTTGATCATCTAGGATTGTCTGAAGAGGATAAGAACTGTTTTGAAAAAGTCATCGATGGTTACGAAAATTGCTTCAGTCTGAAAACAAGCATTTACGTGAATCGGTAATTGAATATCTATTAAGCGTTCCAAGACGATACAGAGACATTTGTTCAGTTCGTGTCAAGAGTTCAAAAGTTCGCTGCAAAGTGTGACTTCAAGGAGAAAGAAGAACAAATTAGAGATCGGTTGGTGATCGGAATGAAAAATTCAAAAATGCAAGAAAAATTAATTGTTAAAGGAGAATTTTCATTACATGCTATAATTGAGAAAGTGCGTTTCCATGAATGGCAGATCGATGAATTGGCAAACTTGAAAGAAAAAAAGAATCTGAAAATCAGCAATAAAAAGTCTTCAAACAACTACAATTGTACCAAAGAGTCTTCGAAAGTCGTTAAGCCTGCAGCTAGCAGGTGAATATAGTAGTGAATAGTGAATTTGTTTGGCAAGCTCAACATCAGGTTGAATTTGAGAATCTTAAATGTGTTATAAAAGATTCAGCTTGTTGTACTTTATTCGATAAAAAAATACCTTTAGAGCTTGAAACGGATGGATCGTCGTATGGTTTGGGTGTATGTTTGAAGCAAGGTGAAAATATCATATGTTATGCATCTAGATGTTTGTCTGATATTGAGAAGGAATATGGACAGATTGAAAAAGAATTTTTGGCAGTTTTCTTTGGGTGCAAAAAGTTTCATGATTATGTTTATGGTCGTCGTGTGATTGTGAAGTCGGATCATAAGCCTCTTGAGAGTATCATGCTTAAAGATTTGTCAAAGATAGGACCCAGAAGACTACAAAGATTACGTCTTAAGCTTTATAAGTATGATTTGCATTTAGACTATAAACCAGGTAGTAAGATTCCCATTGCTGACTTTTTATCTCGTTACACAAGTTGTAACGTTGATAAAGACTACGAAGAAAAAGTGATGGAACAAATGGTTCATACACTGAGCATAGGAGATGAAAAGTTAAAATTGTATCAGTTGGAAACTGGTAAGGACAGTGATTTAAAGTTTCTTGCTGACTATTACAGTAAAGGTTGGCTGACTGATAAGTCGAAAGTTCCAGACAACGTAAAGTCTTATTATAAAATGAGAAATGAGATTTATGTATCGCAGGGATTAGTTTTCTTTGAGGATCGATTGATCGTTCCTAAGTCTTTGCGCGAAAAAGATTTGCATGAAGATCATATGGGAATGACTAAAACCTTGAAATTCGCTAAAGAATCTTTATTTTGGCCAAGTATGGCACAGAGCATAGAGAATCTTGTTAGTTCTTGTGAATTATGCAATACGTTTGCAAATCGAATAGGAAAGAGCCAATTATTCAGCATGAGATTCCTCCTAGAGCTTTTGAAAAGATTGGATGTGATATTTTAGAATTGCGTGGAAAGAGTGCTTCATCAGCTAATAGAGTGAATGTGGGTGGAAGAGAAGCTACCTGAAGAATGGATGGTGAGAGTCATTTGCCCAATTCATAAGAAGGGTTGTAAGATGACATGCGCCAATTACCGTGGAATTTCTCTGCTTCCATCGGCATATAAAGTACTCTCAAAGGTTCTTTCCTCGAGATTAGAGCCTCTAGCAGAAAGCTTCTTGAGTGAATATCAAGCAGGGTTTAGACAACAAAGGTCAACATCAGACCAAATGTTTAGCATCAAACAAATTGTCCAGAAGAGCTATGAGATGAATGTTGAGACACATCATCTCTTTATCGATTTTCGTGCAGCGTACGACTCAATTGATCGGGAAGGGCTATGGAACATCATGGCAGAGTTTCACTTTCCGCACAAGCTAATCAGGCTGCTTAAAGCAACACTGTCGAAAGTCATGTGCTGTGTGAAGGTCCAGGACTCAACATCCAGTTTGTTTGAATGCAGAATTGGACTGAGACAAGGTGATGAGCTGTCTACTAAGCTCTTTAACATCGCGCTTGAAGGTGTATTCAGAAGAGCTGGACTGGAACGAAATGGAACAATCTTTACAAAATCAATCCAGTTGCTTGGTTTTGCTGATGATGTGGACATTGTTGGAAGAAACATCAGGTCCGTAACCGACGCTTACTCCAAAATGGAAAGGGAAGCTAATAAGATCGGGCTTCAGGTAAACGTGGACAAAACTAAGTTCCTTATGGTCGCTGCATCGGAAAGGACTAGAAATCTTGTCGGCACACATCTGTCGATTGGCGATAAGAATTTCGAGGTAGTCAATGACTTTGTCTATCTTGGATCTATTATCAGCAACAATCATGACACTACATTGGAGATAGAGCGAAGGATCTTGTCTGGTCAACGTGCATATTTTTCAATCCAACACTTACTTGCTTCCAAAAGAATCTTAAGACGAGCCAAATTTGAGATATATAAGACACTAATTAGACCTGTAGTGATGTATGGTTCAGAGTCATGGAACATGACTTCGAACGATTAGTTTGCAATTGGCGTCTTCGAGAGGAAGGTTTTGAGAACAATACTTGGACCAAAAAAGGAAGGAGACTTTTTTAAGAGCAAGAGCAACGCAGAACTATATCACTTATTCAAGGAAACTGATATTGTGAAGCGGATCAAGGTCAACAGACTACGTTGGGCTGGTCATATTATCAGGAGACCTGAAGAAGCTCCAATTAACAAAATCTTTAAGTCTCATTTTGTAGACGGAAAGAGAATGCGCGGACGACCAAAGAATTCCTGGAAGGAAGCTGTTGACAGAGATAGCATAGCATTTGGTATTGGAGATTAGCAGAGAGGAGCCAACGACAGAGTCTTTTTCAGACGCAAACTAAGGGAGGCTATGGATCACAATTGATCTGTAAAACCAGCGATGTATGTATGTATGTGGAAAGAATTATTTAGTGTTGATTGACTATTTTTCCAAGTAGATTTGCTGCAAATATTTACCATCCAAGAATTCGAGTTCGAACATTTCTAAGTGGATAGAAATATTTGCAGATCATGGCGTTCCTAGAGAAATAATAGCTGATAACATGCCATTTAATTCGAGTGAATGTAGATCGTTTGTTACAGTCAAATGGTTTAGCAGAAAAGGCTGTAGGAATTGTTAAAAACATGATGAAAAAGACGAAAAATAGTGACCAGTTGTGTGTAGCTTTAATGAATTACAATAACACACCTTTGGGAGATTTAGACTTGTCTCGATCACAACTGGCACAGAATCGTCGTATGAGAACAAAAGTAGTCACAAAAACCGAATCACTAGAACCACGCTTAAATAAGAATTTGGAAGAAAAGTTGAAGCATAAGAACTTAAAAGCCAAATTTTACTATAATAAAAATGTTTTTCCGCGAGAGAATTTTCTGTTGGCGATAAAGTTTGGCTTCAATTTCAAAACAATACTTGGAAAGATGGAGAAATTATTGCTAAATGTAAACAGCCCAGATCTTATGAGATTCAGGTTAAATAAAAGGAGCAATATGATTAATCTTGAGGAAAGGAATAGTATAGGCGATGATGATTCATTCATTGAAAGTTTTTTCGATTCATTGCAACCACCTCAAGTCCCACATGCAACTGCTGCAACTCCTCAACAAAACATCGTTGGTCCGGCTATCATAAATCAACCACAACTACGAAGATCATCGAGAATACCACAACCAACTAAAATATATGGACTAACTTAAAGGAGGAGATGTTGTATAATAAGAAAATCATAGAAATCAAGAACCTGATGCAATGCGAGGATTTTTGAAGAAGAAATACTCAAAAATATTTATAGCAAACAAAAATCCTTGAAAATCTTTGTTTTTTGGTCTAAACCAGGCAATTTTAACATTTTATCATCTTTTGGAAACTGGTTTTTCTCATATTTGCAAAAAATTAAATTTGATAGTTTTAAATTGATTTTTATTAAGTAATGATTAAAAAAGAGATCGTTCACATTACAATATTTCTAAAATTTTTCTTTTATTATTTCTTCTAGATTTTTCTTGCGAGGTAAAGGCTCAGGTAATCGGTGTCTCCCAAACGCATGAACTTTATAGATGAAATATTCAAAATAATATAAATGCGTATTAAATACATTTTGTATTGCAATTAGTCTATCACTGCAACAGCTGTTCGGACCTTGTTTCAATTTATGCCAGAACCATTTATCGTACTCATCAATTTTTTCTGGAAATAAAGCACTTTCAGGATTTTCACGGAAAAACATTCCTTTGCCTTCATCATCGAGAGCATCAATTTGTAGAACATTTAATCGTTGTAAGCATTTTGAAATCTGTTGATCATCATTTATAGCTTTTGGATCACAAATTTGTGGATTTGAAAAACCCTTTTCAATAAGACGTGTAAAAGCTCGTTTTGAGATCGAATAAGCACCAATCATATAATCCTTTTCAATGTAATAAACAATAAAGTAAATTGTTAACATTCATGAAAATTATAAATCTTTTACCTCTTCTAAATATCTTTGACCTATAATTAAAGGCCAATCCGGTTCATATTGATAGAGTAGCCATCTGAGATTCTCCATCACCATGTATGTATTGTCGTTTGTTTTTAATATCCAATCAAAATCATTAAGATGATGTTTGTATACATATGTCATTGCTTCTTTCAGTCTAGCCCAGTTACTACTTTTGTCTTTCAAAACGATGATATTGTCCTTGAATCTTTCATCTAATGAAAATAAAATTCAATACTTTTTGATTCATTTTTTTGGAACTTAGAACAAGTTACCTGGATCATCAGCAAAAAATATAAATTTATGGCAACGTTTTGTCCATGTCTTGAGAAAGATTTCACCACGATCATTTAAAGTGCCTTGATTAACTGGAGTCATAATACATAAAACTCGTACTTCACGATAAAGAAATTCAGCTAAATTAGCATCTTGTGGCACTTCAAGTGTAAAGTTATTCTTCCTTTAAAATATGAAGCAACATTAAAAGAAATAAGAATTAATTTTAAAATTATTCAGTTTTGATAAGGAATTAACTCAAATTAAATCACTGTGAGGATTTTTTGAAAGTAATACCAAATTTTAAATTTAAATAAATTTGTAACACATGTTTTAGATACTTATTAATCAACTTACTGTATAAAATCACTTATGGTAAAATCGATATTTTTAGTAAATTGTGCATCTTCAATCACACCACTAAAAAACAATAAGATTAGATAAGCACTTTTCAATTATTGTTATAATAGTCCATACCTATATGCCATAAGAAATGAAAATATAAAACCTAACACTAAACCACAAAGTAACGCATTCGCTACTCGATTTTGCTGAAACTTTTTGCTTCTATCTATTGAATTTTAATAACTTTATAATTATTGATTGCCACGTATATCATAAATATCATTTACCAGTCTTTTTGTTCTCGGGATTTAACAAAAGCTGTGTTGAAGATTCTTCTTCCATATTTGTATACGTATATGAACAATTAATCAATAAATTCAAAATTTAATAATTTTTACAAAATCAAAAAGATCTGAACACGTCAAATATTCATCTCATACTAAGCAGATTCTCTTGTAAAATAAATGTGAACGGTGCTCATTACGAAATTCATACTCAAATTTTGAGTAAAATGAGACAAAAAAATTATATGAGAGAGCAAGTAAAAATTTTTGAGCATATAAAGATTACCTTAAATGATTTGTATGAATAAAACAACAATAATCGATGGTCATTTCTTCTTTTTAGCGCATTTTTGAAACTTGTTTCGAAAAGGTAGCTTAATAATGCACTTAAAGTTTTTGAAGGTGGGTTTTTGCTTTGCTTCCAAATGTTCGACAACCTAATGTGAATGAATTCATGTAGAAACTAGTGTATTGGGTAGAAACCCAATGCGGCCATATTCACACCGTACCATCAAAAGTCTTATGGATAGACCAAGATTTGCTCAGCATATGTTTAAAGTTATAAAGCTAGTGCTGTGCTTCGCTCAGCAAACATTTGAAAGATTAAAGCTTAACGAACATTCTTTAAAAGTTTTTTAACAAACATTTTCATCCAAAGTTTAATTTATAAAAATCACAGTCAACTTTTGTTTTAAAAAATTCGTAAGAAAGGAAAGTTTTTTGCTTTTTCTGAAGCAACGGCTGTTCCTACCTTGCCCAAAAAAAATACAGCTCTTCTATAGAGCAGCACAGATCAAATGATAAAAACTAGAAGTCTCTACGATGTCTCGTTATTGAGATTTCTTGCTGATTAACTTGCATGCTTGTTTGCTTACAGAAAGCGTATTTTGCGATTTTCTCAGCAATGCCGCAACTAATTTGAAATCTGTTTTTTGCAAAAGATGTAAAATTTCAGACAAAAAACGTGAAAACGGTGTGAATATAAAAAAACAAAGCTTAACCATTACTGCATTGAATTATGTCATGATAATAATAATTATAGACCTTTTGTTAAATTTTCTTTAAATTTTGCTTAGCTGTGAAATTTATTATAAATGTAAAACTTCTACTTATCAAAGCACTAAACTTAGAAAAAACTTCCTTTAGTGTAAACAGTTTCAACTTCTACCGGCTTCTGTTTTCTATTAATATATACATTAATTTATGAATTGATAACATTTATTCTATTGTTGTAAGTTTTTTTATTTCATTAAAGTTTCAATAGTTTTGAAATATTTCTATTCGCTAAGACTTGGCAAAACGTGAGTTCCAATAATAAAAACGTAATAAGTTTTCTAGAACTGAAAGTTTTATTTCTTTAAAAGCAAAATAATCTAAACTTGCACAGTGTTTTCTTTAAATTCCCTTACAGTATTTACGATTACAGCAAAATATTCTTCATATTGGTGTGAAATCAATATTTTAAGCATAGGTTCAAGACAAATAAATATATTTTATCAAAAGTCAATACTGTTGTCATATTATCTCCCTCTTCGATTAGATATGAAGTGTAGCAACTTTTTATTATAATAAAAAAAAAAAACTTTGAGTTTATTCTTTTTTAAATCCTTTATGGTATTTACGAGTGAAGAATTAAAACAATGAAAAGTGTTAATTTTCAAGAACTGTTATATTTCCTTTTTGGTTTTGCATGTGGCTTCATTGTACTAACACTATTTTCGCAAAGTTATCAAGCTTTAATAGCTAATCAACGAATTAATTCCAGAAATTTAAAACATCAATCATATAATATATCAAGTGATGCTCAAAAATATGACCATGAGCTTTCAGATAGGCTTTTTAATGAAATTAAAATACTATGTTGGATTTTCACACATCCTGATAATCACAAAAAGAAGTTACCACATCTTAAAAATACATGGGGAAAGAAATGTAATAAATTAATTTTTATGAGTATAAAAGATGACCCAGCTTTTCCAGAGATTATAGTGATCCCAGTAGAAAATGGAAGAGAACATTTGTGGAATAAAACAAAACTCACAATGGAGTATGTTTACAAGAACCATTTAAATGATGCTGACTGGTTCATGCGTGCAGATGATGATAAGTAGGTTACTAAGGTTCATTTCAATTTTTTTTTTATTTTATTCTTATATTTTAGTTTTGTTCTAATGGAAAATCTTCGCTACATGCTCTATCAATATCATCATCAAACGTCTTTATATATAGGATGTAGATTTGCAATAAAATATCCAAAAGTTGAAGAGGGTTATATGGCAGGAGGTTTTGTTTTACTATTATATTTGAAATTAATGATTTTTTTTTTTAATTTTTCCTTTTCTTCTGAAGGTGGACATATATTTTCCAAAAAAGCACTAAAAAAATTTAACGAAATCTCAATACATAATGCATCTTTATGTCCTCAAGATGATTCTTCATTAGATGATGTTTTTATAGGTTAGTATTCAGACATTTGTAAGTTTCGAAAAGGTTCATAGAAAACAATTATTTTACTTTAGGTCAATGTTTAAAAAATCTCGCAATTTTTCTTGACGGACGAGACCAATTTGATCAAAAAAGATTTTTTCCTCTTTCACCTGAACAACATTTCAAACCAGCTTTAGATCCAACATTTTGGTACTCACAATATTTGTGGCGTAATGTTTCTCAAGGTGGTCTTCAATGCTGTTCTGATACCTTTATCAGTAAGCATTATACGAGTCCAAAAGAAATGCATACACTCCAATATTTGATTTATAATGTTCATCCATATGGACTGCAAAAAAATTTGACAGAAATTCTCCCAAGAAAACTTTCAATCAAAGAACTAATTAGGCTATCGGACGAGAAAAGTTTTGCTCCAAACTATAAACAACACAAAATAATTCATAACATCGATGATGATGAAAAATACAGATGACAATAGTCAAATATTTTTAAATTTTCAACAATATTTTTTTTAATAAATATAAAAATCAATAAAAATAATCTCATTACTTCTAATTGAGGATTTCAAATAGGTTCTAAAACCTTTATTTAAAAAAAAAATATTTAATTTAATTTAAAAAATATTTCTTGCATTATTTGATAAATATATTCTTGCACTCCTCATGGTTTATTCAGGTGTTGATACAAAAATACTGAAACCATCAATTAATAAAAATTTTCAATCGCTAAATTCATTTGTTCAAGATGGAAAAGGAACTTAAAAAAAATTATTTTTTGTTTCGACCTAATTTCAGTTAAATGTTTTTCAAGTTAATACATCAAAAACAAAAGGTAAATTTTAATTTGCACACCTATTAAGTTTTCATAATTCGTTTTTATCAGTTTTTATGTACATGACACGGATACTCTTGTTGATGTCAAGTTGTACTTTTAGTAGTAATAGATAAGATAAACAAGTAGCCAAAGTTTGTATGAATTTGAAATAAGACGCATTTTCCTTAATTGAACATATTATATTACTATGAGGGGAGCATAAGTGAAAAAAAAAAAAAAAAAAAAAAAAAACCTTTACCTATTCAGATCAATTGTGATCCAGAGGTGCGCTAGGGCGATTCGCAGCTAATGAGAGTTTAACGAGTGAGGATGCGCCAAACCACTGCACTCAAACCTAGACCTACAATTTATAGTGGGATCCGAACCACTCCTTTGATGACATTTCTGTCTGTAGCCTACAAAGGAAGGCTGTGAGCCTCATTTCCAGTACATATGATTCGAAAAAGAACAAGTGAAAAATTTCCCATACCCAGTCTCGAACCCATGATCGCTGTGTCGGTGTTGCAATAATTAGGTACCGAAGTACTAAACCATTCCGCCACCGAGCCACTTCAGCTCACCTAGCATAAGTGAACCTGATGCAATTCAACAAAATTTTAAATAATAAAAGAGTAAATAAAACATCGGCAAGAAGCTAGCGTAGGTAGGCAAGGGTGAAAACCTCTACTATGACGGAAAAGTTTTCTTAATTAAATGAATATTTTGAGAAAAAAATTCTACATCTATATAAAAAGACATAGTGAGAATTTTTTTAAAAAATTAATAGCTTAGATTGAATGGGTGAAAAATACATCTACTAGTTTTTTTTTTTCGAAATAACATATTATTGTATTATCATTTTGATTGTGATATATAGAAGTTGTTTAGTATTAAAACGTGTTGTAGTTTCATTCTTTATTATATTAGATTGCACGACTCTTGCAGTTAAATAATTTTCTTTGGTTGACTAAAACTCGGACAAAAATGTGCAATTTATTGAGTTCAAAAGAGGTGTTGAGTTTTTTAATTGGTTTTGCAATTTCAACATTACTTGTGATTAATATTAACAATAATTATTCAATAAAGAATATCCAATTAGAACCAGTAAAAAATTATGAAAATATTATGAAAAAAAATATGGTAAATAGTTTTTATAAAAATTCTAATGAATCATATGAATCTGAACTAGCAGATAGGCTTTTCAATGATATACGTGTTCTTTGTTGGGTATTTACTCATCCGTCTAACCATAAAATTAAAGTTCCACATGTAAAAAAAACATGGGGCCATAGATGTAACAAACTACTCTTTATGAGTATAGAAAAAGATCCAACTAATCCAGATATCATACCGATATTGGTTCCTGAAGGGAGATCACATTTATGGAATAAAACAAGACTTGTTATGAAATATGTTTATGATAATCATTTTAATGATGCCGATTGGTTTATGCGTGCAGATGATGATAAGTACGAAATACTATCCAATACTATTATTTTATTACATTATACATATTATCAATTTTAAAAATAGAGTCTTTTCTTTTTAAATATTTAGTTTTATATTGATGGAAAATCTACGTTATACTTTAGCTCAATATAATCCAGAAACATCGCTTTATATAGGTCACCGATTTTCAGTTGATTATCCTCAAGTTCGAGAAGGATATATGGCAGGTATGATGTTATTAAACTCACTCGATTGGTAGAAAGTGTAAGCATGAGAGAATTGACATAGTAAATCTTTTGCAGTGATTTATATTATTACTAGTAGCAATTATTGATCAAATGATTAAATATATATATTAATGACAGGAGGTGGGCATATATTTTCAAAAAAAGCTCTTAAAAAATTTGTGACGATAATCTCACCAAATACAACTTTGTGTGATAATAATGATGGCGAAGCTGATGATTTATTAGTAGGCCAATGTCTTAAAAAATATGCAATATTTATTGATGCCCGAGATTCAAAAAATCAAAAACAAATTTTTCCGGTCGGAGTTGAAGAACATTTGCAGCACAGGGCAGCAGATTTTAGCTATTGGTATTGGACAAATTTATGGAGAAACGTTACTCAAGGAGGATTAGACTGCTGTTCAGATGTGTATATTGGAGCTCATTATGTGAGCCCAAAAGAAATGTATTTATTGAAATATTTAGTGTATAATGTTCATCCATTTGGTCTGAAGAAAAATATTACAGAGTCTTTACCACGAAAGCTTTCATTGGATGAAATTATAAAAGCTTCAGATGCAAAAAGTTTCTCACCAAATTTTAGAATACATGAAAATGTTCACAACATAGATGAAGATGAAAAGTATACATTAAATACAGCATGAAGATATAAATATATAAAATAATAGTATAGACAAATCTTTAATTTATTTAACGACGCTTACAATTTCTACATTATTAAGAATATTAATCAAAACTATTGAATTGAATTTTTTATGCAGCATGTGATGTTCCAAGATCAAACTCTGCATAGTGATTCTTTCTTCTGATTATATCACTAGTTAATGTATGTTGCATTACACCAATCTTGATATCTAATTCCGAAATTTCTTCTTTCAATCGAATAACTGCCTTTTTTATATTAATAAGAGGACTTCCATCTGTCATTGAATTTCCGCGTTGCTCCATTTGAATTTTAACATTTTCAAGCTCATTTGTAAGTTTTGTAATTGTATCTTCCATTTTAGTTTTGATTTCTTCATTTTCTTTCATTCCTTTATTAATTTTTATTAGTTCGATTGATAATTGTTTATACTCCTTTATCAAATCCTTTAATTCTTTATTAAGATGTTTTTCTCGGCTATCAATTTTATCCATTGTGAAAATTATTTCATTTTGCATTTTCTTTAGTTGAGTTTGTGCTTCTTCAGATGCCTGAAATTAAATTTTATCAATAATTTTCACAAACTTACAATAGTTTGATTTTCTAACGGCTTCAATATTACTCTTAAGAGTCTTAATTTGTTCAAGATGAGCTCTCCAATCTCGATTGTCGCTTTTAACAACAATTTTAAGTTGAGGTAACACTCTTTCCATTTCCAATCTGTAATGAAATATCAATGAACGTATATGTTCAATTCCCCATCCCTACTTGAAAGTAGAACATCTATTAATGACTAAATTACCTGAAATTTTCATTGTCTGCCAATGTATTGACTTTGTTTTCTTTATTATACTTGCTTCTTTTTCTCTCATTTAAATTCAGATCATAGATAGAGTTCCTTTCACGTTCATCATCACTTTCACTTTCTAAAATAGTTTGTTCATCCAATTTCTCCAAAATTATTTCAGAATCATTATCAATAATATCAAGTGAAGAATTTTCTTCAGCTTTTATTTGAGGTTTGTTAACCTGAACTGTTGAAAGTTTCAAAACTTTTGTAGCGAGAGAATCAAGGACATAAACACAAATGGGACCAGCTCCAGATATAAGTTTATTTGACTGAAAGTCTGTAGCAATATCCATATCATTTAAAGATTTGATAATTTTTGAAATCACCACATTTGGATCATCAAATTCTTGTGGCTGCTCAAAAGATTTCCCAGTTTCACGAACCAGCCATGCAGCAATAGATACAAAAAGAAAGAATTGCTCTCCAGAATTTCGCACTTTATTGAAATAAAATTTACTTAAAGGCTTCATTTTCATTTCTTTTAAAAGTAAGTTTTCAAAGTTCAGAATTTTTAATTTCTCAATCAGATCATCATTTTGATAAGAGGAAATTAATGATAAGTTGTTTGAATCTCTTTCAATAGCAGTTAACAATTCCGGTCGGAACATTATTATATTATTTTATATTATATTATATATTTACTTTTAAAAAATTTTAATTTTTTCAAAAAAATACTTTTTGATTCTTTTCAAGTGTATTTTTTCTACTGTTTGTTGGTTTTGTAACCATGGCAATAAATTCGAAAAAAATATAGAATGATGATTCATTGAAAACATTCAGTTGTGACGTTAAGTTTTTAATCGAAGATACGAATCTAATTTATGTAGCATTGCTCATAGCTGACGTCACAGGAAGACTTTGACAATTTTGTCAAAAAGCATCACTTTGAATCATAAAAGAATATTATAAATGTATATAATTAAAAAATTGCAAGTTTATTCACCTTTTAAATGATTGCATGTAACATTACCTGGTCTCAAATAGTAAAATTGTCGAAAATAAATGAGAAAGCTATCGATTTTTAAAAAAAATGAGTTTTTAAAAATCATTTTTATTTTAAAAATTGATAATACTAAAAATGGTAATTTTCAGAAGCAACTGAAAGACAAAATGAAACATCAAAATATTAATTTAGATACTTTTATAATAAAGTCAAGAATTGTTAAATGATCTATGATAACTTCAGATAACTACAAAAAAATTACCATTGGATATTTTATCAGGTTAACTCACTTTAAACATTTGTTACAATGAGTATCATCAATTAATTGATGTCGATTAATCCTATTTGTCAGGTTTTTACGAAAACTTAAGAATTTAGAGGTCAACACAAGATTGAAGTGGAGTAAGATAGTATTGATAATCATATAATGATGCATATTTTTGTAACGTCCTAATGCATTAATATAAATTGTATCATAAAACCAGTCTAATACCATGTTTCCTGATTCTGGTCTGCTTTGTGTAACCATAGTATCAAAAATAACAAAACACAAATACAAACGATCAAAGAAGTCGCTTAGTTAATACGTAGAAATGATAACAAACGGGAGCATAAAATAAGTCTCTGTGTTACAAATGCAATTTTCAAGAATCAAAAGTAAAGAAAAATTGGAACAATTTTGAAAATACTTAAGAAAGAGAATAGGTAATGGAAAGAAATGTAAACTGCTTTGTGAAGCTAGGTCAATTGGAAAAGTGCAAAATGTATTGAAAACTATGAAATAATAATTGATTTTTAGAAGAGGATAAGCGTTCATAAAAAGGAAAAAAAAACATTTAAAAAATTTATTTTTACATATATTGTGTTTTAAAAAAAATGATTTAAAGTAATATTTTAACATTCTGGATTTTGTTTGAAAAAAAAAATTTATAGCAGCCAATTATACTACTCATGTAAGTCATTGTAGAATCGATGTAATAAAAAATCAATTAAAATGAGTATATATATATATATATATATATATATATATATATATATAAATATATAAAAGGAATCAATATATTGTTAGAAGGGCGCCTGGTGTATGTTGTTCCCATTTTATTATTTCTTTTCTTTCGATTACTGAAAATTAGCTACGCATTTACTTCAGTAGCTATAAATTAAAATGAATTTCTAAAAAGTTTTATTTACATTACTATGTTGAAAGTGAATGATGCATACACGCGACAGTTATGATAAAGATAAAAACCTTGAACTCGATAGAAATCAGGCAGGTATTACCTGATGGTCAAATTTTCATATGTAATTTTATTTTTTCATACATTTTGCCTAATTCGAATATATAAGCTACAAAAACTTTTCAATGATTGTCCATTTTATGTTTAGAGTTATGAATGGAGATATACATAATCAATAAATTTTCTATTATTATTAGAAAAATGACGAACATAAGCCAGATGCTTTAAGTAGTATTTTAATATAGCTTATCAGTTTAGAAAACAAGGAAAAAAAATTAAAAAACAGACAGGAAATGAATCGTTATATGATTTTATCGCAACTTGGTGATGGCACTTATGGAACCGTCGTACTTGGACAGCGAAAAGATAACAATGAAAAAGTCGCCATTAAACGAATGAAAAGAAAATATTATTCGTGGGAGGAGGCGATGGCATTGAGAGAAGTTAAGGTGAGTATAACAATGCTTTGAATATTTTAGAACATAATTGTATACACACATCAAAGCCTTTTGAGCAATTTCATAATTCGTATCGGTTTTCGAGTATCATTAAATGACGCTTTTAATTTTCTTATACCAGATAGCACAAAACATCGGCAAAACTGACCAATCATGGTCCTTTTAAATTCCAAATCAACGTTGATTTCTAATAATGTCCTCAAAGAAATTAGATCAGTGCTGCTCAAGTGTAACGCGAAAAATTAAGCGACATAATGAATATTTAAAATGCTTTTTTTTATATTCACACCGTTTTCACGTGTGAATCTATTGGTTTTGTTCAGATTGAAAAATCAGTTTTTTGAATTTTGTGAGTATATGGAGCAAGATATCTTAAAATGTTCAGAGATGAAAAGTTTGTGCCTAAAATTTTACATCTTTTGCAAAAACAGATTTCAAATTAGCTGCGGCATTGCTGAGAAAATCGCAAAATACGCTTTCTGTAAGCAAACAAGCATGCAAGTTAATCAGCAAGAAATCTCAATAACGAGACATCGTAGAGACTTCTAGTTTTTTACATTTGATCCGTGCTGCTCTATAGAAGAGCTGTATTGTTTTTGGGCAAGGTAGGAACAGTTGTTGCTTCAGAAATAGCAAAAAACTTTCCTTTCTTACGAATTTTTTAAAACAAAAGTTGACTGTGATTTTTATAAAATTCAACTTTGGATGAAAAATGTTTTTAAAAAACTTTAAAGAATGCTCGTTAATCTTTAAACCTCCAAACATATTCTGAGCATAGCTCAGCTGGTTCGTCAGGATTTATACTTTCAAATTAATACTGAGCTAAGCTTGGTCTTTCCACAAGACTTTTGATGGTACGGTGCGAATATATCCGCATTGGGTTTCTACCCGATACACTAGTTATCTTATTATTTTGGCCAATTAATAGGGATAATTAATTTTTGTTTAATTTTCAGTCTCTTAAGAAACTGTCACATGCAAATGTAGTAAAACTTAAGGAAGTTATTAGAGAAAACGACATTCTATACTTTGTGTTTGAATATATGCATGAGAATCTATATCAACTAATAAAGGATAGAGAAACACATTTTCCAGAAAATACCATTAAAATTATTTTACTGCAAATATTTGCGGGTCTTGCGTTTATGCATCGACATGGCTTCTTTCATAGAGATTTAAAACCTGAAAATTTACTATGTAATGGTCCAGAACTAGTGAAAATTGCAGGTAATTTTTATTAGATTATTAAAATTTTTTAAAAGAAATTACGTTCAACTAAAATTGAAAACTTGTAAATATGCATTTATTCAAATTTTTCTTTCAAAAGATTTTGGTTTAGCGAGAGAAATCAGATCCCGACCACCATATACTGACTATGTGTCTACAAGATGGTACAGAGCGCCAGAAGTACTTCTTCATTCTACAAGATATTCAAGTGCAATAGATCTTTGGGCAATAGGATGCATTGCTTCAGAGCTATATACATTTCGTCCAATTTTTCCAGGCTCAAGCGAAGTTGATCAATTATTTAAAATTTGTTCAATTATGGGAACTCCTGATAAGGTACTAAAAAGAGAATTGAGACAAATTGACTTTAAAAACAGTGTTTTCTTTTCATGTTTTCACAGGTTTATCATATTGATTATAGATTATCTTTTTAATTAATCGATATTTCTCGTTTTTAGAATGAATGGTCTGAAGGACATCGACTGGCAGCAGCAATACAATTTCGTTTTCCTGAGTGTCCGAAAATTCCTTTGACAAGTGTAATTACAAGAGCAAGTCAACAAGGCCTTCATCTCATTGAAGATTTACTTTGTTGGGATCCAGATAAACGTCCAAATGCTCAACAATCACAGCGATATCCTTACTTTATGAATGTCAAAAATACCACATCAGCATCTATAAGACCACAAGTACTTCAACAAAGCGCATTGCAAAATGGTCGATTATCAATAATGGATGTAGAAGCATTGGACAATACAGCATTGATGAATAGATTCAATGTTAATTCAAAATTCTCTACTAATAATGATATTAATGACACAAATTCAATAATGAATGGGTCAAAAATGGCACAAAAAGATGAAAAAGGTTTCCTTATAGACACTAGTTCAAATGACACAAAAAAATCAGGAAAAAGTTTCACAAAGTTCCAATCTAATTTTAGTATTCTTAATGACATGTTTAACAATATGAAAACTGATACCAACAATAATGACAAGATCTTAAAAGATAAAAACCAAAAGCACACAGAAAACAATAAATCTCCTTCTAGTTGTAATCCTTCGAAAAAAATGGAAGATGCTGATCGCTTGAGTGAAAAAGAGAAAATTAATGATGTATTCTTGAATTTATTAAAAGATCAGAAAGATCCTGTAGAATATAATTCAACTTATAATAGTTCTACAAGCTTTTATCTTCATGAACCAAAGCCATCTCAACAAACACGTGTAAGACAGAAAAACGATTCAGGAATTAGTTTCAAGATGCTTTCAAAAGGTGTTCGAGACAATTCTTTTGATGAAGGATTCTTTGATAGCCTCAACAATGGTGGACGAAAAAGTAAAGCTAGTGCTAAGGATGGTGTCGTAAAAGATTGGGACGAAGGAATGGAAGACGATGAGTTAGCTTCAATATTAGGGTAATTTTTAAAGGGCTGTTTTAAATATAATTATTTCATAGCAATATAAATGACATAAATTAATGACTTATTTTCACAATATACTCTTTTACAGGAGTAAAATAAAATCTGCTAAACGACCAAATAACGATATCAATCTTGATGATATTTTTGATTCATTTTATTCTAAAGAAGTGACAAAATATCCTACTACAGTGCCAATCACGAAAGCAACTACTCGAAATAATGGCGACTTATATGATATCTCTAACGATTCTAAACACTTAAGTGCAAGTGTTGCATTGCAAAGAAGGAGGCAGTCTACACAGCAGATCTTCCTATCCAATAATAAGTAAATAAATTTTTTCTGCGATTCGTCGATTTCATAAAATTAATTTAAATTTTTTCAACCAGAAGTGTACTCAATGGAAATTCACAGGCCACAGAATATAAACTCAATAATATACCTGTAAAACTGTTCTCATGGGAAGAGCCTCAGAAGCTTCAAGAGGAAAAACCATTTAAAATTGTACAGCAAAGTAAGAAGTTTCATTAAAAGCATTCGAAGTAAAATAATTTTCCTAATATTTTTATTAGATGGCAGTTTTAATGATGCTACAAAAATGGCAAATTTCAGGACAGACTGGTCAGCGAAGTATCTTTACAAATAAATTAAGAACCATGTTTTTTTTTCAAATATATGTATATTCTCTGAACTGTGATAACCAATCATTATTAATAATTCAAAATAAAGGTTCTATTCAACAATTGAAGCCACCAGATTTAGCATGCATCAATACAAGATTAGAATTCTATCGAAAAAAATTTTAATTTAAAAATGCGACATGGTTAGTATGCATTTTTCAGTATAAAAGACCCTAGTAACATGCTAGAATCAAGTGATTTCATATTTGAGTGCCACAGGTTAACGTTAAAAAAGAAAGAAATTTTAATAATCATGAAGTTTTAGAACAATATGATCGCTTACAATATCAAAATCGATTTGAAGAAAATCGTTGCTTGCATAAACAAGATAAATTTGATGAAAGTAGGAACCAAAATGAACAAGTTTTTAACCGAGGATTTTTCGATCAACGTGCAAATCCACAAAACCCAACAATTCTTCATTTAAAACAGCAGTCTTTAATATGCAGTCGTTAACACGTTACTTTCATGTAAAAGGTTATTCAAATTACGATATTGCTTACAGTGTTAGCGACATAATAACTGAAGATATTAAAGCACATCAGTGATGTGACATCACACGCTGAGTTTCCAACGTGAAGTAAATTATCATGCAATCGATTGTGATTTATTTGATGCTGAAGTTAAACGTGAGCCAGTTGTTGGTTAAGCATTTTCTAGCAATTATTTGAAAAAGAAATCAAAGCTCAGATTTTGACTCATCCAAAATTTGTGGCTTCAACATCAGTCTCAATACCGAAGATTGACAGCAAAATCAGTACATAACAACTGACTAATGAGCCAAGATTGATTTTTAAGTAAAATGTGATTTATAATTAAATTTGTGAGAAATAAATTATTTAACTCCTGGGCAATCTATACCAAATAGCTACTTATTTGTGATTTTTATCATCATCGTATGTTTCATGTGTTGGGCAGTCAATTAAATTATTATAACCGTCAAATATAATTCAAACTTTTTGTAAACAAATCAAGCATTGCGGACAATAAGTTGAAGTGAGCTTAATTTCAGTGAATTTAATTAAATAAGGTGAACGAGGTATATAAATTGAATGAAACTATTGAATATCATTACAAAATCATTCATAGCGTGTAGATTTATTACAAAGATGTCATTATTACCGTCAAAAATATCGATAACATCGACTTTTAAGCGTGAAGATTTTACAAAAACACTTTCTGTACCAATTTTAAAGACTGATGGTAAAAATGTTGATTTAAATAGTGTAGTAAAACTACTTAAGGCCTGCTTACTAAAAGTTCAAAAGTTTCAAGCAGTAAAAGATGGAAAAATTTTCCTTAATCCTGATAAAGTGAGATGTTTTGAACAACTTCCAGTTGATGATTTAAAAAAATCCGGAATTAACTGTAGCTCATTTGGGTTCGAAGATATAACATTATCTTATGATAATTGGAAAGCCGATGAATTGATAAGAGCGATAATTCCCGATAATTTGGAATCAGCAGCATCTTTTTCGCGGATTGGTCACATTATTCACTTAAATTTAAAAGATGAATTACTTCCATACAAAGCAGCAATCTCACAAATATTCTTGGATAAGACTCCAAATTGTCGCACAGTTATAAACAAGGCACAGAGTATCGAAAACACTTACAGGAATTTTCAAATCGAGCTTTTAAGGGGAGATGACGATTATCAAGTTCAAGTCAAGGAAAATGGAATAACATTTGAATTTGACTTTTCATCTGTTTATTGGAATCCACGACTTAGCACAGAACATGAGCGATTAGTAAAGCTATTGCATCCAAACGATTATTTTTATGATGTATTTGCTGGAGTTGGTCCGTTTTCGGTACCTGCTGCAAAACGTCGAGTTAATGTTCTTGCGAATGATCTCAATCCACATTCTTTTAAATGGCTTGAGTATAATATAAAGAAAAATAAATGTGAAAATTATGTGAAAACATTCAACAAAGACGGACGTCAATTTATTATTCATGATATTAAAGAAAATTTGCTAACAAGAATTGAGCAAAGATTAATTGATCCAGTTGATTATTCTATTCATATAGCCATGAATCTTCCAGCATTGTCAGTGACATTTTTAAATTCATTTGTAGGGCTTTTAAAAGGAAACGGTAGAAGCATAAAAAATTCGCATTCGATTCCAACACCTATTATTCATTGTTATCTGTTCGTAAAAGGTATTGATGATTCGAAATGTATGGCACAAGAACTCGTTGAAAAACATTTTGGCTTCAAACTCATCCCTAATGATACTTTGAAAGAAATTTCTTTCGTTAGAAATGTCGCTCCAAATAAGGACATGATGCGTGTCGATATATTTCTAACTTCAGACATTTTATTTGATAATATCTCTCAAAAACGCTTGAATGATTCATGCAATAATGATGATGATGATGATGAAGTTCCATCCAAAAAGTCATGTAATACAAATGTGTTCATGTAATGTCTGAAATAAAGTTATAAAATTTGTCATTTCTCATTAACAGGTTTCAAAAATGGGAAAGAACAAGAAGAAGCAGAACACCCAACAAAAACAACAAACAAACAAGAAGACCAAAAGCATCTTTAAAGTTGCAACAAGCAGTAGCAACAAAAAGTCTCAAAAGAAAACTAAAGAAATCCCGAATAAATTAAAACAGCTCGACTTGAAGACGAAAGATAAAGCAGACAATCAATTAAAAGATTTACATCTCAAGATGGTCTCTAAAAAAGACATACAAGTTGAGCCTAAAGCTGTAGGCAAGAAGAAAAGAACAGCGCCAAATACTAAAGAAGTACAAGATACGTTAGATAAAATGGATGTAAAGTGAAGAACACTAATATTTTAACATTCAAATAAATATATTGTATCTCAGGATGACTTTCAATCACCTAAACGCTTGTTGAATACATTTTAACTTCCAGGATTTTTCTTAAGTTGTTGATGTGCATCTCGTTTTTAAATAAAATACTGGTTTTATCATAGAATATACTTCATAATTAATGTTTTCAATTTTTATTTCAATTCTTGATTCATCAAAACATAAAATGTCCAAACTATTTTTTTCAACTTTTGTTCTCATTATAGCATAAAATCGTGTACATTAACATGCATTTTAAAAACTTTATTTGTTATTTTGTGAAATATAATTTTTTTTGTGTAAATCTAATATGGCTAAAATTTATAGATTATTGTTGAATTAATTGAGTTTCTGTTCTTCTGGACATTATTTCATTCCTTAAAAAAGTATGAAGGTTCATATGTTGAAAAATTAAAAGGTACAGTTATTAACTACACATTGTCATGTAATATAATTTTTTTTAAACAGCACGAAAGTTTGAATTGTAATATCAAACTTGAGTGAAACATTTTATAATCTTGCATGAAATTTTTTGTTTTCATTTTGTAATACATCTGCTGTTTTCTATTTTTAATGTTCATTGGCAAGTACTATAGGTGCCTATTGTAGATTATTGAAAAAATAAAGTTTTTGTTTTATGTATTTCAATTTAATAATTGAAATTTTTATCGTATCATCATCATCATTTTAAATTTTTGTTAAATTTTAATTTAACCTCCTTATCATTATCATAACACTCAAATTTTTGAGTATGCAGAATCACTTTAAACTTTTATTTTCTTCTTTCTAGTCATTGAACGTTTAGTAATTCTTACTCATTAAATTCTAAATTTTTTTAAAGGTTTTTATTACTTATTTCTTATTTGGAATGAAATATAAAGAATTTAATTCTTTTTCTTTACTTTTTGAAATGAAATAATCATTTATTGATTATTTAATGAAAGATTTTGGTAAAAAAAACTAGAGTTAAAAGTAACGGTTTTTAAATATCTGATAACTGATGCGCTGTAAAATAGTTGTCAAACATACGATTTTCAAAAGTTAAATTTATGTTTGATTTATGTACTGCTAGCTTTAAGTGCAAAATTAAAGCTAGAATGATTGTGTAGTTTATTAATTTTTCAAAAGTCGTACTTTTATGGAAATTTTCGTGCCGAATATTTTTTCATCTTTGTAGTTTCTAATTTAAATTCATCTTTTCAAAATTTCGTTCAAATTTAATATTTTTTTTCTTCTTAATAAAATTGAAAGCAATTTGAATTTTTTTTAAGATTCAAAACTTAATTGTTGAGATTTGTTAAATGATTATTTTCGAATTTTTTTGATTTTTAAGAAATATTTAATCTCTTCTTTAATACATTAATGTATTTTGCAAAGTCTTAGCTATTGTTTTTTTTCTTAAAGAAAATTCACAGGTGTTAAACATGTAGAAAATTAATAACAATAATTTCAAGTGAAAAAAAAATAAGAACAACTAAAAGCTTCTCTAAATTTGATTGTTTAGATGATGGAGTAAATTCCCCGAAAGATATCAATTCCACGATCCTGCGGAATAATAACCCCGAAAATCGCAAATTTTTAAATTTTCCCTGCGGGATAATATTCCCACTTAGAAAAAAAAGTGGAATTATTATTCTTCCGGGATGATAATAATCCCACCTATAATTACAAGTGGGATTAATAATAATTACTTTATGGAACACGATTAAAATTATGGATTAAATTAAATCCAAAAACTTATTTGTCATAGTGGATAATAATTCCACTTGTATTAATAAGTGGATTTATTATCTAAAAGGATTTTCATCCAAAAAAAATCCCACTTATTAATTTGTCAATTTCATTATTCCAAAAACTTAAATAAGAAAAGAAAGAAATAAAAGCCTAGAGCCTAGATGTTCAATGCATCAAAGATCTATTCACTCAAAAAATCATATTCACACAAAATTTTCAATTTTTTGTTTTTGCAAATGAAGTCTTTCAAAATTTTAAACGTGCGGAACTAATAAATAACGTTTTCATCATTTTTGTCATTCGCAAAATTTGAGTTCACTTGATGCAGGGTTTTTTGCTTTTTTGGAAGCAACGGCTGTTTCTACCTTACCCAATAAAAAAATAAAGCCTTATCCTTTTTAACGCAGCAAGAATCAAATGCAAGAATTAGAAGTCTCTAAGATGCCTCGTTATTGAGATTTGTGCTGATTAACTTGCCTTGATGCTTGTTTGCTTACGTATTATGTGATTTTCCCATCAATGCTACAGCCAATTTAAATTCTGTTTTTGCCCATTTGCTTTTTTTCCTCAAAATGCGAAAAACTGTTTTTCAAGCTGAACAAAAATAAAGTGAATATGGTGTGAATATAAAATCCATCTTAGGATATAAATTTTTTTTATATTCACACCGTTTTCACGTGTGAATCTATTGGTTTTGTTCAGATTGAAAAATCAGTTTTTCGAATTTTGTGAGAAAACGAAGCAAAATTGGTCTTAAAAGGTCTTAGAAAAAAGTTTGTGCCTGAAATTTTACATCATTTTCAAAAAACGGAATTCAAATTGGTTGCGGCATTGCTGAGAAAATCGCAAAATACGCTTTCTGTAAGCAAACAAGCAAGCAAGTTAATCAGCAAGAAATCTCAATAACGAGACATTGTAGAGACTTCTAGTTTTTTTACATTTGATCCGTGCTGCTCTATAGAAGAGCTGTATTGTTTTTGGGCAAGGTAGGAACAGCCGTTGCTTCAGAAAAACCAAAAAGTTTCCATTCTCACGAATTTTTTAAAACAAAAGTTGACTGTGATTTTTATAAAATTCAACTTTGGATGAAAAATTTTTTAAAAACTTTTAAAGAATGTTTGGCATATTCGTCAAGCTTTATACCTTCAAACTTATGCTGAGCGAAGCTCAGCTTACTCGCTAGCTTAATATCTTCAAACTTATGCTGAGCGAAGCTCAGTTGACTTATCAAGCTTCATACCTTCATACTTATGCTGGGCAAATCTTGGTCTATCCATAAGATTTTTGATGGTACGGTGTGAATATAATCCGCATTGGGTTTCTACCCGATACACTAGTTCTGACAGGTTTTATTTTAAGCTATTCTTTAAAAGAGCTCAAGTTTGAAAGAACTTACAAAATATTACGTTTGAATTTTGTGCGAATCACTTTAATTATTATTTGCTGAACATTTTCAATAAATTTGTGGTCATCAGTTTGTTTTAGTAACCCTGTATACCTGAATAATTTGAATAATTTCGAAATTTTGAGATTATAAACAATCAAATCTCTTAAATGGTCTAAAACCACTGGAAAACTTCTTAGGGCTTGTAGACACGGTTAAACAGCATCAGAACTGCCATCATTTTAAAATTCTAGTTAATTTAATAAGAATTTTAGCAACAGAATCATATTTTTAATTTTGCGTTCTTTTTATGTTTAAGTCTTTACATTTTTCTTAGCAAAATGTGTAAACAAATATTATGATTAGATTTATAAATCTAATTTTGTTAAGGGCAATTTACAATTATTTGAATGACTTTTGGAAAATTTCAGGAGAGAATCGAAAATTTATTATTTTGCCCATTAGAGGTTAACATATCTACTCCTAAACATTTGAACAAAACTGTGATTTTTAAACAGTTGAATGAATGAAGCGAAACAAAATGGAATTACAGCTACATTTTCTTTAAACATTCGAGCGAATCTCGAAAATAATTTTATATGGAATAGCTAACATCTTTAGATCAGTTGAACCCACTTGAACCCACCTTGATTTTATTTTTTAAACAATTTGGAATAATATATTTTTAAAAAGCAAACATTCAACCAATATTGATGTTTTCTTCTTATTTAAGTTTTTGGAATAATGAAATTGACAAATTAATAAGTGGGATTTTTTTTTGATGAAAATCCTATTAGATAATAAATCCACTTATTAATACAAGTGGAATTATTATCCACTATGACAAATAAGTTTTTGGATTTAATTTAATCCATAATTTTAATCGTGTTCCATAAAAATAATAATCCCACTTAGAAATGTAAGTGAAATTATTATCTACCTGGGAGATAATAATCCCACTTGTAATTATAGGTGGGATTATTATTATCCCGGAAGGATAATAATTCCACGTGTATTTCTAAGTGGGAATATTATCCCGCAGGGAAAATTTAAAAATTTGCGATTTTCGGGGTTATTATCCCGCAAAATCGTGGAATTAATATCTTTCGGGGAATTTACCCCCCATCGTTTAGATCAGTATTTAGTCAAATATTTGCTTGGACTTTGATTTTTATCCAAGCTCTGATAAGACTTATCTTGACATGCCTTTTGTTTACAACACTGCATTTTTTTTAAATAAAATATTAGAATAAAATTAATGTGTTTCTAAAGAAAGCAAATAATTTGAATTTCTTATGAACTTGAATAAATGCACCACAAATTCAAAGAGCAAATTTTTCGTTTATCAAGTAAAATTCTTAAAGCTAAGAACACATTAATAAGTATTCGCATAAGAATTAAGATATCTCTAAATGCAATTAACTCTTTTAAAATTTTAAAGATAGAAATAATTAATCAAATTTTTAATTCGAGATATTCCAGTTACCATTAAGTTTACAAAACTCATCTAGAAATTATTTTAGAACATATCTTTTCTCACAGTCATGTCATTAAAAGCTGAAAAAAAATGTTCAAAATTGTTTTCTTTATTTTTGAAACATCAATAAAATATTTTGTTCTTTCGTGTGTGCCTTATCTACGAGTCATGATATTCATAGTATTAATCGAATGAATTTTCATTTAAAATTAAATAATGGAAGTAAAGTATTCATTTAACCATTTCGTTATCATTTAGAATTTTATAGAAAAATTAACGCTTAGAAAAAATATTGAGCTCAATATTGAGGTTTTCTTTATTTAAATAACTCTCCCCATTCAACCAAAATTATTAAAATACTCAAACTTACGACAAAAGCAATCAAAATTATTTTCAAAAAAAAAAAAACTTTTAGCTTTTTTCATTTTAAGTTTTGATCATTAATTTTTATACAGTAACTTATATATTTTAACAAAATTGATCAAATGGATGGTATTCAATAATTGGCCATGATTGACGATTCCTTGAAGTTTTTTCAATTTTAAAAAATCTAACAAAAATCACAGACGAGAGAAAAATTGGCTGGTTAAAAAATTGTACAGTTATGTAAATTTGTATTTCCCGATGCGTTATACTTAAGATCCATCCCATAAATTCTAGAAACATCCTAAACAAAGAAAAATATATCACAAGGTCACACACTTTTCAAGAGACAACCTCCAAGGATTCTAGTTTTTAAATTAAGAATTAAGATATTTTTTAGAATTATCTTAAGCTTAAACGCTTTGGTGCTTCTGTATTTTTAAAATTACATACATTTTTGAAAAGATTTGATTAAGGATGCGCAAAGATGTTAGACATTATCAACTCCAGTAGTTGCATCTGAATTTCGGGAATTGAATTGAAAATGCATTTTATGCAAGTACTTATTGCGCATCTCATTCTCACTATCATCGTCTGTGTTCTGATAACAAAAGCTGTGCAAAATTAAACTCGTACAATTTTCTTCTCACGAAAATTCCATAACAACATTTTGATACAACAAGTGAATGTCATGATAGCAAAACAAAACGTTTGTGAGTTACGAACCAAAATCGAAATTTTGATATTAAAAGTGAAAATTAAATTTTCATCAACATTATCAATCAATTTCAAGAAATTTTGTTTCGCCAATAGCTAAACATAACAAGTGGTGATGAAAATTCTTCAATATTGAGCACAAAAATGACAGAAATTAGTTGGATAAAGAAAATCATTGCCGTAGTATAAGCGAATGGTGGTAAAACGTTGAATTGTTTATCATTGACATCATTAATAGTGTTTCCATGATGATGCTGTAATGAACCTTTGTCGTTTTCATCTTCAATCAATGATGAGGAAGAAGAGAATGTAAAAAAATTAAGAAGATTTATTAGGAACTTGATGAAGGGAATTTGAGAAATTTTTTTGGATTCATCAATAATAGGAGGACGGGAGGTAGCAGCAATTATGGGAGGAATGAAAAGTTTAGAACAAGGAAAAGGAAAGGATAGAGTGTTGTTCGCCCCAACACAAGGCTTTCTCTTTAAACCTCAGCTTGGGTATTTGACATAGTGCGCGTAAGTCAAATCATATGAGTCGAAACGACAGTATTGGATGTCGCGACGCTTAAATTGACCAATGTTGCCAATATGCTCAAGTTCACGCGATGCACCAAAAGCAGGCGATGTTTTATTGGCAAACACTGTTACGATGAACTTTCCCGGCTTGAAAGTATCAACGACCCGCTTTATCAGATCACTGTAACTTGAAGCAGCGATGTTGCTTTCGAAACTGACATATGAAAATTCAGGTTCGGGCGTAATGTGAATTGTCATGTAGCAACCCTAAAATATAAAAGTTAAATTATAAATTAGAAAAAGATTAGAAAAAATGTAAAGTCGTTTACTACTAAACTACTAGAATTAGAAACGAAATAAGTTATGTTCTACAACTTTATATTTCGTAAATAAAAAGTCATTAAGCCAAAAACTTTAAGTGCATACTAAAAACAAACTTTATACATTCACACAAAGCAGCAACTTACTTCACTATACATCTTTCCAATCTTTGTTGTAAGAAAAAGATTTTTAAAGAAACATAATTTGTTCTTATCTTATTCACTGATAAGTTTAAAAACTTACGTTTTTCATAACTCCATTCATTGAGTAGCCGCATGGGTCGAAGAGATAATCATCGATTATCATTCCTGGAATGATCTTATTAATTCCAGATTTCTGAAAATGAAAAATCAATAAATAAATATACATGCATTAAATTTGTACAATATAACTTTACTTGAGTAACATCCTTAGCATCTTCAGAGACTTCCTTAGTAAAAATAGCCATGACCTTTGGATCCAAATCAGTCATCAAAACTTCAATTGTTTGATCAGGATCGGGAACATCAAATGACTCAATTAAAACATCATTTTCATTGGACATCTCATTAACCAATGCCTCATTACCACGTCGACTTAACGTATATAAATACCAGCAATCACGGTTGACAGAACCCAAACAATATGCACGTCCATCATCAAAGAATTGATCGAGAAACGCAACTTCTTCTTCAAATCCTCGATGAGGTGAAATTTGAAGTTCAGGCTTTTTGAAATTTTTGCGAGAATAGAAAAGTTCTTCAATTTCAGAATATCCACTTATTTCAAACGCCATCTGTAATAGTGGCTTCAAACATTGAAGTGGAGTAGTTGTACCACATGTCTTCAATATCCATCGTCTTCTAGAAACAAACATGCTGCTTTCACTGTAATTATATGAATAAGTGTAAAACAATTTTTTTAAAAAATAACATTTTCCAGTTCATTTAATTTGTTTTAAATAAAATTTTCGGAATATTAATAACTATCTATAAACGTCTATAATTTATGTCGATAAAAATTCTAAATAATATTTTTTTTTCAAACTCTTTATCAAATAAATCTAACAGACTGCATTATTAATTTTTCAGCGTCCTGTTTGATAATTTGTTTCAGAGGAATTTACAGAAAAATTATAATCACTAGTAAAAACTGGAAAAATTCGATTACGGTTGTTGTCGTCAGACATTATTCATATTATTATCAGTGCTGCTTAATTATTCTAAAATGTTTCTTGTTGATAGTTACTAAGTGCCAATTATATACTAAAATTTTATTTTTGTTAATTCAATATAATTAAATCGTTTAAGTGAGTTTTGTAAGATATGTTTAATTAAAAAAAATGTTCTAACTTACAATGATGAATTAATTTTTACGACGCATCAACAAACTTTGCAAATATTCATTTAAATAATCAAAAAGTGCATACGTATGAAAAAAAGTTTAAAAATAACAGAAGAAAATCAATAAAATCCGGAAAGTGTACAGAAAATAAACCAAGTTCATAAAAAAAATTTTGCATCTATGTACATAAAAAAAATTCTCATAAGACTTTTTTCAATGACAATCATACTACTTTTGAAGCAAATAATTGAAGAAAAAAAAGATTTAAATAAAACTGAGGAAGCTTCCTTTATCAAGTCTAAAACACAGGGTTTCATTAAATTCCATGTGCTTTTCAATTAATGATTTGTGTTAAATGTTAGATTAATCTAAACGAAAATGTGAGAAATAATACTGTTACTAAGTCAATTCATGGTCGATTTTTGGTTCAAACATACAAATTTAATTATTCATAATCAAACAAGCGGTTTTCGATTTTTTTTTTGCTTATCAAATAAAATATTTCTCTATAATAAATAAATGATTTGCTTCAAAAATAAAAGGAAACAAAAAATGAAACTTTTGCACAGTATAAGTTTAAAATTTAATGACTTTATCCCGCGATGTAGAAAAAAATAAAAAGTTCAAAACATCAACTTTTAAAATCAAAACCCCAAAAAGAGCTCACACTTTTCATTGTTGAAACCCAATTGCACTAAATTAAGCCAAATTTTTTTTGATGTATCGCGAAAATTTTTTTCAATTCAAAAGAATGTCGCGAACCAAAAAAATTTGGAATACTCTCTTTTCGAACATGTCTACTTTCCAAACAAGTTTCGCACGGAGAAAAAATAAACTTAGTATTTCTATAATGAGTCACAGTCATGAATTTTCATGGGGTAATTAAAACTAAATCACTGATGTCAGCAAGAACTTATGAAATCATAAAGAAATATTTTTACTTGAGCGTCAATAATGATAACCAACACAGAAATTCAAGATCAAAGGTCAAACACTTTTTTCGTGTAGCATCCTGATTGTCTGAAAATCGTTTTCCTTATCTGAGTTACATTTTGTTTTTTTTTTTTAAAAAAAAAAATTGAAACGTCTTTAATGGGTCATTCACTTGTGACGTTTAAGGCAGAAATGATCAGGATGGATTTCGATTAATCCTTAAAATTCGTTCAAAAATCTGAAAACCTGATTATAGCATGAATCTGCTAGGTAAGTGTTTTTTGATTGCATTGAAAATATGAGTTACACAAAAAGGGAGATCAACAAATTTGAAGAAAAAACAGGACATCTTGAATTTTCTACTATAGGTACACTTTAATAGCAATCAAATGTCTTATAATCTAAAGTTTGATAAAAGTATGTTGTTTGCTATAAAATAGGCATTTATAATTTTGTTGTTTTTCTTTATTTTCGCTGTAAATGACTTAGAATTTTTTTTTCTCATACGAGCTCTTTTGTTCCATCGTTTCTTGATGAGGATTTTTCATTTTTGACGTTTATAACAAAAAAGAAGGAAAATTAATAGTTTTGAAATTTTTTTATCTTGTGTGTCTTTTTATACGTTTATCTACATAGGACAACATTGTTTTCAATACAAATAAAAGTTATAATTATTATATTATGTTATTAAAATAAATAATACATATTCAAAGTTACTTTTCAATTGGTTATTTATATTAAAACATTCTATTACAACCTCAATCTAAAAATCCCTAAAATGCAGCTACTCTAATATGCAGATAGTACTGCCAAACAGTTAAAATACAGTTAAAATACAAAATATTAGATGACTTTTTTTCTTGATACGTGTTATTAAAAAAAAAAAATTCATACAAATTTTCACCTTCAAGTGGTTTAAAATCCCAAAAAAATCCCCATACAAAATGATTTAAATCATAAATCAAAAATAAATCATTTGGGTAAAATGATTTAAATCCCCTTCATGCTAATTACATCAAAATTTCGTGTAGCAAAGTAATTTAAAGTCATAAAGTTAGCAATGTATTCAAAAATGCATTTTTGTTTTCCTGTAACTTTTTTAATAACAAAACTAGTGTATCGGGTAAAAACCCAATGCGGATATTTTCGCACCGTACCATCAAAAGTCTTGCGGAAAGACCAAGCTTAGCTCAGTATTAATTTGAAAGGATAAATCCTGACGAACCAGCTGAGCTATGCTCAGAATATGTTTGGAGGTTTAAAGATTAACGAGCATTCTTTAAAGTTTTTTAAAAACATTTTTCTTCCAAAGTTGAATTTTATAAAAATCACAGTAAACTTTTGTTTTAAAAAATTCGTAAGAAAGAAAAGTTTCTGAAGCAACGACTGTTCCTAACTTGCCCAAAAACAATACAGCTCTTCTATAGAGCAGCACGGATCAAATGTAAAAAACTAGAAGTCTCTACGATGTCTCGTTATTGAGATTTCTTGCTGATTAACTTGCTTGCTTGTTTGCTTACAGAAAGCGTATTTTGCGATTTTCTCAGTAATGCCGCAACCAATTTGAAATCTGTTTTCTGAAAATGATGTAAAATTTCAGGCACAAACTTTTCTTCTTGAACCTTTTATAACCAATTTTGCTTTGTTTTCTCACAACATGCGAAAAACTGATTTTTCAATCTGAACAAAACCAATAGATTATTACGTGAAAACGGTGTGAATTTAAAAAATACATTTGTAGATATATCAATGAAAGCTGACAAAGTTTTAACAAAATTCACAAAAAATATTCGTGAGTGACGCTTAATTAAATTGATTTTCTGACATAACGCTTTAACTTTAGGAAGTAAGTTCTATGTCAAAAGAAAGCAAATTTTTGTTTTTTTTACAAGATATAATAACTTTGAAATTTGCTACTATTGTGCTTTCGGAGATATTTAAGAAACCAAAGCGTCACTCACGAGTAATTTTTTTTTCGTCGGGCCCAAAAAATAAATATCCAACGTTAAATTATCTACATTATAACAGCATTTCATCTTTATTTTAATAAAATCATATAATCTACATCTATCTTTGGGCAGCATCTTATCTGCACTTTATACGATAAAAATCATCTGCATTATACCTTTTTTAAAGCAACAGCATTTAATCTGCATTTAAGGGAAAATAAATTTCATCTGCACTTTAGCAGTACCATCTGCATCTTGACAGTACTATCTGCATATTCGGGTAGCTGCATTTAGGAATTTCTAGATTGAGGTCTATTACAATAAGATATTTATTTTATGAAAAAACTAAGGTTCATTTTTCTATGTATCATTTACTTGTTTTTTTTAGTAATGAATTATTGATAATTGTTTTATATGAATATTATTTTGATCTTTATAACTTTTTGAAATGAACAAATTTATCAAAACTAAAGTACAAATGCCTAGTCATTTAAAAGATTTGATGCCACTTGGGGAATCAAAGTTCATTTATCTCAAATCAGAAGTGTGCTTTTTTCTTTGTAATTCCAAGGGTCATTACAATCATCAGTGAACTTTATTACTTGCAAAGTAAATTATTTAATTAATATGTAGATCTGAAGAAGTAAATTTTTTTTGACTTAATTGCCCTAGTGATAGTAATTAACAGGAAATTGAAATATTCTTAATCATTTGCAATATAAATTAAAATTTATGAAAATTACATTAAGATATGCCATAAAAACTGTTTCACAAGGATAATGCTTGTAATTTAATTTTAGCTTGAGATTATTTTAAAGTTTACGAAAGAAAATCTTCATTCGTTTACTAACAAAATGTACCGGTAGTTTACATACAATACAACAATAATCACGAATAATCTCTCGCAAGCATTATATTAAAAGCCGTAATAGCCGAATAGCAAAGATGTTGCAATTGACTCGCTTGTGATGTTGGAGAGTAAAATGTGACAGTCAAAATACGATGAACTGCTGAATTATTTATAGAATTACGCAAAGTGTTATAATTTTAAGAATACTTCATTTTATCTCAAAAATTGTTAAACAAAGTTGTCAAAATGCAAATCTAATCTCAGAATAATTTGATAATGATTCAAAGCTGTGTTTTGTAGATCATTATACAATCTTTAAAACAAAAAAGTATTGAAGTTCAAAATATGTATCATACGCTAGATGCTTTTGACGTCATAAATTTTTTATGAATTTTCTGGCATTTCGCTGTGAGACAGAAAAATTGTTTCTCCTACGACTTGGCAAGTCGATGTTTACAAAATAAAGGAAAAAAAATCATATCCGAAAATTTAAGAAAAATTATTTAGATCAGCATTATTTTTTTAAGAATAAGGCAGCAATATGATAAATTTTCTTTTGACATTACAAACGCAAATTTGTTTTATCAATTTTCCACAGTATTTTTAAAAATAAAATTCAACACATACTTAAAAAACGCGTGCGAATTTTCTTCTCATCATCGATGGTGTTTGTTTTTAGTTTTTTTTTTATAGATTTTAATTTGAGGAAAAAAAATTGTTTAGACATTACCTGAGGACGTATGCATCAATATAATCGTTATGCGTAAAGCTGATGATTTCGCACTTAACCGATTTTAGTAACGCGTCCCAATGGGATCTGTAAATGAAGAAGAAAAATGTTCTCATGAATAATGATTTCATAATTAAACAAATAATGTATAATTCATTAAATATTATTTAAGCAGGTGAATTCTGATCTATTAATTTTTTCTTACATTTTGATCGATTTCAAAAAGGTTTGTTCACTTATTTTAATAAAAAATCTATTATTTTTTTTATTATTTCGAAATATTATCAATCAATTTTATTCTATCAAAACTAAATTAAGCATCATGTGCTCTGTGGAACGATTTAAATGATTAACAACCTCACACAAATTATTTCTCTTCCTCAGAAAAAAATTGTAAAATGTATTTTTAGTCCATTTTTATTTTTGTTTATAACTATTCGATCTGGCTATTCAATAGATTTAAAAATTTCGAGACGAAATGTGCAAAGTTAGAAAGATAAAATTTTTGAAAAAGACCATAAAAATATATTGAAAATTAGGATTTTAAAATGATGAGGTATTAGTCAAGGTCAGTGAAGAATTTCTTACTTTGGTATTAAAAGAAAATAGAAAAAAAATCCTAATATTTATGAGATTTTTCAATACTACTTCTAATCTAGAAAAAAGTTTTTATTTTTTTTTATTAAAAAAAGGGAATGGAATAATAAGAATAAAAGTTTATGATACTTTAAATGAAGTGTAACCATTATTAAGTTTAATAACTCTTAAATGATTTTAAAATTGACAAAAAATCAATCTAAGAATGCAAGTTTTGCAGTTCATAAAACTAAAATTGAAATTCTAGACTTTTCTGAGTATGCAAAAATTATATATCTCATGCGCATGCAATTATCGAAACACAAGAAAACTTAAATAACTCAGCTGACACAACTATTTCCTTGACAATTTTTTTTAAAATATCCCTCGTTAGTATATTTTTGCAATTTCATGGTTTAAGTAATCAAAAAAATTGGGATTTTAAAAATATGTAAAATTGTATTGGTAAATTTTTTTTGGAAATAACCACATTTTAAAAATTCATCTCATTACGTTTTGTTCTTATCATTTTTTTAATTTTGAATTTTTAGACAAAAATACACGTGGTTTAGTTTTTTTTTCTTTTAAAATTGTAAGCAAAAATTTAAATTTGATTAAATACTATTGTTTATTTTATAAATAATTCCTTTAATGAATAAAACCTTGAAAATTATTCTTGACTAAGAATCTTTTTTGAATGAGTTGAAAAATTGCATTTAATTATCATTGACACTTAGTATTTTGAGCTTAGTCTAAAATCAATATTGAAAACTTTTTATCGACTAGCATAACAGATATATACAAAACAAAGAATATTCGTATAAACTTATTTTTAAAACATTTTTTCCACAGCTGATTTCACACATACATCAATTTTGCCGGTACTCAAATTTAGTAGCTACTACCACATTTGAAAAAATATTGTATTTATCGGGTTTTGTAGAGTCACATAGTTACACATAATTGCATAATTATCTCCTTCTTCTTTCATAAATAAACTTTTCATTTTAGCTTAGTAAATACCTGTACATAATTTTCACTGTATTTGCAATAAAGACGGATATTTTTAAATGTAATTTCAAGGATGTAAACGAACGAAAGAAGGGAAAAAATACACCCGACAACCGTAAGGGTGGGTTTGTTGAGAAACGAAAAGAAAATCGATAATTTCTTACGATCAATACGAAAGAGAGAAAAATTCGCACACTTTTGGATTGTCTGAAAAGTTTACCTTGGTATTTTACGTAAATCGGCATTGGTATTGGGCGCAAACCATATTTCTAGGAGCTTCTCAACCCCTTCAAAAAAGTTGGGGTTTGTATTATCCAGCAAGTTATTATTCGCCATAAAAAAAAAAATTAGCGAATATTTTCAAATATTAAAAAAAATATTTTGAATGAATTTTTCACTATTTCCTCCCCTTATCAGCAAACAACAATTTTATTTTTTCGACACTAAAGGCCTTTAAAATACAAAAAGCAGTACAACAATTTTGTTAAATGTTGCTAACTCCGAGAATTTCCACAGAAATTTTTCCACATATAATTTTTTATTTTATATGGTGTTTTGGCTTTCCACTAACGGGAGAATCCAAAACTTAAACGTTCAATTGCTAAATGACAACTGAGAGGAAAATCGTGTGCGAAGGATTTAAAAAAATATTCGGGTTTAAATGTGTTGGGCATGTGCTAAAATTTGTAAAAGAAAGTTCTAATTCAAATGTATTCAGCACAAATGTGTAAATATTATTTTCGATTTTATATAATTAATACAATGTGATACGTTTCAAACTTAACAAAATAAAAGAGAATTTGTATTGAATTTTAATTTATTCAATTTTGTTCATTTAAAATATTCTATCAAGCAATAAAAGTATTCATATTTTTATTTAACTTAGTTATTAGATGTGCCGAAGTTCAAAAAATGTACTAAAATCTTATACATTTCACCAATTTCAACACTTATTTATTAATTTATAAAATACTAATAAACAATTTTTCTGATCTGGTTGTATTCTTAAATGATCTCAAATAATTCAACAAAAATAAAAGTAACCACACAATACATTGCTACAGCAATTAAATTTATTTGTAAGTAATGAATATTTTATCTTAAATAAAATAATGCATTTTAAACCAGCTCAATAATTTCAACATTGCATTTATTAAAAATACATTTTGATTTGGTTTTTTTTTTAAGTTTATTATAATTTATTTTTATAATTTAAAAAAGTAAGATATGACTAAAGCTGGTCGTCGAGAGCTACAAGCGATATTGAATAAACAAATAAGAGTGAGAAGATTAAAGAACATATTTGATACTTATTTTACTTAACTATTGTTTTAGAAACGTCATCATAGATCACAAAAGTCAAATATCACGAAGGAAATGTTGAAGGTTACTATGTGGAGCTTGTTAAATTTTTTCCTATTCTTTATTCGTTCTGTGGTTGACAAAATTGTGAACTTTGCACTAGAATGGTATTGGGGAGAAAAGAAATCTTGTCCACCATTAAGAAAAAACTTTTTCATCACTAAAAGTGCAGTTGAAATTGCTGAATTAATAAGACAAAAAGACATCTCATCATATCATGTAGTCAATGCTTACATTAATAGAATAATAGAAACAAATCCTTTACTGAATGCTGTTCTTGATGGACCATTTATAGAAGCTCTTGATGAAGCACAAGCAATTGATGAAAGAATTTCAAAAGAAAGTATATCAGAAGAAGAATTTTTAAAAAAACCATTTTTAGGAGTTCCTTTTACTACAAAAGACTCAACGGCTGTTTCTGGAAAATTACATACATTAGGGATAGCTGCGAGGAAGAATTATAGAGCTAAAGAAGATGCCGAATGCGTAAGATTGATGAAAGAAGCTGGAGCTATTATCATTGCAACATCAAGTATTCCCGAAATTAATAGATGGTAAAATATTTTTTTCCCTTTTATACACGAAATTTAAATTTCTGGTTTAGAAAATCTAATTTGTAATTTGCTTTTAATATCATTCATAATTCTAACGACACTTATAAGCTTTAAGAAAAAAACTTTTCTAAAATTTATAATTTAATTAATATTATTATTTTAGGCAAGAAACAAGGAATAACTTGATTGGACAAACAAACAATCCTTACGATATTAGAAGAACTGTAGGTGGAAGTTCTGGAGGAGAAGGTGCATTAATTTCTTCATGTGGATCATGTTTTGGTTTAGGTAATATTAATTCATGTTGCAAAAATTATTTAATTTTTGAAAAAATTTTAATTAATGATTATTCAATATTTCTAGGTACCGATATAGGCGGATCAATTCGAATGCCAGCATATTATTGTGGAATTTTCGGTCATAAACCAACAACTGGTATGGTCAATACTAGAGGATGTACACTCCGAACGGGGACGGAAAAAAATTCAATGGTTGTAGCTGGAATGATGACTCGATATGCTATGGATTTAAAACCAATATTTGAAGTTCTCGTTGGTCCAAAAAATTCGAATATTTTGAAACTAAACGAAAATGCAGATGTAAAAAAATTGCGATACTTTTATTGTTTGGATAGCGGTGATATGCGGTGCAGTGGATTGTGTCCAAATACGAGAGATACAATCAACAAAGTTGTCTCTCACTTTCATAATTTAACAGGAACAGATGTTCAACAAGTAAAATTAAAGGGCGTTGAATACACTTCAAAGCTTTGGAGATATTGGATGACTCAAGAACCTGCAGAATTTTGTTATCTTCTGGGCAATTCCAAAAAACTTAATCCTTTAGTCGAGCTTATTAAGAAACTTACTGGTCAGAGTGAATACACAATGGCATCAATTTTTTCTTTAATTGATGGAATTTTACCAAAAGAAAAAGCTGAAAAAATGAAAGCCATAACAGAGGAATTAAGTCAAGAAATTGAAGAGCTATTGGGAGATGATGGTGTTTTAATATATCCAAGTTATACATATCCTGCTCCATTTCACTATGCACCTTTAGTTCAGATTTATAACTTTGGATACTGGGCTATCATGAACGTACTTCATTTGCCAGCGACACAAATACCAATGGGATTGAATTCGGAAGGTCTTCCCATGGGTATTCAAATTGTAACTACGAAAAACCGGGACAGACATTGCTTTGCAGTTGCAGAAGAATTAGATAGACAATTTGGAGGATGGAAAGCCCCATTTAACATTCTCGGTGATATTAATTGAATTTTGATGAAAATTTTCTTGGAGTCGGTTTTTAGAAACTATTTATATTTTCATAACAATTATCTGGTGCTAAGTTTTAGTATTTTTATATGGAATCAGTTTATTTTTTATCTACAATGTACTTAAATAAATATGGATATTTTTTCATAGAAATTATATAAATTATTTAAGAGATCGAAGCCGATTTTTTCGGCTTAACTCAATTTTCGATTTTTTTGATAGAAAAAAGCCATTTGACACCCATTTCAAGTATTTAAATTGAACTTTACATGCTTAAAGCATGATGCTTTACTATAATTCTGTGAAATATTTTGTCAGCATATAGCTATAGTGTGCTCAGAATTTCAAATTAGCCGATGTTAAGCCGAAATTTAAGCCGATCTATAAAGCATGTAAAGTTCAATTTAAATACTTGAAATGGGTGTCAATTGGCTTTTTTCTATCAAAAAAATCAAAAATTGAGTTAAGCCGAAAAAATCGGCTTCGATCGCTGAATTAGTGTTTTATTTCACAAAATTTGTAAAGTTAAAATGAATTTTGAATTTTCAGAACGATTTTTTAGCATTTCTGTGTTATTTGTGTGACACGATTGTTGAACTTAATAAAATTATTTATTCATACCAACAATGACTCTATTGCTTACTTGAAATTAAAGTTTGTTTATATTGACATGGATACTCCATGGATTGGTGCTTGCTTTAAATGTAAGTCCCATTTGTTTATTTTTTTATTGAACAAATATTAAATTTCATTGTCAATTGTGTGCGATAAAATAGTCGATTTAAGTTTAATTATTAAAATAACTTTTAAAGAAACTTGAAAACTGAAGATGGAAACTAAAAAAGATAAATCTTCTTTTGAAGGTTTACAAAAAATAAAAAAAGAGGTACCAAAAACAACATCAACGATTAAAGTAAGTAAAAATAATAATTAAGTTGAATTTATAAAACAAAGATGCAAATTTTCATGACAATAATTCCTTATCACAGAGCATACTGGAGCCACGACATTATATAACATCCCAAATGCCATATGCTGATAAAAGGTATAATCTTAAAGAATATAATCCTCCACCAAATGAGCTTGGTTTTCTTGGTGGTCTTGGAAGAAAATCCGGCACAATGAGATCGAGAGCTCATATTCAACGACCATCTGCCAATCAAATTCTATTTAAAATGAGAACTGCAAATAGAATTTTAGTATCATTTACAGAAGATTTAGGCCTTACAAATTCAATGATAAGCAAGCAAACTAAAGCAATAGTTTCACCAAAACCGTTTCAAAATTCCATTAATGATGATTTAAAAGTCTTGGTATCTAGAGTACAAATAGCTGATAATATTATTAAAAAAAATTCAAAGAAAAAGCAAGCAAGTTCTACTACTTCAGAAACGGAAGGAGAAATTAAAAAACCTGAAAAGTCAGTACAAATTGTTGCTCTAAAAGGAAAGAAAAAGCCACTCCGTCTAACACTTGGAACAGTAAAAAAGATATCTATAGTATCTGCTCTAAAAGGAGAGCCTGTAAAACCTCTGCCTCCAGATGAACCAAAAAATTTTCGGGAATGGGCTTTAGCTGAACGTGAAAAAAGATTTCAAGCTCTACAGCAAGTTTCATATCAACAGATCAAACAGGAACGCGAAGCAAATGAAATATTTCCAAAAGTTAAGAAAATGCCAAAGAATTTTTTTAATAAAACAAAAAATAAGAAAGACTTGAATCAACAATTTCCTGGAGCAGAACATCTTGGTGGCTATCTATATGGTTCATATCCCAAAACTGTTATAGATAGCACAATGGAGAATGAAACAAAATTTCATGTACCTTTAAGTATGTTTAGTCGTGCTGAAGTTGAATCAAAAATTCGTGCTTCAAGTAGAAATAAAATTCAAAGTGCACGTTTAGAATACATGAAAATACCTCAAATTCCATCAGATTCTGATGACGAAAGTGACGAGGTTCTTGAAGATGGGATTGGATTAGGATTGATTCGGACGCCCTATTTTAGCATTCCAACAATTTATACACAGAAGAAAAGAAGGATTGATCGTTTGAAAAATAAGCATTTGAATGGTAATCGATTAAAAAGAATCAATATGCTTTTGTTCGATAGAAAAATGAGTGCTGAGAAGAATAAAGTAAAGTATGCAGGATCCGACAGTGAACGGTTTTCATTTAAAAATAGTAAAAGTGAATTGAGAACTGATTCGCCACTTTTATTGAGAAGTAAAGAATCGTCTCCACTGCCAATGATCGAGGAGAAGGTTGAGAAAGTTTTCGAATCAGGATATAAGTAAGTTTTATTTTTTAATTACATTTAATCTCATTGATAGCCCAAAAATGAGACAAATTATCTTTGATTTTATCAATAATATAATATAATTTACTTTAATTGAATTTACAGACAACGGTATCATAAGTTTTTAGGCAAGAAATATCTTCAAAAATTAGATCAATACAATGAGCGTTTGAATAAGAAATTAAATGAAGAAGCAGCAATGGCAGTTTCACCTGGTAGTGGAGTAACAATCAAAACGATTACAGATGGAAAATCATTTCATGACTATAGTTTAGAGACAATATCAACAAATTTTCCGTCATCTACACCAGATATTCAAAAAGACCCTGCATTCAAAAGACAAAAGAGAAAAGTGAAGAAAAATCTCATATTTTCTAAGACAGATAATCATATGGGAGGTTTTTACTTCGATCCATATCTATTGGAGAAAATTCATAATCCGGAAAAAGGAATGAAAATAATGAAAAACTATACTAGTCTCATGAGATCACAATCAAACATACGAAATAGATTGCAAGTTAATGCATCAGCATTTGATGAGGAATATTGTGGTACAGAAAATACTGGAAATTTTTATCATCGCCTGGTGACCGAATGGGATTCATATTATATCAATGAGATACGCCATCGACCGACAGTCAAAAAATTTTGTGTTAAAAGCGATATCATACGAATAAGGGAAATGGTGCGGAAGAAGTTTTTCCTCTATTTCATGCAGGAAGATCTCATGAATTTATATGCCTCACAGGAAATTGAGAATGAAATGATAAACAAAACTACCAAATTTATTAAGGTATGTTGTTGTTGTATATTAGGTCTAGGGAACTTATTTGTTTTGTGAAATAAGTGAGTAAGCTTCTTGTTATATGAAGGTTCAAAATTTTTGAAATTAAGCTGGCAAACAGAAAGAAGATAACCGAAAAACTCTTTCTATACGTTCATGCTTAAAATAATTAAATTTTAAATGTGTAAGTCTTCTATTATTTGAATTTCAACCCCACACACACACACACATGATAAACTATTTGCTTGTTTTCTTATTTGTATTTATTGCAGGCCTGTGAACCACAATTTAAGCAATTACAGGATGAAGCTTTCGCAAAAGCAAAAGAAAAATTGGAATTGGAGAATGATATCATACAGACAACCGATAAAATGAAAAATGAATTAATGCAATTAAAAGATGAATCTGATTTGCTAATGCAAAATTTAATGTGTAATGAAAGAAAATGGGAACAAATTATGATGATGCAGGTAGGCATTAATTGATGAATGCAAATAATTTTGTTTACTAATTTAAAATATGTTTATATTAAGAATTACTATTATCTCATGATGCCTCCAATGTGGCGCTTAGAAAATGACTGGATTCATCGTAATAGAAGTGGTCAACTCGATTTTCTTAAAAAGTCTGTTGTTTACTGTAAAAAAATTCATATTCGTTCTAAAAGCATTACGGAAATTTCTCTTCATGCAATCAAAGAATTTTTCGAAAAATCAATTTTGCCAAAACGTCTAAATCATATGAGACAAATTAATCCGGAAGTAAGTTTATTGAAGGCTTCGTTAGATGATATAAAAACAAATGTCCTTGGTATCCTAAATAAACACAATGAGATAATGCTGAGATCATCGGAAATTTCATTTCAGCAACAACAACTTGAAAGAACGGTGAGTTATCATTTTAAAATTACTTATTTTTACGAACTACGAGGATAGTTACAGTTTTAGTACATTTTATAGATTCCGTTTATCATTTCTGCTTATCAAGAAAATATGTCGCATATACAACAAAAAGTAGACTTTATAGAAAAACGAATTGAGTTTCTCATCAAGGAGGTCGAAGTGACATCGAATTTGCCGCTCATTAAATGTGTAAAAAAGTAATTCGAAAAAAATATGTTTGGCATTTGTCATTGATCTAATGATGTTTTCTTCCTTTTTCTTTTGTTCATTCTGTCCTGTTTTGTGACACATTTATAGTATTTTCATGAGAAAAATTGATGCAATTAGTCGACATTTGTGCAAAACCTTATTTACAGAGACTTTCAAGATTGATGAATCGATCAAAAAGCATACGCTTGTTGAAAACTTTTGCATGATAAGCAATAGAGCGTTGGTAAGGAAAAAGAGTTTTTGTAAACATTAATTGATTTTCAATTCGATAACCAATCATTAAAATAAAAACTTTGAATTTATTATTATTTTTGTTCATTATTAAAACGTAGTCTTTTAAATAATATTTTAGGATTTATTAAGTCAACTTGACACACTTCCAATAGATATACTTCATTCAGCAGAATATGAATCCCGAGTTCACCGCCGTGATAAATTGCGCTTGGGCAAATTGGCAATGAATGAGCAAAATTTATGCCAATTTTTGGAAAAACAGCTCCGAAATCATTTTACACCAACATTCCAACCCAAGCGAAAACGTAAGAGAGGAAAACACGGATGGAAACCTACTTCAACGGCAGTCAGAATGGTTACAAAATCACCGCATTTTGGAAAATATAATTAATAATAAATTATGATAAATTGACATCCAAGAGAATCTAGTTTTAATTAATTTTCCCAATTTCATTTATTGCTACCCATTTATCTTCACTTTATGTGAGTACTTAATTAAATAAGATGAAAATTGCAATAAAAATCATAATTAGTTTTTAACGTGTCTTTAATATTGGCAATATCTACAAATTGTTAAAAAGTTTTCAATCTTGAATTCATTTATTTTAAGGCGCACTTTATTATATAAAAATATATGAGTAAGGTGAACACTCAATTTACTAACCTAGAACCGTGGTTTATAAACGACTACCAGACTAACAGATTCCTAATTGATGCGTATCTTATTACATTTTCCTTGCCATTTTCCATCATTTTATGGGATTCTGAACTCTAAAACCACAAAAAAATTAACCGGTATGCTTAAAATTGAGATGTCCTAATGAATACTTGGTGTATTGGAACCTCAATCTAAAAATCCCTAAAATGCAGCTACCCTAAAATGCAGATAGCATTGCCAAGATGCAGATGGTGCTGCTAAAGTGCAGATGAAATGCTATTGCTTTAAAAAAGGTATAACGCAGATAATTTTTATCTTATAAAGTGCAGATAAGATGTTTCCTAAATGTAGATCGTATAATTTCATTAAAATACATCAATATTCGGTGACTTTATTTCTTGATGCGTGTTAATGACTACATGATCCATAATGAAATTTAAGGGTAATTATTTTGTCTGACGACATATTTATGTATATATTGGGTCGAGTATCCTTTTTATGAGCTCATCTATATTCTTGCAAAAATGTTACATGTCGTTTAACAACAAAACTAGTGTATCGGGTAGAAACCCAATGCGGATATATTCGCACCGTACTATGCTTTCTCGAAATCCCGGGAATCCCGAATATGTAAAAAAATTTAAAAAACAGCATTTTTCTGCTTTTTTTCCAAAAAAAATTGTATATTTTTTTGCTACTTATACGGTCATTTATTCCTTAATTAATTAGTTATAATTTATGTGTTACAAGGTAGATGTTTTAATCCATGTTTCCTTTGAAAAATGTGAACATAAACAAAAATAGAAAATAAATGTTGATAAAGATGTAAGTTTAAAGGTTATAGAAAACGGTGTGAATATAATAATAAAAATTAAGCATTAATGAAAAAACTTTTAACAAATGCAATTGCATTTAGATTCTTGTCAAGTAAACGTTTTCTTTGTTTTGTAAGAATGTTGTTACTAATAGAGAAATTTCGTTCGCTTTGAGTTGAGGTCGGCTGCATTGTTATCAATGCATCGTAAAGTTGATCTAACAAAACGGTTCTCTTCTTATTTTTGTTATACCAATTAAACTCTCTTTTCAAGTTATTTGGTTCTGTTGCTGCTGCATCTGTTGTTAATGATGTATATTCAGATATGCTTAGTTTCAGTCTATCTCGAATAGAAATGTTTGACGGTTGGATTTGATTTGCACTGGATGTTGAAGCTTCCATAGCTCCATTTGTAGAGTTTTTGACAAAATACTTTTTCAATAAGTCAATGCCAAGTTTATGTATTGCAGCTTTTGTTGACGATTTAAAATGCTTGTCTAAAGAAATATATTGAGGTAAAGTATTAAGTCAATTAATGTTCCATTTCTTCGTGCACCTATGCGAGCGCAATTCATATCGTAAACCTTTTGAGACAATAATGTTCCTTGTAGCAACAATTCGTCTAGCAAAAAGTTAATTGTTCCTTCAGCAATTAATAAATCGTCTGATTTACGCAATAATTCTTCTGTCGCGTATTTAGCAGGTTCTAAAACATCAATAATTTCCTAAATTAAAAATCCGGGATTTTCAATCCCGATCCCGATAAATTTCGGGATCCCGGGATTGATCGGGATCGGTAAATCCCGGGAAATCCCGATCCCGATCCCGATAGCGAGAAAGCATACACCGTACCATCAAAAGTCTTAATCAAAGCATTGCGCAGCATACGTTTGAAGGTATAAAGCTAGCGTGTCAATTAAGCTTCTCTCAGCATATGTGTGAAGGTTTTAAACTTAACGAACATTCTTTAAAAGTTTTTTAAAAAAAATTTTCATCCAAAGTTTAATTTTATAAAAATCACAGTAAACTTCTTTTTTAAAACATTCATAGGAAAGGAAAGTTTTTTACTTTTTCTGAAGCAACGGCTGTTCCTACCTTGCCCAAAAACAATACAGCTCATCTATAGAGCAGCACGGATCAAATGTATAAAACTTGAAGTCTCTACGAGGTCTCATTATTGAGATTTCTTGCTTGCTTGCTTGTTTGCTTGCAGAAAGCGTATTTTGCGATTTTCTCAGCAATGCCTCAATCAATTTGAAATCTGATTTTTGCAAAAGATGTAAAATTTCAGGCACAAACTTTTCTTCTGAGACTTTTTATAACCAATTTTGCTTCGTTTTCTCAAAAAATGCGAAAAACTGATTTTTCAATCTGAACAAAACCAATAGATTTACACGTGAAAACGGTGTGAATATAAAAAATACATTTGTAGATATATCAATGAAAGCTGACAAAGTTATAACAAAATTTATAAAAATTATTCGTGAGTGACGCTTAATTAATGTGATTTTCCGACATAACTCCTTAACTTTAGAAAATAAGTTCTATGTCAAAAGAAATCGGTTTTTGTTTTCTACAAGATAAAATAACTTTGAAATTCGTCACTATTGTGGTTTCGGAGATATTAAAGAAATCATAGCGTCACTCACGAACAGAGTTTGAAAATAAAATGAAAATTGCTCTATTTTGAAAATAAATCAAAATGAAAATTATGAAAATTGCCAATTTTGATCAAAGCAATTTTGCAATTTTGTCAATTTCAGAAAATTGCAATTTTGGAAATTGTTTATTTTCCAAAATTGCAATTTTGGAAATTATCAATTTTTATTTTTGTGACGTCATAAATATTTGATGAATAATTTTGTATGAAAATTTTCTTCTTTTTAAATGAATTTTTTCTTCAGAAAAACAAAAGATACAGTTTATTTCCTGGATGTTGATATTCGTTTTTAACTTAATACTTGCTAATTCCTGCGTGTTTGATGCGTTGTTCCTTTAAGTTTATTTTAAATTAAAGGTACTCATGATGCTCATAATCATAATTTAAAATTAATAAAAATTGATAATTTCCAAAATTGCAATTTTGGAAAATAAACAATTTCCAAAATTGCAATTTTTTGAAATTGACAAAATTGCAAAATTGCTTTGATCAAAATTGGCAATTTTCATAATTTTCATTTTGATTTATTTTCAAAATAGAGCAATTTTCATTTTATTTTCAAACTCTGCTCACGAATAATTTTTTTTCGTCGGGCCCAAATAATTAATATCCAACGTTAAATTATCTGCATTATAACAGCATTTCATATTTATTTTATTAAAACTATACGATCTACATTTAGGCAGCATCTTATCTGCACTTTATACGATAAAAATTATCTGCATTATACCTTTTTTAAAGCAACAGCATTTCATCTGCATTTTAGGGAAAATAAATTTCATCTGCATTTTAGCAGTACCATCTGCATCTTGGCAGTACTATCTGCATTTTAGCGATTTTTAGATTGAGGTTGTATTGGAGATATAATTTTAGGAATTGATGAGATATCTTAATTTTAATGCATATAGGATCAGAATCTGCCTAATCTATCAGTTTCTATATTTCATCATATTTCGCTTTTAAAAGCTACTTATTTGAAATGGGAAACGGAAAAATGTTTTGTAAGTTTAAATTATTACTTTTACAGAACTTAATTTAAAACTAAATTAGTGTTTTAACTCTAATTTAAAGCTTAGATCTGAAATGGAATTATTGTTTAGCATGAAGTAAAATACTTAATGTGTATTTCATGTATACTAATATTCAATAACGTAAAATCGTATGTATTTTTTTGCAAAAGTAAAAAGAAAAAAAAATTTGAATAATTTCGATCGCATTCTGTTTTCATTTTTATTTACTTTAGCTTAAAATGCTTTAAAGAGTTATGCAAGTTGCCTTATTTTTTCACAAATTGTCGCATAAGTAAAACTTTTCACGCAAATCATAAAACATGTAGCTAATAGAATAGGAATAATGGAAATGAAAAGAATATTACGATACATTCATCACAAAAATGAATTAAATTGAAAAGGTTTAGTACGTGATTTATTTCTCAAGCTCTCAAATTTTCACATGATTTTATTGCAAAATACATTTACTGATAACGTAAATAAGTGAAAGAACATTTCGAATTAGGGTTTGGGGAACCTGTTAACAGAAAACAGAAAAACAGCTGTTTTTCGACAAAAATCTCGAAAACAGATCTGTTTTCTGTTTTTCATTTTTTGCATATAATTTACAGAAAAAAAATTTTCTTAATTTTTTTGACTTAATATATTTTTCTAGAATTCCAAATTGAAATGTATTTACTTTTTTAATATTTTTTGGATGTTTATCAAATTTATGATTAATCATTATTAATTTTGCAATCGAAGTTTTAAATTTGTTGAACCTTTTGTAGCATTTACTAAAGTTCAAAAATATAATCAACAATTTTTCAAGATATTTTTTGATTTAGAAGGATTTGTTTGAATATTTCAAGTAAAATATTAGAGATTATGGAACTTTTAAAATGCAACAATGCAATTTTACTTACCTACAAGTATAAATATTTTTTTTTGAATTTTTCTGCATTCATCAATCACTAAATACTTTTGAAAATTGCACACTTTTGAAATTTGCACACTCATATGAAAATAAAAAATAAAAATTTCTCACAAAATATCCACTTCTGATAATACTTTCTTCACAAAATCTTTGTATAATTATTGTATAAATGTTGTTGTACCATTTTAAGTTGTCTAAAGGCCTCAGGAGGATGAATTCCTTCAGCGATCAATTTTTCATACAAAACAAAACTTTGCAAAATATAAGGTTTTGGGATACAATCAGTGGCTTTATCAAATATTTTAATATCAAAAAATTTAGTTCTTAAGTTGTTTAAAATTTTGGAAGTATTTCTT